TGATGCCTGGGGGCGTGGTCGGGCCAGAGTCTCAGTGGGAACTCAACCCAGGCAGGCCACTGGCATCAGTATGCCATCCCAGCAAGCAGCCAGATGTGCACAACCAGCAGTCATAGACGTGGGTCTGCCCAAAGGCTTGGGGGCCCAGTCTTGCAGCATATACAAGATAATGGATGTGGGACATGAGGATTTATTTTCCCTGGGTGTGGTCTTGCCTTGGATTCATCTTGTTACTTCCTTCTCTGTTTTATTTTCTTCAGAATAATGAATTCCTGCCCTGCCATTGTATCTTTAAAAAAAATTTTTTTTAAAGATTTATTTTTATTGGAAAGTCAAGATATACAGAGAGGAGGAGAGACAGAAAGATCTTCCATCCGATGTTTCACTCCGCAAGTGAGCACAACGGCCGATGCTATGCCGATCCAAAGCCAGGATCCAGGAACTTCTTCCAGGTCTCCCATGTGGGTGCAGAGTCCCAAGGTTTTGGGCTGTCCTCGACTGCTTTCCCAGGCCACAAGCAGGGAGCTGGATGGGAAGAAGGGCTACTGGGATTCGAACCGGCACCCATATGGGACCCCGAAGCATTCAAGGCGAGGACTTTAGCTGCTAGGCCACGCTGTCGGGCCCGCCATTGTATCTTGGAAATAACTTGTTTTATAGGGATTTGCAACTGAGTCTGTTTTGAGTCTTGGAGATTTTGAATTGGACTTAAAGAGGGGAGTAAGTTGGTTGGTTAAAAGGCAGTGTGTGTGCTTGCAAATGTGGTCCTGTTCCCCAAATGACCACACCAGCCACATCTGGGCCTGGCTGAGACTGGAAACCAGAAACCTCATGTGGGTCTCCCACATAGGTGGCAAAAACCCTTCAGATCCATCTAACGTAAAACATAGCCATGGAAATGAACTGCAAGGAAAGAAAGAATGGGCTGAAACTGAAGGTTCAATCCCAGTGTCCCCCGTGGGAGGCATCCTAATTTCTGGAGCTTAGTGCTGCCTCCCAGAGTCTGCAGGATCAAGCATCTGTGATTAGGAGCCAGACCTGGGAACTGAATCCAGGCACTCCAGTGTGGAACCCAGTGTCTTCACAGGCCAAATGTTAACTCCTGCTAGCACTCGCTCACTGCTGGGATTAACCCTGTGTTTACTACATACTAGTTTCTATAGAATCTTTACTGGTTAGTGGAGGATTTGGATCTCTACTTACCTTCCTAACTCTGGCTTCTGTAAGAAATTTGTAAGATAAAGTGTCAGAATCATTGCACTGATGCAATTGTTCAGATGGGTTACCACAAATATTCTCTTCCAGACTCTGTTGGTTAGAAGATGATTAAAGGGCCCGGCACGGTGGCGCAAGTGGTTAAAGGTCCTCACCTTGCACGCCCGGGATCCCATATGGGCGCCGGTTCTAATCCCGGCAGCCCCGCTTCCCTTCCAGCTCCCTGCCTGTGGCCTGGGAAAGCAGTCGAGGACGACCCAAAGCTTTGGGAACCTGCACCCGCGTGGGAGACCCGGAAGAGGCTCCTGGCTATGGATCGGCATAGTATCGGCCCGTTGCGCTCACTTGGGGAGTGAATCATCGGACGGAAGATCTTCCTCTCTGTCTCTCCTCTCTGTATATCCGCCTTTCCAATGAAAAAATAATAAAAATAAATCTTTAAAAAAAAAAAAAAAAAAAAGAAGATGATTAAAATGGAAGGTTCTAGTTCTTGAGGCAGTAGCTTATCTTTAGCTGATTAGGACAGTGTATCTAGTTCCCACCCTAAGTAGGGAAGCAAGTATGGGGGGGGGGGATCAGTAACATAAAATAGTAACATTTTCTGAAAAACATTGATAGGGTCAGTACTGTGATGTGGTGGGTGAACCGCTGCCTGTGACAACAGCATCCCCTCTCCTCACACTAGAGCACTGGCTTGATTCCCGGCTGCACTGCTTCTGATCTAGTTCCTTGTTGATGTGCCTGGGATGATCTAGTTCCTTGTTGATGTGCCTGGGAAGGCGATGAATGATGGCCCAGGTACTTGGGTTCCATCACTCCTGTGGGAGACCCAGATGGATTTCCTGGCTCTGGCGATTATTAAGAAAAAAAAGAGGGCCCGGCGCGGTGGCGCAAGTGGTTAAAGGTCCTCGCCTTGCACGCCCGGGATCCCATATGGGCGCCGGTTCTAATCCCGGCAGCCCCGCTTCCCTTCCAGCTCCCTGCCTGTGGCCTGGGAAAGCAGTCGAGGACGGCCCAGGGCTTTGGGAACCTGCACCTGTGTGGGAGACCCGGAAGAGGCTCCTGGCTTCGGATCGGCATAGTATCGACCCGTTGCGCTCACTTGGGGAGTGAATCATCGGACAGAAGATCTTCCTCTCTGTCTCTCCTCTCTGTATATCCGCCTTTCCAATAAAAAAATAATAAAAATAAATCTTTTAAAAAAAAAAAAAAGAAAAAAAAGAGATCTATTTTTATCGAAAAGGCAGAGTTATATAGAGAGGAGAAACAGACAAATATCTTCATTCTGCTTGTTTAGTCCCCAAATGGCCACAGTGGCCAGAGTTGAGCCAATCCAAAGCCAGGAGCTGGGTCTCCTATGCAGGTGCAGGGTCCCAAGGACTTGGACCGTCCTCTACTGCTTTTCCAGGCCACAGGCAGGGCGTTGGATAGAAAGTGGAGCAGCTGGAACACAAACTGGCACTCATATGGGAAGCCAATGCCACAGGTAGATCAGCTTGCTACACCACTTTGACGTACTTACATTTTGGGGTTGTTGTTATAAAAGTACCTCTCTTCCTAGATTCTGTTCTTTGCTGCTGGAGGTGAGTGAGCGGGAGGGGAGATGGCTACCTGTGCAGACCTTTGTCCTTTCTCATTACCTTTAGTTATATACATATATTAGAAAGGCAGATTTACAGAGAGGAGAGACAAAGATCTTCTGTCTGCTAATTCACTCCCAGTTGGTTACAATGGGTGGAGCTGAGCCAATCTGATCCCAAGCCGGAAGTCAGGGGCCTCTTCCAGGTTTCCCACATCAGTGCAGGTCCCAAGGCTTTGGCCATTCTCTGCTGCTTTTCCAGGACACAAACAGGGAGCTGGATGAGAAGTGGAGCAGCCAGAACACCAACTGACACTCACATGGGATCCCAGAGCATATGAGTTGATGATTTAGCCACTCGGCCATTACGCCCGGCCCTGGGTCCCAGTTTTCTTACATCTTTAAAACAATTCCATTTTCTATTGTCACTTGGGTGCAGGAGTTAGGAGTTTCCTCCTAGTTTCCCATGTGGGTAGAGGAGTCCAAGCATTTGGGCTAGCCTCCACTGCTTTCCCAGGCCATTAGTAGTGAGTTGTATCGGTTGGAGCAGCCACATACACCTGGTGTCCACATGGAATGCTGGTGTTGCAGGTAGAGGATTAGCTCGCTATGCCATCCCTCCAGCCCTGATGCAGACATTTTTGCGACACCTAAATGACGTCAAAGGTACTATTTTTAGTACCTGATACAACAATATTATTTGTGTATATACATGCAGGTACTTCAAAAAAGTTCATAGAAAACAAGTTTGTTTTCATGCAAAATAAATTTAGAAATACATTCAGTGCTTGCATAAAACACTTTCCATGAACTTCCTGTAGACATCATTTACATACAACAAAAGACACTATTTGGCCCAAAACAATGTATGATGTGTTTGTGTGATAAAAATCTGGAGTTTTCTAGGAACATAGTAATTCTTTCATTTGACCAGTGTAGCACTATATAGTTACACACTGTAAAAAGTTTCCCCTATAGTGTAAAACTAACAGTATACACATACAGAAATAATCTAAGCTTCAATATTAAGAGATCAGCACTGTGGAGTAGATTAAGCTTCTACCTGTGGTGCTGACATCCCTATAGGCACCAGTTGGAGTCCTGGCTGTTCCCTCCTTACTAATATAGCTGGGAAAGTAGCAGCAGATGGCCCAAATCCTTGGAACCCTGCACCTATGTGGGAAATCCTGAAGACACCACAGGCTCCTGGATTCAGACCAGCCTAGTTCTAGCCATTGCTGCTACTTGGGGAATGAACTAGCAGATGGGAGATCTGTCTCTTCTCTTCCCTGTATTCTGCCTTTCAAATAAAAATAAATCTTAAAATTCCAACACTAAAATGAAGCCTCGATTGGATCTTTCTGGTTTTCATTTTCCAACAGAGGTGAGTTTTTGGTTTCCCCTGTGATCCTGTCAGTCTCGCAGGACTTCCATTCTGACAGCATTGGATGAACTCACTTGCTGCTAATTCGCCCATCTTGAAGATGGAACTTCCAATGACAATAAAAAGTAGGGTGGCCTTGTACATGGCTCTGTCCATAGTAATCATGACAGAATGTCTTTGTCTAACCTTCTCGGGTACAAAGCAAGGTCCTTGGCCCTCTGCTCCTTCTCTCTGAGTGACACCAGTTACAGTTCAGTCAGACCTTTTGTCTGTTAGTCCTCAGGGCCTTTCTTAGGAAAAGGTTGCTCAACACATTCACACTCCCCCCCCCCCCTTTGTATATTGGACTTTCCAATACAAATAAAAGGAAGATCTTCCATCCACTGACTCACTCCCCAAGTGGCTGCAATGGCTGGAGCTGAGCCAATCCAAACCCAGGAACTAACAGCCTCTTCTGGGTCTCTCACGTGGGTGCCAAAACCAAGGGTTTGGGCCGTCCTTGACTGCTTTCCCAGGCCACAAGCAGGGAGCTGGATGGGAAGCGGGGCTGCTGAGAACACAAACCGGCGCCCATATCAGATCCTGGCGTGTGAAAGGTGCTAGGCTACCATGCCAGACCACTGAATTCACTTTTAAATATTTAAAAGTTTGCATTGCTATGTAGTCTACATTACATTGCATCAAGTAGAACTCACTGTAGTCTGTAGAATAACCACTAAACTGCAACTTACAGTAGATTTTATGCTTTGGTAAGTGAAAAGCTGGGCAGCTTACTAACATTTTCTGGGTTTTTCCTAAAGATGGTCAATAAAGAACAAAAAATTATGCAACAAATTTTATTTAGCATGGTCAGTCCCAACATTCAGCACAAAAAGTTTACAGAGGATAGAAAGTGCATTAATAAAAGCCAGTCTTTACCAAAAGAAAACAGAAAATATATTATTGATTCAAAATATTTTACACTTGAATGATAAACTGCAATAACTTATTTTTGGGCACCTACTGATAAGAGAAAAGAAGAATGTCTTAAGAAGAGCTCACGCTCCCGCTGGTGTCGGAGGTGTCAGTAGAGGTCACTGAGCCCGGCCGTCTTTCTTGCCTTCTGCATTAGTGCCCTCAGCTGGAACTGTTTACGGGACAGAAGCCGTACGTGCTGTGAAGGGGGGAAAGGTTGCAGCCATTTAGAGTGGCTCCAATCCTGGAGCAGGCATGAAGTAGCAGTGCATAACCCAGATAGCTTCAAGCTTCACTTGGAAACAATACTTCATGACATAGGGCCTTTTCAACTCTACCACATTGCTGCTAGCTGACCATGTGAAAGGCAATTCATTTTCCCAGATCTTAAAAAGGCTTACCCGCAGGAAAGCATCAGGTTGCAGGATCTGGCTCAGAAACGTAAGCTAAACCTTGAGACTAACCAAATAGCTTCCACAACTAGGTCTGTCTCCACCTGGCTAAAAGGAAGGGAAGGACAGCTTTGGTCCCCAGTGCAGAGACTGACATGTAGCATCTCTTTCCTGTTCTCCATGTGCATATTTTCCTGAGCTGTGCCACTCACAGTGTACAGAAATCCTCTGGGCTCTTTGCTTTATGTTAAGGCATTACTCGCTTGCATTTGGTCCAGGAAATGGTGTAGCCACCAGCCAGTAAGGAGACACGAGACAGGCAAGACTAGCAAGTGACTTCATCAGCCATGCATGTATTTAGAGGTGCCAGTGGCAGCTGGTTTAAATAACCAGAGTAGCTATTCCTAAAACTGGGAGCTCCATTACCCAACAGCCAGTAATAGCCATATTTGATTTAACATTTTCATGTCTGTTATACAGCATAAACCTGAAAACAATCTTCATTTGAAAGAGTAGTCCACTACACCTTCAAGGGCTGGGGAAAACTCAGAAATTAACAATCAGGGTGGAGCCCAACCAGCAGTGTCAATCTTGGTCCTGAATGAACTGATAGAAATCTAACCATGCTTCCTCTTGGTCTACACAGGCCCAGTGTAAATAGCAAAACTACATTTACCTTGATGCTGCCTAGTAGTAGTGATGTCAGAGGGCAATACAGCCACCAGCCTACTTTTCTCCTCCCTCTCAGACTGATCCCTAGCACTCTGTAGTTAGACGACACTGCCCCCAGCAGTGCTACCCCGTGCTCACCTACAGCAGATAAGGAATCCTAACCCACCATACAGAGAAACCCTCCTGGTCTGTGGTTTTCAAAATCAGGGTCTTGACAACCCAAGATCCAAAATCCTGGAAAGCAGTGAGGAAGGCATACCTTAAGGAAGACATCCAGGTCGATTACTCCTCGCCTCAAGGCTTCTCCCAGGTAAAAGATAGTGTCTTCAATTGCATTTTCCTCTGCGTACAGATTTAGGATCTGTTTGTATAGTGGGGCTGTGGGAATGATAACTTCATCAATATCATTGTTTTCAGATTGATTTTCCATTTTCTCCAGAGCAGAACTGAGTTCTTCATCCTTCTTTTTCAAAAGTTCTATGTTTTTATCAACCTCAGCCTGAAAACAGAACAGTCCATGCATGATGACTTTATACTCATTGTACAGTTACCTGCTTGTTATCTACAACCTAATAGGAACAGACCAATAAAGCAGTGCTTAAACAACTCAAGATTAGACTACTGGTTCAAGGAAGAGGGATGGTGTGACCACTAGGTTGCTTGGAAACACCTTGAAGCGAGCACTTTGAGTGACAGGGGAGACGCAAATGGAGCTCCTGTTTTTGGAACCGCAATGGAGAACCGCAATGGACGGAAGATCTCTCCCTTTGTGTCACTTTTTTTTTAATTGGAAAGGCAGATCAGATTTGTAGAAAGGAGAAACAGATCTTCTGTCCACTGGTTCACTTCCCAAAATGACCACACAGCTGGAGCTAAACTGATCTGAAGCCAGGAGCTTCTTCTGGGTTTCCGACTCTTCTCTCTGTGTAACATTGCCTTTCCAATAAAAAAAAAAAAAAAAAAAAAACTTAAAAAATAAAAGATTTGAAAAGAGGAAGAGATTTTTCATCCACCGTGTCACTCCCCAATGGCCACAATAGCTGGAGCTTGGCTGGCCTGAAATCAGGAGCTTCTTCCAGGTCTCCCACGTGAATGCAGGGGCCCATGCACTCGCGCTATTCTCTGCTGCTTTCCCAGGCATGTTAAGAGTGAGCTGGAATGGAAGCAGAATAGCTAGGACTTGAACTAGTGCCCACATGGCACGCTAACATTACAGATAGCTGCTTTACCCACTATGCTACAATGCCAGCTTCCCCCCTCCTCTTGCCCCACACCATGCCTTTTAAATAAACCTTAAAAAAATTATTGAAATTCTTCCTTGTGGGGATGAAAAGTGTAGAGTGAAGCTGGTACACAAATTATGCCACTGCTCTATCTCATCAGTAAGCAAAGTCACAGGGATGACTTGCATTCTTATTACCCAAAGCACAGCAGTCGGTTAAAAATGCAAGAAAATATACCGAACCAAAGGTTATACACATAGTTTTTATGAGGCCATTAATCACACATCTCTGGATTAATACAGAACTAGCTGTGTTTTGGGGAACTTAACCTTGCTGTTGAGATGTAAATGGCTCAAGCACCTCCTCCCTGGTTGCCTAGTGACAACCTTCCTTTAAAAGTCAGGTGCTGTTAATAAACTTCGGCTACTGACCATCAGTCAGTAGTCCATGCGTGTTATCGGCTCTGTGCACCAAGTCCATCGGTGCAGGACAGTGACAAGTGGCGCCTGAACAGGGACTTGAAAGAAGAGAAAGTGCAGCAGAGACCCCCCACAGAAAGTGGTGAGTGGGAAAATGTGCCAGAATCAGTGTAAAGCAGTCTTTTATCTCTCTTATGTAGAAATTTTTAGTGAAAAGTGGAGCAAAGGTAACTAGGCAGCAATTGTGTTATTTAGAGCTTATGATGAATATAACCCATGGTCTCCAGATGAAGGGACACTAGAAACAATTTACGAATTGTTTTACTTAGAACTATGGTGAAAAGGCTGGAAGGATAAAAGAGACTTACGTTAGTTTTTGGATTACATAGGCTTTAATTAAAGCTGTTATTATAATTTTAGAAGGGGAATCTGCAAGTAACTCCTCTAAGAGAAGATACCCCCAAAACACAGCTAGTTCCTCTAGCAGGTTCTTTATCCAAACCTTATCAATTGCTCTTGGTGCCTTCAGGGGGGATTCAACTGGCTACTGTTTCCCACAATAGCCAAGACTCTGAATGTCCTTCTACAAATATAAGGTGTGCTGAAGACATTTTCAGAAGTGGCTCCAACAGGACAAATGTTGTGGCCTAGCATGTAGTCACCGCCTGGCATCCAAAATGGGTAACAGTTCCTATCCTGGCTGCTCTACTTCTGATCCAACTCCCATCTAATGGCCTAGGAAAAGCAGCGGAAGATGGCTCAAGTGCTTGGGTCCCTGCCACCCATGTGGGAGACCTGGAAGAAGCTCCTGGCTTTGTCCTGGCGCAGTCCCAGTCAGGGTCATCTGGAGAGTGAACCATCAGATGGAAAATCTCAAAACAAATGGCTCCAACATTTGAAAACTTCAGTCTAAACTCAAAAACAAAAATTCTTTATCATTGCATAGAATTCTTTCAAATGATTATTTCCTGGTAATTGGCAATGTCAAGCATACAAATAGTCACCTAGGGGTGAGTATGTACAAGCAAAACATTCTAAAGCTTTATGTGCTTCCCAAATGTCAAACATGGGATCCATTTCCAACAACACTAAACAGAAGTTATATTAAAATGTTTAAGCTATGTTAAATTTTCTGAACTTAACTATACTCACAACTTCCGAGGTATAAATAGAGTATCCATTCAACCCCCAATTGCAAATCTCTGACGAGTTACTTACTACTTCTTGGTCTAAGCGGGTAACCATCTCTTCCAGCTTCTGGTGGCCTTTCTTCAGGTCTTCCTCTGTTCTCTTCAAGGCATTGAGCTCTGCCTGCGCACGATCCATTTCTTCCTTCATTCGCCATCTCAGTTTGTCACTTACAGCTGAGATGAGAGAGGCTCGGATGGTGTCCTCACTGATTGTGCCATCCCTGCTAGGACCTGCAAGAGATAAAGGCAAAGCCACTCGCTTACTTGCTCCTTACGCTGTGTCACTCACAGCAATCTCTGCAAGCAGTAAGACATGTGAGCTGCCACTTTCCAAGTGGGAGGAAAGAAAAATACAAACATCATAGTTGTATCACAAACATGCAAACCCCACCTGATTCAGAACTATTTTCCTTGGAAGATAACACATTTTTATTATTTTTTTTTGAAGGGGTATTTATTGGGGAGAAACTGGGGCATGGGAGTGACAGGATGGGAATGTGAGAATGAATGAGGCTGAACACTTTCACTTTCTGGTTGAGGTTTACTCTTCAATGCTTGCAACAGCCAGGTATAGGCCAGACCAACACCAGCAGCCAGGAACTCCATCCGGGTCTCCTACTTGGGTGACAGAAGCCCAGGTACTTGCGTCATTCTCTGCTGTCTTTCAGTGCATTGGCAAGAAGGTGATTTGCAGAGCCCAGCATGATGGCACAAATGGCTAATCCTCCCCTTGCAAGTACCGGGATCCCATTTGGGACCGATTCATGTTCTGGTTGCTCCCTGCGTGTGGCCGGGGAAAGCAGTTAAGGACAGCCCAAAGCCTGGGGATCCTGCACATATGTGGGAGACCTGAAAGACGCGCCTGGCCCCGGACTGGCTCAGCTCCAGGCTTTGCAGCCACTTGGGGAGTGAATCAGTGGATATCTTTTCTCTCTCTCTCCTCTCTGTAAATCCGCCTTTCCAATAAAAATAAATAAACCTTTCACAAAAGGAAAAGATGGTTGTAGAGGAGTGAATCAGTGGGCAGAAGAGCTTTCTCATCTCCTCTCTATAACTCTGGCTTTCTAATATCGCAAAAAAAAAAAAAAAAAAAAAAGCCAAGCTATGGAGGTGAAAAATGATTTATAATTTTAGGTTTTTTTTTTAAAAATTTTTATTGGAAAGGCGATATATATAGAGAGAGAAGAGAGAGAGGATTTTCCATCCAATGGTTCACTCCCCAAGCAGCTGCAACGGCTGGAGTTGAGCCAATCCGAAGCCAGGAGCCAGGAGCTCTTCCAGGACTCCTACATGGGTGCAGGGTCCCAAGGCTTTGGGCCATCCTTGACTGCCTTCCCAGGCCACAATCAGAGAGCTGGGTGGGAAGCAGGGCCGCCAGGACTAGAACTGGTGCCCATAAGGCATCCTGGCATGTTCAAGGCGAGGACTTTAGCTGCTAGGCTATCATACCGGGTCATATAATTTTAGCTCCTTAAAAAATGCCAATACAATAAAATTTGAAAACATTTTATTGAAACACAAACTGGACATCTTTTCTGATAGCCAATATTATCCTTAAAATATCTTCACTGCAATATGCATCTCTACTTCTGAATAAGATATGGGCTCCCTATGAAATTGTTAAATAAATATTAAAAAAAATGTACTAAAAAAATTCACTAATTTTTATTGGAAAGTCAAATTTACAGAAAGATTTTCCATCTACTGATTTACTCCCCAAGTGGCCGCAATGGTCAGAGCTGAGCTGAACTGATCCTAAGCCAGGAGCTTCTTCCAGGCCTCCCACATGGATGCAGGGTCCTAAGGTTTTGGGTCGTCCTCAACTGCTTTCCCAGGCCACAAGCAGGGGAGTTGGATGGGAAGTGGAGCAGTCGGGACATAAACTGGCACCCATATGGGATCTCAGCACATGTAAGGTAAGGCTTTAGCCCCAAGCTACCACATCAGGCCCTAAATAAATTTTGACAACACATGTCCATATCTACAATGTCATGATACACTTAAATAAAAAAAAAATGATGAAATTTTGCTGCTGTTGAAGGGGTATACTATTCTTAAAATATAGGAGAAAACAGTTGGAGGAAGGAAATCCCTGAGCCTAAGGATCTGTATCATGAAAAATAAGAACAATATAAAAAAGTATAGTATCAGGCCCGGAACGATAGCTCAGCGGCTAAAGTCCTTGCCATGCACATGCCGGGATCCCATATGGGCACCTACTCTAATCCTGCGGCTCCACTTCCCATCCAGCTCCCTGCTTGTGACCTGGGAAAGCAGTCGAGGACGGCCCAAAGCCTGGGACCCTGCACCCGCGTGGGAGACCTGGAAGAGGTTCCAAGCTCCTGGCTTTGGATTGGCACAGCACCAGCCGTTGCGCTCACTTGGGTAGTGAATCATAGGATGGAAGATATTCCTCTCTGTCTCTCCTCTATATATCTGACTTTACAATAAAAATAAATCTTTAAAAAAATTATAGTTTCTTGCAAGAAATTTTAGCTGATTTGCTGTTGTCACTCTTTTTTTTTTTTATTTCAAACAAAACAGAACACAGATTTTAGTTTTGTGCAAAAATTAACCTTATTTAGAGAAGTCTTGCTTTGGGGTGATCTCTGGGGGATCTAGAGATTAAATCAGGTCACTCACATGGATAGTCAGCCATATCCATGTGACCAGTCGCCCATGAGTGTCCCTAGTTGGCAATACTCTATGCATATTGCTACTTGTTACTAGGAACCATCAACACTGTCCACAAATCCCTCCTTGGAGAGGGCAACTAAGAGCTTTGAACTGGCACCTCCAAATTCCTAATCACTCTTTAACTGATTTTAATCTGTGTCCTTTTGCTGTAATAATCCCTCTCAGTACAGTGGCTTTCAATGAGTTCTCCAAATCTTGCTATAGAATACAGAACCTGAGGGTGGGCTTGAGGACTCTTCAAACTTGCCACAGGTTTTTAAAACAATGGTTAGTCTTGTCATTTATGGCAAATTGTAGAGTAACTCATTCTTTAAATGAAGGTATGTAAAAAGGTAAACATCTTTTCCCACTAACCATACAAAATGAAACACATCAGAGAGAGAACTTTTATTTGATGCTTTCATGGGTTCATGACTCAGACTTAGCTTTGTCCTCTGGACAAAGTTAGGCAAAATAAAAATCTTGAATTTCTTATATTGCACTAATTTATTAATTCCTTGGAAGATAGCAAAAAAACAGTTAATTTGGGGGACCAGTGTTGTAGCATATTGAGTAAAGCCACTGCTTGCTATTGGGCGTCCGTATGGGTGCTGCTTTGTGTCCCTGCTGCTTATCTTCTGCCCAGTCTCTGCTAATGGCCCAAGTACCTGGCCCTCTGCCAGTCAGTGGGACACATGGATGAAAGATCTCTCTCTCCCTGACTTTTGAAATAAATAAATTAATATTTTAATAAAGGCTAATTTCTCCAAAGTATAAATATGAGTTTTGAGCCCAAAGATTTATGAAATGATGACTATTAAAGATGGTATCTAATTACCCATTTTAGAGAAACACAGTAGTAGTGGAATTTAAAAACTTATTTCTTAAAGAAGTTACAACCACCCTGATACTTTAATGGTTCTCAAGATGGAAAAATTTTTCTTCTAGAGATTGTTACCCAAGTGACATGAATATGGTTATGTATTCAAATATGTGATCAACACACATACTGAGATAATATTCCAGTACTCCACTTATACGAATTAATAGCTTAGGGTCTTTCCTAACTAATCTGTAATTCCCACACACAACATACTAAAACTGCATGAAAGTTATTATTTATGGTCTAATGGATTGAGTTTAATGGATGTTTACTTTTCAAATACCTAATTTTAAAAATACACATTTAAATCCTAGCATTTGCATTATATTTCTCTTAATAAAACATGTTAAACAAATGTAACCACATAGCAGTAAGCATGTCCTTCCCAAGACTCTCCAGCCAAAGCCATTAACATTTAAAATGGGAATCAAGACAGGCAGCAGTCACCAGGACGACAAAGGTCACAGTTCACACCAGGCTAGAAATGACAAGATCAGACCAGCTGCTACTTCTACCACACTCAGGCCTTATTACATCTAAGCTTATTTTAACTTGAAGTATTTTCTGAAAAGAACTGTAATAAAGATGTGAAATATGAAAGTCAAAAAGAAAAAAGCCAGTGTTTTCCAAAGAAAAGCAAGGAGTCCATTAAAGTTCCAAATCTGTTAACTACTTGTCACTGTGGAAATTGTTTATGTATAAACAAATAAAAAGATCTGATGGGAGGGTCTCATCTATTTCTCAATCACTATTCAAACGTTTTCCCCCTCTAACAGCTTATGAGAAATTTTAGAATATCCTTCCTGGCTAAGTAAAGTGTGGCAAAGTATCATACTTGCCATCCACCCACAGTGACCTTTACCTACGGGGAGTCGCATTTCAGAAGTGCCCTTTTAATTCCAGATTAGCAACTGAAATAACACAGACTTTGAGAAACAAACCTAAGTAAGCCTCCTTTAAATGTCAGGCAAGATGGATTACTATTTTTTTTAAAGGTTTATGTATTTATTTGAAAGAGAGAGAGTAGCCACAGAGAGCGAGCTTCCTTCTACTGGTTCACTCCCCAGATGGCCTCAACATTAGGGAATTGGTGTGGGCTAGGCCTGGGATGAGCCACACTAAAGCCAAGAGCTTCCTTGGGCACTTCTCACATGGATATAGGTGCCCAAGCTCTCAGACCATCATCTATTGCTTCTTCTAGGCCATTAGCAGGAAGCTGGATTGGAATAGTAACTACTTAAAAAGGGAAAGGGAATTATGGAGGTTTAAGAAGAAAAATGGGGAGTGTCACATGGTTTAGATGTAGTTTGTTCCTCAAGGACCCATGTGTTGTGAACTGATACCTGTGTCATGCTTTTGAGACTCCAGAACTGAGCTGGAGAAGTCTCTTCTCCCCTCATGAGCAGCTGCCTCAGGTATTTTGATATGGCAAGAAAAAGCAGAGTAACACAGGGGATCTAAGGTAACAGGGACAGACATTTGTCACAATGAAAGAATGAACAGTGGCAGGTAAAATGGAGTTGAGAGTTCTTTAAGGTGATTTTATGACACATTTTTTACATAAAGTGATCCAGTAGAGAAACAAAATTCATAGAGAACTGCTGAAGTGATGCCCCTAAATAAGATGGAGGAGATAAGAGCTAGGGGAGAAACAAGATTCAGATACAACCAAACACAAAGCAAACGTGGGAGTGGGAATCTACAGAAGTTCTTCTAATGCTCTAATGTTCTCAGTTGAAGAAAACTACTTCTGGCAACTATAATGAGCAACGACTACTGTTCTATAAAAATTTGACTTACTTGCCCCACTCATATTAACCAATAGTGTGTTCTTCCCCTAATGACACTCATCTGTAAGTATCTGTCACTAGTTTAACACATTTAGGGTTTACCAATAAAAATATGCGACAAACAGGATAGTGTTCACAATTTGATTTCTTTTTATGCCTAGGTAAAAGAATCCTTTATGTGATGACAAGTCACTTACCATAAGTTTTGGATGATAGCCCAGTGACCAATAAGGTTTTTCCTCTAAGAGAGAGTACTCCTCTAAAATTTTACATGGGAAAGTGAAATGCATTTTTCATAAAAACAGGCTCTGTTTATGTGGAGAAATAGAAGTTTTCAAAGTTACTCACCAACAGTGGTCACAGGAGGCTGGGAAGGGTACTGAGAACTTGTTGTGGCAGGATACGGGCCACCAGCTGGGTAAGGACAGCCAGGGTAACCACTAATGAAAAGAAAAGCCATTTAGTGTTAAGATGGCCCTACATGACAGTACCCTTTAAGAACCCCATTCAGGAGGTTAGGCTTGACATACTATTGTTTTACCAGTTAATGAATTTAGAGTTGTAAGTAATAACCTATAGAAATTTTATTAATGTTACTTGGTTTAAAGCGAATGATCATCTGAAGGTTATTTATTAGTAGCAGAAAGCAGATGAGTGTTTTTTTTTATTTTTAATTTTCACCACGGTACAGTTTTGTAGATACAGGGCTGTTCCGCTCCCCCACATCTTCCTCCCTCTCATCCCCCATCGCTGCCCAGTTTTCATTCACCAAATGATTACAGCAGTATAGTCCCTTAATAACAAAGACTAACGTTCTGCTATTTAATCGTATCATGACATGATTTCAACATGCGTTTCAAGTAAAGGCCCTAAGTTTGCCTTTTGGGGCACCTGAATATCTGAATAGCAGCACTAGAATATTTTAAAATGTCTAACATTTTCCCCTCACAGGAAAATCTCCTCACAGGCTGAATATTCTTAATTGCTTCAACCGTTCTTCATAGGATATTTTTCACCTACTGACTTTCCTCTGAATGTTACTACTTTGTCAGTATTTTCCTTAGAGTAGAAAAATAAAACGGAATGATTATTCATCACCTTTTAGTTAGACATCTGAAATAAAGTTATTTTATCTATAATTGCTAATCGTAACATTCACAATTCTTTTTTTTTTTAAATATTTATTTATTGGAAAGTCAGATATACAGAGAGGAGGAGAGACAGAGAGGAAGATCTTCCATCCGATGATTCACTCCCCAAATGAGCTCAACGGCTGATGCTATGCCAATCCGAAGCCAGGAGTCAGGAACTTCTTCCGGGTATCCCACATGGGTGCAGGGTCCCAAGGCTTTGGGCCGTCCTCGATTGCTTTCCCAGGTCACAAGCAGGGAGCTGGATGGGAAGTGGAGCTGCTGGGATTAGAACCGGCGCCCATATGGGATCCCGGTGTGTTCAAGGCGAGGACTTAGCCACTAGGCCACGCCACCAGGCCCAACATTCACAATCCTGATAATAGGCCTTTTGAAAGCCCATTAAAATTACTGACTAAAAGGCCCGGAGCAGAAGCCTAGTGGCTAAAGTTCTCGCTTTGCATGCACTGGGATCCCATATGCACACCAGTTTGTGTCCCAGCTGCTCTACTTCCCTTTAAATTCCCTGCTTGTGGCCTGGGAAAGCAGTTGAGGAGAGACCAAAGCCTTGAGACCCTGCACCTGTGTGGGCGACCCGGAAGAAGCTCGTGGCTCCTCACTTTGGATCAACTCAGCTCTGGCCATTGTGGCCACTTGGGGAGTGAACCAGCAGAAGGAAGATTTTTCTCTCTGTAAATCTGACACTACAATAAAAACAAATAAATCTTAAAAAAAAAAAAGCTTTGGGAATGAAATGGTAAAAATCCATTGTAATTATACTATTCACGCAGCAAGTGGTAAAAAAAATCAAAAAAGAAGAATGCTAAGTGTTTCTGTTCTTAGTGCACACAAGCTGGAGGCATATTTGTTTTTAGTCTCATTAGAAACCCACGTTGCAGGCCCGGTGCGGTGGCGCAAGTGGTTAAGGTCCTCCCCTGGCACGCCCGGGATCCCATATGGGCGCCGGTTCTATCCCGGCAGCCCCGCTTCCCATCCAGCTCCCTGCCTGTGGCCTGGGAAAGCAGTCGAGGACGGCCCAAAGCTTTGGGACCCTGCGCCCGCGTGGGAGACCCGGAAGAGGCTCCTGGCTTCGGATTGGCATAGTATCGGCCCGTTGCGCTCACTTGGGGAGTGAATCATCGGATGGAAGATCTTCCTCTCTGTCTCTCCTCTCTGTATATCCGCCTTTCCAATCAAAAAATAATAAAAATAAATCTTTAAAAAAAGAAACCCACGTTGTAAGGTCAAAGGGAAATAATGTTAATCAAATTTTCGTATATACCTTTTTGAAATTGGAGGTAACTTTTTCTGTAGTTCCTATCATTTTGTAGACCTTTTCAGACAATGTATGATTAAACCAGATTTTTCAGCAACTTGATATAAAATTCTTGTAGACCTACAGTTATTAACAGGATTTCCTATTTAGCTAGTTTTTCAGTTTCTCCTTTACAGCAATTCTCCAGGTTGAGAAGTAATGATTTTTCTTAAATTCAGCATCTGGCCCAGCTGCTGACACTGGGTTACAATGCCCACGTCCCACAGTGGAATGCCTGGGATCTGGCCCGCAGCTCCACTCTTGATTCTAGTTTCCTGTTTCTACCTAGCAGGTGATGCTCAAGTGATTTGGTCCCTGCCAACCACCTGGGAGCCTGGGCTCGCTCCCAGCTTCTTGTTTAGGCTTAGTCCACTCTCAGACTGCTGCAAGTACTTGGACAGTGACCCAGCAGATGACACTGGTCTGTCTCCCAGGAAATATTTAAAAAATTGAATGCTATCATGTTGTATCTCTGAAGATTACTAAACAATGTGCCTTATGCAGCATACCTTTTTTGAAATTTTATTTAATTAAAAAATACAACCATTTATTTGAGGAAAAGAGAAAGATCCCATTTGCTGGTACATTCCACAAACGCCTGAATGGTCAGGAGTGGGCCAGGCTGAAGTCACGGGACAGAATTCAGTCTAGGTTTCACAAGTGGGTAGCAGGAACTCAACCACTTGAGCTATCCCCTTTTGCTTTTAGACTGCGCATTCACAGGAATGCCAGACGCAGAGGCTGGAAACATAGGCACTCCAATATGGGATACAGGCATTTTAACCGCAAGGACTAATGCTAATCCCCTTTTTGGAAATGTTAAAGAGCCCCACTCAACTTATGCATTTTTATAAACAATTTTAATTTCATTTTATTTAAAGATCAGTGATAGGTTGGGGGGTGCAGAAAGCAAGCACACCCACACAATCTTCCATTTATTTGTTCACTTACAGCAACCCATGTACTCCCTCCCTGTGCTGGACCACTGGCAGAAAGCTGGATTGGATTCTGAGAAGCCAGGACTTGTTCCAGCAATGTAGACTGATTGTACCCCCACTTCCCAAAGTTTTGTTTATTTGAAGGCATGGAGAGACAGAGCAAGCTCTCTCCATGTCATTTTGCTTTGGTTTGAGTATGTGCCCCAAGGGTTCATTAATGTGGGTCCTTGAGCACTCCACAAATTTCCTAAATATTATGCAGAACCAATCAATAATCCACATGATGGGTCCAACTCGTCTCATATCTATTTACTGAGTGTGTAAGATGTTAAATATATATTTTTACTTAGCTGAATTTATTCTAACAGGTGTTAAATTAACGTTTCAGCAAAGATTTCAAGTTCAAAACCAATCAAGATTGTCTTTTTCCACTGCACCTTGTTCCTCTCTGGAAATAAAACAACAGCATTTCTCCAGGCTAGAAAAGATTCCTTCCAAACTAAGCACACATACCATAAAATTATACCAAGTTTTATTTTACGTGAATTTTCAACTAAATCTACTTTAGTTAATAACTGTTAAGACATGATTTTTGATTCTAGAATGAACAGCAGGACTTTTAATACAATTAGTCAAGAGATTTCATTACCTGGGATTGGGAGGATATCCAGCTGGATATGCAGAGATCCCGCCTGGCATGCCTGGCATGTAGGAGGCTACAAACACATTTTAATATTTTTTAATAATGTGCGTAGTCCTGAATATACAAGCTATTTATGAATAAGATATTCATCACTGTCAAACCAGAGCCAGGTTTCCTTCACTTAAAAAAATTCAAATCTCAACACCAAAACAAACACCAAGACAGTAACACCCCACTCATATTATTTTATTTGAAGCAGTAAACATTTTCAGATCACATAATTATATTAAACATGACTTACAACACCACTCGTAACAATTCCAACAAGGAATAACTGGCAAATAGGTCAACCAAAATGATTAGCTTCACAGGACTGCCAAAAAATCTATAACCCAAGACAAGAGCTGGTTCAATGTGAAATTTAGAGAAAGGTAATTCTGGCCTCCTTTAGTTCAGGGTCAGGTTCTTCCAAAGTGACCTCTTTATTATGCTAAAGACATTGGACATTTAATAAAAAAAAATATGTTGACCAATTTGCACAGCTGGTTTTGTTGGCTTATTTAGGCACTTCAAAACATCTCAGGCTACTATGAGAAGTCCTATATAAAACTTAGTCATTTAGACTAGTTAAAAGCATCACAGAAATACTAAAAAAAAAAAAAAAAAAAAAAAAAAGTAAAATCTAATAAAGGTAAAGAATGCTTTATACATTAATCAAAGAGAGTGTTGATGGCATAGAGTGAGGACCAATGATGACAATAAGCTAATCCTAACAAAGGAAGAAAGGAAGAAAGAATTGTTCATTTTAGTGTTGACTAGAACTCAGAATCAATGTTTCTTCAGTGAAACTTTCTCATTAATAAAGGATGAATTAGGCTTTTAATTCAAAAAATAAAATTTCCAGTGTCCTTTATGTGAAAGGTACCAGGAATTGAGTTGATCAAAAAACGAAAGACAAAACCCAACAAACTAGAATCCTTGGTAGCAAATACTGATGCTGAGGTTTGTGAGAGGAGTGTTATTACGGGTCATCCAGGAAACAAAGTTAATATAAATCTAGGAGATGGAAATAAACAAAAATGATGTAGCAGAGGAATGACAGATGAAAGCTTGAAAGTAAAAGGGGTGCAGTCTTCACGGAATGAGAATTCAAGAAGATATGACAACTTATGGTGGACTTAGACGAGAGGAGCCTTGGTGTGGTTGTTAAGACCCTGTTGGGGATGCTCATATTCCACATCTGAGTGCCTAGAGGCTGAGTTCTGGTTCTGCCTCCGATTCTAGTTTCCTACTGATGTGTACCCTGGGAAACAACAGCTGATGGCTCAAGTGCCTGGGTTCCAGCAACTCAGGATAAAGTTCTGGATTGACTTTGTGGTTCCCACTTCTACCTGGCTCAGCCTTGATTGTTCTAGGCATCTGGGGATCAAACCGATGGAAGGAAGATCTTTTGTCTTGGTCTTCCAATCAATCAATCAGTAAAATGATGGCCCAATGCAATAGCTCAACTGGTTAATTCTCTCCTTGCAAGGACCAGGATCTCATATGGGTGTCAGTTCATGTCCCCACTGCTCCATCTCCCAATCAGCTCCCTGCCTATAGCCTGGAAAAGCAGTGGAGAATGACCAAAAGCCTTGGGATCTTGCACCCATGAGGGAGATTTGGAAGAAGCTCCTGGCTTTGGATCGGCTCAGCTCTAATGGGACCACCATTGGATCTGTGGCCCATCAAAAAAACAACATGTTCTTATGTGGTTTCTGACTGTATTTCAACACTGGAAATTGCAGCAAGCATGACTCAGATATGTCAAATAATGTAACACGTGGGTCTCCTAGCACCAGCAACAACATTACCTAGAACTGCAGGTTGAAACTGCTAATTCTAGTACTTTTTTTGCTCTCAAAACCTTTTTGCTTTTAAACACTATTCACAGGATTAGCACAATGTATCTATGAGTACAGATGTTGATTCTATTTGCAAAAATAATTTTAGAGCCAGAATAAAATGGAATGCTAAAATAAACAGTATATGGTGTCCTATTAGGATTAAGCATGAGCCTTCACTTGCTGCCTCAACAGGCTCTGTCATAGCAGGAAGCTGTAATCAGGAGTGGTGCGAGGACCCAACTCAGGTACCTCCTTATGAGTGAGATGTGGGTGTCAAATTAGCACCTTAATTACTTGGTCAAACAGCCATCTCTACTCTTAACATTGTTTTTAAACGTGATTCATAACTAGCTCAAAAGCCATCCTATAAGATGTAAAAAAAAGTCTCAACAATCATAATAACTTAAATTATTTTAAGTATAATTGCCCAACTAGATATAATATTTACTCAAGTATCCATCCAAGGGTGTGTGTATGTGTGTGAGTTTGTGTCTGTCTCTCTGGGGTAAAATCAAGATTTTCATTTCTCTGTAGTCAGACCTAGCATTAGTGGATATCTTCTAAATGTATCAAATATATTAAAACTGGAATGGAGAAGTAACAAAGTAGTCTTTTTCAGTAATTTTCTAAAATTTTCTGTAGTATTTAAAGTGACTTTCAGTGAGTGAATATAAAAATGTAATAGTGACTACAGCAGGTCTTTTAGATACTGAACTTTTAACATCAATGCCCTGAGGAAATTTAGAAAAAACAATATTTCTTAGGAAAGCTAATTTCTAGAAAGGTGCTTTTTGTCTTTCATTGGAGCCATCACTCAGGCTTCCCAGGGTCTGAATCAGCAAGCAGGGAGATATAGTTGGAACAGGAGCTAAGACCAGACTTTCAAGTGGGACCTCACAATATGACACTCAGTGCTCACTCCCAAGTTACCTTTGATTAAGACACTGGCTATATTATCTGAGGAAATAAATGATTGATAGGACTAGGAAGTATCTGCTATTTCAAAGTTAAATAAGCAATGTTCTCCACTCTCAGGTACTACAGTTAATGTAATTACTAGTAGTAAAATAAAAGCAAATTTCGGATCCAAAAGAAACACTATCTTTATTAAAAGATTCTAATCCTGAAACCAAGCTTATCACAGGAAGGTAGAGGAAAATGGAAATTTTTCTGTTATATTTCCATTCACCTTATAAATTGAGATGCTCCTTCAGAAAGAATGGATTAAAATGAAAGAATGATTTGCAGTAAAAAAAAAAAAAGCTCACATAATTTGTCTTATAAATTTGGCTAATTGTAATTTTAAATAAAATTTACAAAAAATTTACCACTCAAAACAGAATGAAACAAATACTGATTTAGTAAAAGCAAAGCAAGAACAACCAACTCTGTTATTCAGAACGAACTTAAAGTATTAGTAAGAATTATTTTTGAAAAAAGATAAGAGATATAATACCAGGTACTACAAAAAAATTCATGAAAAATGGAATAATGGTAAATTTTATTTTGGTGCAAAATTTATGAAATCCATGACTCCTAGTACAAACATGCATGAATTTCAACTATTTTTGCACCATAATAAACTTACCTTTAATTGTATTTCACATGAACATTTTGTAGTGCCTTTGAAAATACCAACTGGGTAGGACTGGTATTATCTCCACGCCTCCCACCTTTCTACACAAAGTAAAATCATGAGTTGGCTGTATACAACAAGCACACTGAGAGCTAGATTTCCAAATTGTGTATACTGGAATAGCTGAATATGAATGATTTGGTTGACAGTATAATTTTTATTTAGAACACTGATCCTGGAATTACAAAGAGAAAAGAAAAGTCAGACTACTTTTCAGGTTATGTCTGCTTCCAAGCTGATTAAATAAAGGCTATTTCACAGCATGCACAATTAAAAAAAATAACCTAGCTCTTTTCCAGCATTCTTTCTCCTCCACTCTGGAATTTAATAAATCCATACTTAGATTACTACCCACAGACAGAAGCCCATGTGCCAGTCTTTGGTAGAAATCTGTACATGTAGATGTGGGGTCTCAGAATACCTCCAAAAATTCCACTAACTTGACATACTAAAAAGCAAAATAAAGCCGTTAAAAATTTTTATAAGGCTTTCTGTGTTATCTAAGTTTAAAAGTAAAATCTCAATTGTACTTACTATTTGGTGGTCCTGTTGCCTGGTAGGGTGGATAGGATGCTGAAGCAGTAGGACGAGAGAAAACTGGAGGCTCTTCTCCAAACACCACAATCATGACCTGAATAAGCCCCAGCAAGTCTGACTGTGGCTGAAAACGGAAGAGAAATCCAAATCAACAAACTGAGTCACTTCTTAGAAAAAAGGAAGTCTAGCCATTTCTCATCACTTTGACAGTTTTCTTTGAAGAACTTCAATCATGAAAATTCTGAAATACATTTAAAAAACTTTGGGAGTATTAAATAATATTTACTTGTGGCCCTTGCTTCATGCACACTTTTAAAGACAACGAACCAGAGGAGTACACTGCAAAATTCAGATTGTGTTTTTTTTCATTTGACTTCACAGAACCAACAAAGCCTACTTTATTGTAAGTAGACAACTTAAGAATGCTGGTACAAAATCTGGGATTGATATAAACAATAAACCTAATAATACTTATGGCCTTTTATAAATGACACTGTTAACCTGAAAACATATTCTTTAACTTTTATTAAAGATAGTAATATGAATATTAAAATTATAGGTAGTTTCAAACTTAGGAATATACAAATTATTAAAGGGTCTTTTCTTTCAATAATAGTTACAAAAAGAGTACCTTTTTTCCCCCCAAAAAAGTAGTAAACATTTTCTCAAATGTATATCAATGTCCATCACACTTAGTGAAATAAACCAGTCCTCAAAAGATAAGTGTATTCTCTGATTTGTGACAACTAATACACAGAGCACCAAAAAATGTAATCTGTGTGATATTAACAACCTGGGAATGAACTGCTGTGGTCATGCTCAGCCTGAGTCAATGCTCCTGAGTAACATCAGCATTTCCACTTTTTTCCCTTCTACTCACTGTCGTACCTCTACACACCAGAATATTAACATAGTCTATAACCATGAAGTGAATGAATATGAAACTGTGATAAGGGGAAAAAGAGGGAGGGATAAGCAGGCCCTGTGCTTCAAAATGCAGTTCTTTGTGGCTAAATGGGCACAACTGGAAACTATAATGCTAAGGGAAATGAGCGAATCCCAAAAGATTAGATACCACATGTTTGCCTTGATTTAACCTGTAATTTTTTGTTTGGTTGTTTGTTATTTTTTTGAACCTGTCATTGATACTGTCTCAACCCAGATGTTTCGAAGAAGGGAACTTGCATTATTTTTAACATATTGTTTACCCAATACTATGTCAATTAATTCCATAATGTTGTATATTGATACTGAGGCCTTGTTGGGGCTTTTAACTGACCGGATCTTTACTCTGTTAGACCTATCTTCAGACCATAGAAGGTCTCCCCAAGAGGCCACTGAACTTATCTGGACAATAAGACGCTGAACTTTATGCTAGGCAAGTGTTTGCAAGCAATGAATCTCAACTGAACTTGAACTATGGTTATGCAACAAGGTGGAGGAATCCACCATGGGGGGAGGGGTATGGGAGGGGTGGGGGAAATCCCCAGCGCCTATAAAACTGTACTACATAATACAATGTAAGCAACAATAAAAAAAAAAAAAAGAAAAATGTGAAATTTATTCATTTTATATAAATAAATTATGAAACGGGCTGGTTTTTTTCTTGGCTGATTTCAAGCCTTTATTTTGTGTATGTCTCTTTTACCTACTTCTCTTTGAGTTCATCAGATTCTGAAGAACCACTAAATCATTTTGGTCAGCTAACCACGTTTATTACTTGTTTCTGTTAAGAGTCAGTTATAGGTTTCACCTTTCTAAAGAACCAAGCTTACCTCTTTTGTTCACATTTTTATTTACTTATGAAAGAGGACAATAACATTTCCCAGAGCTTCCTGTGAAAAATCTGATGATTCTCCCTGCTTCAGAATCTTTCTCTTGTTTGAGCATTTGTGAGTGTGTATGCTTGACAGGGGAATGGCATGTCCAGGATCTGTGAATACTTAAAGGTATACTGATTTGTGGATGGTAGGTGGTATATAGAGTGGTCACTGAAACAGCTTGCTCCAATAGGTAATAGCCTTTTTAGTTCAAGAACACTCGGAAATAAAATCATAGCCTCATGCAAACTCTTAAAAATTGGAATAGTTCACACACCGTAAAATTCACCCACTTAAAGCAAACTAGTTTAGCGGGTTTTAGTATACTAACAAAGCTGTGCAATTACCATCATCATCTAAGTCCAGAGCATTTTATTTCAAAAAGAAACCCCAGGGGCTGACACAGTGGCTCAGCAAGCTAATCCTCCATGTGTGCCAGCTTGTGTCCCAGCTGCTCCACTTTTGGGCCGGCTCCCTGCTTGCGAACTGGGACAGCAGTAGGAGGATGGGTAAAGTGCTTGGACCCTGCAGAGACCTGGAGGGAGTACCCAGCTTCAGATTGGCTCAGCTCCAGTAACTGCAGCCATCTGGGGTGTGAACCAGCAGATGGAAGATTTCCCTCTCTGTAAATCTGCCTTTCAAATAAAGACAAATGTTTGGGGGGGGGAGGGAAACAAGAAAAAAGAGTACTCCACACTCTTTTTTTTCTCCATGGATTTGCCTTTTCTGTCTGCTTCATATAACATTTCATATCATAAAACATGTAACCCTTTGTGTCTGGTTTCTTTAACAAAGTGCTTCCATACTGTAATATGAATCATTTCTTCATTTACACATTCTTGTAACTGCAGCTTTGTTAAGGCAATCTGTATTTTAATTCGTTTTCAATTCTTTAACAATTCTTTTGAAGAAAATTAACCTCATCTATAGGTAATACAGGCATTTCTAGGTCTATTATAAAGCAACAGGGCATGAATTCAAACTAATATAGAACTACTTTGCTGACTAGCTTGATATAGGATATGAAAAGAGGAGTAAGAACACTGCAGCAATTTTAGCTGCAACAACTAAGGATCAATTTAAACACAATATTTTTATAATTGCCTTTTCACACAAAGCCCTGCAGACTTTCACTCGTTTGTTTTTTGCAATAAGCAAAGAGAGATCAGATTTTACATTTCTAGGCAGTACATGACAGATCATCAGAATTAGGATTAATAAACTCATCCCTCCTACTGAAGTCAGCTGCCAATATTGTTCTTACTAGAGCTATGAAATGTACATATAGCAATGTAAATATGACTTTAAATAGTAACAATAAAGAAAATACCTGTGCAACCATCATTCAGGATAAGAAAATGATTGCCCATAACAAAAGTTTAAAGGAAATTACTTCTTTTTAAGAACAGCCAATTTGGGACTGGAGCAGTAACGTAGTAGTGAAAGTCCTTGCTTTGCATTCACCAGTTGTGATATAGGCGCCAGTTCTGTCCTGGTTGCATCACTTCTCTTCCAGGTCCCTGCTTGTGGCCTGGGAAAGCAGTAGAGGATGGCCCAAAGTCTTGAGACCCTGCATCCATGTGGGGGACCCAGAAGCCTGGCTCCTGGCTTCAGACTGGCTCAGCTCCAGCCACTGTGGCTACGTGGGGAGTGAACCAGTTGATGGAAGATCTTTCCCTCTGTCTTTCCTTCTCTCTGTAAATTTGACTTTCCAATAAAAATAAATCTTTTTTTAATAATGAAATAAGTCTTTAATAGAGCTCTATTTAAAAAAGCCAATCTTTTGCTTTACTTTAAGCATACTACCTTTTGAATGAGTTCTTAAACATGTTTAATTTTGTCTGTTTTTGAAATTCATACAGAGAATATGAAACTACATATTCTGTAAATACTTGTGTTTTTGTTCAGCAGTGTTGTAAAATTCCTTTTTATTTTGGCTGGGGCAACACTGGAATCCCACATGGGCACTAGTTATACTCCCAGCAGTTTACTTCCAATTCAGCTCTGTTTACGGCTTGGGAAAGCAATGGACCATAGCCCAAGTCCCTGAACCCCCGCACTCATGTGGGAGACCTGGAAGAAGCTCCTGGCTCCCAGCTTTGGATCAGCTCAGCTCTGGCTATTGCGGCTATTTGGGGAGCAAACCAGCCGCTGGAAGACCTTCTCTCTTGGTAAAAATCTGCCTTCTAAATAAAAATAAACCTTTAAAAAGATTCACCTTTATCAAAGGAATTAAGTCAAGTATAGTTCAAAGACTTCATGAAAACTGTGTAGCAAGGATTTGCCCTCTCCTTGTGCAGTAAGATAATTAGAATTAATAATGACCCTAAGCTGATACTTGTAAAGCTCACCCTCTCCCAGGATGTATTCCTCCAATGGCATCAACTAAGAAGCCTCCACTTGTCTCCTCAACCCAGTGCTGCTTAGAAGCTGGCTGTTCTTCAGAGGCTTTCTGTGAAACGTCTCAGCATTTTTATAACATAGGAATTCAGCTTATCTGCTGAGGGTCAGGAAGGCGAGACTTAGAGGATCAACTCAGCTCTGCGTGGTTTCCTTTCTTCCTCAAATCTTGGATCCTAAAGTCCAGGATTAATAAACAGAACAGCAAGTTTGGTCCTTTCAGCCCTGAGAGTTAGCTAGAGACTCCAGAGTTTCTCTGCTTCCAAGCTAGGGCACTCTGCCCAGATTCTTAGCCTCTCGTCTACAGGAATCAGTAAATATTCCTATGAGAAAAGTTACTGGCAGGATGTTGACTCTTCGCAGCTCTGTTCTCTATACATAAGCTGGCCTTTCAAGTCTTAACAGCCTCAGCAACTTCCCAAAGCCTTCCAAATACAAACCTTTACTATTTTGTCTGGCTTCCTTTGTTGTTTTTTGATGTGGACATTGGTCTGCCACAATAATAGCATAGGAGACAGAACAGAAGTTCCCTACTATTATTCTTAGAAAGAACACTTTGAAAAAAAAAAGAAAGAAAGAAAGAAAGAAAAAGAACACTTTGGGTAAGGAGATCTGAGTTCCACCAATATCAAGTTTTTAAAAATGCACTTTCCACTATGTGAATCCTATTTATTTTTAAAGTTTTAACTCAAGCAAATAAAATAGTGCAGCCCTCACGCAGTAGCCTAGCGGCTAAAATTCTTGCCTTGCACGCACCGGGATCCCATATGGGTGCCGGTTCGAATCCTGGTAGCCCTGCTTCCCATTCAGTTCCCTGCTTGTGGCCTGGGAAAGCAGTTGAGGACGGCCCAAAGCCTTGGGACCCTGCACCCATGTGGGAGACTTGGAGGAGGCTCCTGACTCCTGGCTTTGGTTTGGCGCAGCTGTTGCCAATTCAGATGATTCACTGGGGAGTGAATCATCAGACAGAAGATCTTCCTCTCTGTATATCTGACTTTCCAATAAAAACAATTTTTTTTAAAGTGCATATTTATTTTGTAAGCTGCAAAGTACTTTTACAAATAGTTTTTTCTAACAACCCTCAATTTAGTATTAAGTGCATTTATCTATCCTGCTTGAAATCTTCCATATGAGTAAACAAAAAGCTAATGCCAGTAAGCAAAACATATAAAATACAGTGAATTCAAAGGACACAAGTTATACTTACATGTTTCCATTCATGAAGATAAGGAAGATATATCTTCCCATTTGCATCAACATGCTTTCCTGTTTTAATAGTCATTGAACTAGTAGGTTTAACAAAACAGATAGGAGGATTATACGGGTATGTGTCCAGCAGCCACAGGCATATTGGAATATTATATGTATTACCTGAGAGAGAAAGAGAAACTTCAGTTGTATTATTTTTTTATTATTTTCAATTTTAGTTTCATAGGTGAGGAAGAGAACTATAAACAATTGAAAATCCACAACACACATTGTGCTTGAAGCTCTGTTTCATACCAGTTTTTAAATTTTCAGTTTGCAAAATACATAAACAGAATGAAAGAGCTAACTGATCACTACCCTCCCAGCGTCTATCTGCTGTTGTAAAATCTGTTCACAAATTGTTTACGCTATTTGAAAAGCAGGAAGAGTGAGCGAGTGAGCATGCCAGACACCCATCTGTCATCTGCTGCTTCATTCTCCAGGGACCTCCAATAGCCACGGGCAGGCCGGGTTTAAGCCAAGAACCCAAACCCCACTGTGTTTCCCACCCGGGCATCAGAACCCAAGTACTCAGACATTGTCTGCTGCCTCCCAGAATGTGTGTTACCAGGAAGCTGATCCGGAAGTGGAACAGTTTGGACTTCACCTAGGCATTCTTATAAGAGATAGCAGCATATAGACCACTGTGCCATGATCCTAACCTATAAGTTATCTTCTGACTCAATACATCCTTGAAAACAGTCAAGGATGGCCCAAAACCTTGGGACCCTGCACCCGTGTGGGAGACCCAGAAGAAGGTCCTGGTTCCTAGCTTCAGATTGGCTCAGCTCCAGCTGTTGTAGCTGCTTGGGGAGTGAACCATTGGACAGAAGCTCTTCCTCTTTTTCTCTCCTTCTCCGCATATATATGTATCTGATGATCCAATAAAAACAAACAAACAAACAATAAAAGCGGGCCTGGTGTGACAGCATAGTGGTTAAAGTCCTCGCCTTGATGCGCCGGGATCCATATGGGCACCGGTTCTAATCCTGGCGGCCCTGCTTCCCATCCAGTTCCCTGCTTGTGGCCTGGGAAAGCAGTCAAGGACGATCCAAAGCCTTGGGATCCTACACCTGCATGGGAGATCTGGAAGAGGCTCCTGGCTCAGGTTTGGCTCAACTCCAGCCTTTGCGGCCGCTTGGGGAATAAACCATCGGATGGAAGATCTTCCTCTCTGTCTCTCCTCCTCTCTATCTGCCTTTCCAATAAAAATAAATAAATATATATTTTTTAAGTGATAGAACAATATAGACTTGCTTGCCAAAAGCCAGATTATAAAACCTGATTCTTGGGGTTGGCACTATGGTGCACTGGGGTAAGCAATTTTTTGGGATGTCTGCATCTAATGTTGGAGTGTCTATTTTGTGGCTTCTGAATCAGCTTCCTGTTAACGCAATGTCTGGGAGGAAGCAAATGATGGCTCAAGAACTTAGGCCCTTGCTACCCACATCGGAAACCAGTTGGGATTCCTGGCGTTAGCCTGGCCTAATGCTGGTTGTTGCAGACATTTGGGGTGTGAATCAGTAGATAAAAAATCTGTCTCTCCTTCCCTGTCACTCTGTTTTTTATATAATTAAATAAACAGGGCCTGGCCAATGGCTCAACTGGCTAAACCCTCTTATTTGCAAATGCTGGGATCCCACATGGACACTAGACCATGTCTGGCTGCTCTACTTCCCATCCAGTTCCCTCCCTGTGGCTGGGAAAGCAGTTAAGGACAGCCCAAAGCCTTGGTACCCCACACCTATGTGGGAGACCTGGAAGAAACTCCTGGCTCCTGGTTTTGGATCAGCTCAGCTCCAGCCACTGTGTCCATCTGGGGAGTGAAATAGTGTATGGTTCTTTTGTCTGTCCTTCTCTTTAAAACTACCTTTCCAATGAAAATAAATGTTTTAAATAAATACACAAAACATGAAAAACAGAAAGACCAACTAAACAGATGCTGATATCCAGTAATTAACCAAAGCATGTTCTATATTCATGGAAGTTATTCAGAAGCACTAATGTTGGTTTTTGTAGTATAATCTGTCTCCATTGTGAAATTTATTTATTTTTATTGGAAAAGCAGATTTACAGAGACCAGGGGAGACAGATAAGCATCTTCCATCCTCTGGTTCCCTCTCCAAATGGCCATAATGGCTGAGCTGAACCCATCCCAAGCCATGAAACAGGAGCTTCTTCCATTTCTCTCACTTGGGTGCAGGGTCCCAAGACTTTTGGTCATTCCCTACTGTTTTTCAGTCCAGAAGCAGTGAGATGGATAGAGTGTGCAGCCGCTGGGACATTATCTGGCTAATACCCATATGGGACCCCGGTACTTGCAAGATAAGAATTTAGTTATTGAATCATCGCAGCAGGCCCTCAATTGAGAAATTTAACTATATACTACCAAAAAGTGTTTCAAATGATCCAACAGAGCAAATTCATTCAGCATAAATCAGTCTTTTCTTATGATGTTCAAAGCCCAGATCATTTGAACCACCTAATATAATTTATATACCTCCTTTCCCCTTCGATTCAGTTTTACCACATGTAAATACATATACAGATATTTCACCTCAGACATATTTAATTGTTATCCCAATTATTTTCATTTGTTTTATGAAAATGAAGAATTCTCCAGAATAACTAAGACTTGTGAACTAAGCCATATGAGAGCAGCTGATGGAACTGAAAATGTTTAGCTAAAACTTATACATAAGCAAACACTCAAAATCACAATATCCACCTCCCTGGCTGGATCCATTTCCTGAGGGTGATGACAAAGGCAAAGTCACTTAGCTTAGGTTTTACTTCCTAAACTTATCCTACCTGCTTTACAGAGTGCTGATGCTCAATTATTTTGAACTCCGTCTGGAATGTATGCCTGGTAACGAATAGCTGACTCATCTTTGAATAGCAAGCTCAGTCTCATTTTCTCAGTGATCCTCCCATGTGGCCTGGTGCACCTGTGTAACCTCTCAGCACCCTTGACATTATTCTACGGCTGTTAGAGAGCAGTACAAACATCTATCTGCAATTTCCTGTTTCTCCAATAGAGCTCTTGCCAGAGAAGGTACATCTTTATTCCCTTTTGTATCTCCACAGCTCCTCTCCCTATTGGCTCATGTAGACGAGGTACTATATGGAATAAAAGGGCAAGTTATAGGGACATAGGGCACATTAGTCACCAGCAATAATTAACAAACAGAACTATCTAAAAACAGAACAGTCTTATGAAGCTGAATGCTTATCAATGTCAATTAAGTATTCCAGCAGGAGATAACTGACTGGCTAAGAGAAACGAACTATGCAACAACACATGTACACATGGCTACCAGCTGCTGGTTCACGTCCCAAATGCTGGAAAGGTTAAGGCTGTTGTTGGGTGCTGGGGTTCGTGCACTGGGTGTGGATGGCACGAAGGTGTGAAGAGAACAGCTACCTTGTGTGGAAAGGCCCGGGGGAGTTTCCAGCTGTTAGGCAAGGCTCAGCGGATTTCTCTCTGACCACCTTGACACAGTTTCACCACCTTTTTGCATGGACACTCAAGCACCCCACTAAGAATTCTGCAATCTATTGAGGCATTGTTTGCCCCTGTTGGATGGCTTTTACCACCAAGGTGAGGTTGAGAGTTAATATTATTGATTATGTCTTGGTGAGGGCCTTTAACTGCGCACAGGAGTACAATTAAACCCATGCCATTTCTGGACATCTTATTCTGTACCTACCCATTGCCCTGAAATCGGGCACAGACATATAGCATGCCTTCTGGGAAATGGCTTAATAAGAATTTTATAAAGTAATGGAAGTGAGGGGAGTGACAGCTGAAATTGCTATGGCAATAAATATAGTTATTGTTATCTCAAAGGCTAGCTTGTCTTTGCAATTTTTAGGAGTGTAGAAAATGTAATTGTTTTAGCTGCTTTTATAATTTTTAGCTAGAGTAATTAAGGATGCTTTTATTAAAGAAAAATGCTTTTGATTATTGTCTTATTGTTTATGGGGTTGTAGAAGTCCATAGTTGTAGGGGGATTTAACATTTGAAGTTTTTGCTTTAGATTTTAGGTTTTTCCCTTAAATAATGGGTAAATTGTAGAAATAGAAATGTGGTAGGAATGTACTACTGACTAGCAGTAATCACATGTGCCTTGGCCTTAGAGTCCTGGCTGTTGCTCCAAGGCTACTGTTGAAGAATAAATAATAGCTTGCTTTGAAGAATATGAATACAGTATTTTGCAGAATTATCTTTAGGGGCACCTGCCTAGCCTTGAAGTGCAGATGGAGTGACCAAATGTCTGTACATGCCCCCTTAGTCTTGAAGTAAAAATAGAATAATTAGTTGCTTGTGCAGAAGCTTGTGAGGTGTCTCAGTAAATAAAAAGGACAGCTTTTTCTTGAGCTGGTGTGAGAATGCACCAAGTGTCTGTGTCTTTCTTTATCACCAACTCCACGCACCCTTCCCGAGCTCTGAACTCGGCTGGAGCTGGACTCCGGCAGTTGGGTCAAAGCTAGGATCCAGGAAGGCTATGCAGCTCTCCTGCATGGGTGGTAGGACCTCAACTATTTGAGCTATCCCAGGGTCTGCATTTGCAGAAAGGTGAAGGCAGAAGGTGGTGCCTGAAATGAACCGAGGATCTCAGACATGGGACATGGGCATCTTAGCCATCAGGATAAATGCATACCCCCAAATCACAGTTACTTTAAAGGAAAAAAAATGTATTTATTTGAGAGAAACAGAATGAGCGCTCCCACCCACTGGTTCACTCTGTAAATGGCTATAACAGCCTTACTTGACTAAAGTTGGGAGCCAGGAACTCAACCACATCTCCCACGTGAGAGGCAGGAACCCAATTATTTGAGCCATCACTGATGGCTTCCATGGCATTCAGTAGCAATAAGCTGCAATAAGGAGCCAGAACTGGGAGTCAAATCCAGGAATCCCAATGTGGGCTAAAAGTCTCCTAACTGGCGTCTGCACCACCAGGCCACACATCTGCTCCACTAACTACTTTTAACAGCCCATTTATTATATACTAGGCTTCTGTGCCAAGTTCTTTATAAACATTAAAATAATAGTTTAATTGCTCCTGATGCGGGCACCATTATTCAAATGTTATAGATGTTCATTGAACACAGAGAACTCATTACTAAGTGTTCTGACATAAAAGTCTCTTAATTGCTGTATTATATAGCTTCCTGTTAAGAAGTCTGAATGATACAGGAAGTTGACTAGAAGGCATCTAAGACCCTTTTTTAGTTCTAAGATTCTTTGAGTCTATGAAATATTAAATTTACCCAGTGCATGTGGGCTTTTGCTTGTTGATGTATCTTGAGTAAACAAGTTTTAAGACAGGAAAGAGTATCTGGCGCACTGATTCAGATACCACTTGAGACATCTGGAAACTATGCTCGAGTCCTGGGTTAGAGTCCCAGCTCTGTTTCTTTCTTTCTTTTTTTTTTTTTTTAATTTTTAATGTTTGAATTATGTGGTATAATTTGTATAGCTTGGGATTCCCCCCCAAACTCCCACCCCTGACAGATTTTCCCCATTTTACTACAATGGTATAGTCCTTCATAAGGAATCACCAGCTTCATTCCTGATTCCAGCTTCCTGCTAATGTATACCCTGGGAGGCAGAAGATAATGGCTGAAGATCTGGGGTCTTTGCCATTCAAAAAGGACACACAGACTGACTTCTTGGGCTCTGGTTTGGGCTTGGACAAGTCAGGAGGTTGTGGGTAAACAGGGAATAAACAAGCAGATAGAAGATCTCTGCTTGTGTGCTCTGCATTGACATAGTGAATTGCTGCTACCATATGACTATCAATGACAAGTTAGTATTTGGGGTATGCATTGTGATACAGTGGATTAAGCTGCTGCTAGGGAATGCCTGCAGCCTCTATTAAGCCAGTCTGAGTTCCAGCTACTGTACTTCTGATACAGCTTCTCACTAACGTGTCTGGGGAGGCAGCAGAAGGCGGGTGAAGTACATGGGCACCTGACGCCTACATGAGAAACCTAGACAGAGTCCAGGTTCCTGGCTTTGATCCAGTCTACCCTTGGCTGTTGCAGTGTTTGGAAGTAAACCAACAGATAGAAGATATCCTCCCCTTTCTTGCTTTGCCTTCCAAGTAGACAGAAAATAAACAAACATTAAAGAACAAAAAAACTTCAGAAGGCTAGAAACTTTAAAAGCCACACGAAAGTTTAATTCTCTGGCACCATATGAAGGGTCTTCAAAGGTACATGGAAAATGGGGCCAGGCATGGTAGCCTAGAGGCTAAAGTGTTTGTTTTGCAGGTGCCGGAATGCCATATGGGCACCGGTTCATGTCCCAGCAGCTCCCACTTCCCTTCGACTCCCTGCTTGAGGCCTGGGAAAGCGGTAGAGGATGGATTAAATCCTTAGAACCCTGTGCCTGCATGGGAGTCCCGGAAGAAGCTCCCAGCTCCTGGCTCCTGGCTCTGAATTGGCTAGGCTCTGGCCATTACAGTCACTTGGGGAGTAAACCAACGGACAAAAGAGCTTTCTGTCTCTCCTCTCTGTATAGCTGACTTTCTAATAAAAATCAATAGATCTTTAAAAAAATGCTTGAAGAACTGTATGTCTTTCAAAAATTTTTGCACCAAAGTAAACTTATCTTTTAAATCCAGTTTTGTTAATTCTTTGAAGTAACTGTGTATTTATTACGTAATCAAAATGCATCAGGGATCAGCTAGTTGGTGCAATGAGCTAATCTTCCACCTGCAGTACAGGCATCCCATATAGATTCTGGTTCAAGTGCCAGTTGCTCCACTTCTGATTCAGCTCTCTGCTAATTGCATAAGAAAGCAATGGAGGATGACCCAGGTCCTTGGGTCTCTGCACCCATGTGGGAGACTTGGAAGAAGCCCAGCTCTGTCAGTTGTGGCCATCTGGGGAATGAACAGCAGATGGATGATCTCTCTGTCCGTCCCTCGTTCTCTCCATAACTCTTTCAAGTAAAGTAAATAAATGAAAAAAAATCTGTCTTTAAAAAAAAAAAAAACAGGCACTGATACTAAAAACTTATTTACCTCTATAAGGCACAGGAATTGTTCCAGTGAGGTTCATGAGTTCTCTGGAACTGCCATCATTGAAAACTGAAAGAAAAGATCAGGAATGTAATCATGAGCATGTTACAGATGCTTTTATAAGTTACTCTTTTAGAAACACTGGCTAAAATTCATTACTGTGCTTGAAAGGAATAACTTGCTAATGCATCATCCATTCCGTCCAGTGACAAAGAATCCTTTGTTGACTCACTCAATGGGATCAACTGGGAAAGATTACAAGAAAAGATGCTTTGAATATGTGAAAAATGGATGTGAGTGTTATTGACCCAGTAAACTGAAGCTCTTGGTCTCCGATGGACATGACCAAACATGTTTAAAAATGATACTACCAAATGATACTAAATATTAATCTAATATCTATGGTTTAGAAACTGTCAATCTTTTTCTCCATCCACTGTCATTCTCAATTTCAATGTAGTATTAAACCACAGAATTAAAATAAGTTTTCACAAATACAGACAAGTCTATGCATAACACTTAGGAAAATGTGAACCAGATTACATTTAAAATTGCTTCCTATGCTTAAATTTGCATAGTTCTAGGTCAGAGCATTTCTTTAAAAACTTAACATATTATTACTATTGAATTTTATAATTTCCTATACCCCAACACTTTTCATCATGTAGAGGTTTAGTCCTACAACTTAAAAACCAACCAACTTGAAAATGTTCTTGAACAAAATAAATGAAGTCAACAGTACTGAGTGTTCTGATTGCAGACTCACCATATGAATCCAGCACAGGTTTGAGATCTTTGTAGAGATTAATAACATTGGCAGTTTCACGTACAGTTAGGTCTCTGTATTTGTACTGAAAAGCAAATCATACAAAATTTTTAAAATTTTAGTTTAAAATTCTATTTTCCACAGAGCACTCTTAAAAACACAATGGTTTTCACTTCACTTCTCATTAATATTAGTTAAAGCCTGAAAGAATCTCAGTAGCTTTCCCTCTGGCAGAAGATGAAGAAATCAGAGGTCTTGACCCTCATCTGATCATAAGGACACTGATGTTCAATGGCTGACAAGCACCACGTATGCACACAATTTCTATCAGCTTTTAGTGCTTTTTTTCTTTTAAGATGTATTTATTTATTGGAAAGTCAGATATACAGAGAGGAGGAGGAACAGACAGGAAGATCTTTGCTCCAATGATTCACTCCCCAAGTGGCCGCAATGGTTGGAGCTGAGCCATCCGAAGCCAGGAGCCAGGAACTTCTTCCGGGTCTCCTACACGGGTGCAGGGTCTCAAGGTTTTGGGCATTCCTCGACTGCTATCCCGGGCCACAAGCAGGGAGCTGGATGGGAAGCGGGGCTGCCAGGGATTAGAACCGGCGCCCATATAGATCTTGGGCGTGCAAGGGCAAGGACTTTAACCACTATGCTATTGTGTGGGGTCCCAGTGCTTCCCTCTTAGGATGCAGCAGTCATTTATTCCAGCAAGATTCCCATATGCAGATCAGACATCAGGGAACTAATAATAGTTAAGGTTAGTTAATAGAACTTCCAAAACAATTAGGACCAATAATTTTAAGGAAAGGAAAAAATGGTATTGTAACCACAAAACAAAAGCTCTTAGGAGTAACACAGGAACACATAATACCGAATTAAGACAGACAGACAAGATACAATATTAAGCCAAAGAAACCTAACAGAGCGGGGCCCAGCATGATGGTTCAGTGGGTAAATCCTTGCGTTGCACACGCCAGGATCCCATAAAGGCAATGATTCGCGTCCTGGCTGTTCTGCTTCGCATCCAGCTCCCTGCTTGTGGCCTGGGAAAGCAGAAGAGGATGGCTCAAAGCCTTGGGACTCTGCACATGTGTGGGAGACCTGGAAGAAGCTCCTGGATTCGGATCAGCTTGGCTCCAGCCATCAAGCCCACTTGGGGAGTGAACCAGCAGATGAAAGATCTTTCTGTAAATCTGCCTTTCTAATAAAAATGAATAAATTTTGAAAAAAAGAAAGAAGTCTAACCGAACCAAAAAGGGTGACAGAGAATGAGAGAAAATACAAGAAAAATTAGGAAGTAAATCCAAGATGTCTATTCTTTAGAATTTTTGTTCCCCCTGCACTCCATAGCTCCACTTTTTCCACACTGTGGGATCAGTTCTAGGCAGACTTCTTTCTCATTTTTCCCATGTTATTCACAAAAGCAAACCTATTACTGAGCTCTCATGCCCTTTTGGTTATCACATTTTTCTCAGTTCCTTTTTGTGGAAAAAAGTCATGCATCAAGCTGCTTACATTTGTTGTCTTTTAATTGCTCTCTTTCTACACTTTTTTTTTTTTTTTTAAGATTTACTTATTCTCATTGGAAAGGCAGAAATGCAGAGGGAAGGAGATAAAGATCTTTTTTCCACTGGGTTACTCCTCAAGTGATCACAACCGCCATAGCTGAGCCAATCAGAAGTCAGAAGACAGGGTCTCCCACGCGAGTGCAGGGTCCCAAGCCTTTGGGCTGTTCTCCACTGCTTTCCCAGGCTACAAGCAGGGAGCTGGATAGGAAGTGAAACATCCAGGACACAAACCAGTGCCCATATGGGATCCCAGCACATGCAAGGCAAGGACTTTAGCCAATAGGCTGCCATGCCAGGCCTTACACTTTCTTCTTAAAACCTTAAGACAACTGCATTTCCAAAGGTAGAGAGAACAATATAATGAACACTCTTGATCCAACAGCAGGTTTCAATAATCATCAGCACAACCAATGTTATTTAATTTATAAATCCAACCCCTTTTTTCATCTTGTAGCATTCTGAATTATGACAACATATCCTATCTTTAAAAAAATGGGAACTTTAAAAAGGCCATAGTATACTAATCACTTGTTCAATATCACCAAATACTTAGTCTCTTGTTTAAAAAATATATATAGTTTCTTTGAATCAGGACTGAAGAAACAGATTATTGTACAATGTGCTAAAACATCTCTTAAGTGGTTGGTACAGTGAATCCTCTGCCTACAGTGTCAGCATTCCATATGGGTGCCAGTTCCAGCTTAAGCTGCTCCACTTCCAATCCAGCTCTCTGTTAACAGCCTTGGAAAGCATCAAGGACAGCTCAAGTCCTTGGGCTGTTGTATCTACATGGGAGACCCGGAGAAGGCTCCAGTTTCCAGCTTCTGACCAGCTCAGCTCTGGCATTTGTGGCCATTTGGGCAGTGAACCAGAAGATGGAAGATATCTTTATCTAATTCTTTCAAATAAAAATAAATAAATCTTTAAAATCTCTTTCATTGTATAGTATCTCATCCATCTCATTTCTTAGAGCTTTATTGATATATCTCCTATGCTCCATAACTCACACATTTCAAGTACACAGCTCAATGTTTTCCCAATACATTCAGCGTTGTCCAACTAGTATCACAATTTTAGAACTCTTCTTTGTTGAGTATATGCACTCTGTATACATTACTCACCCCTGTCAACTGTTTAGCAGTCATCTTGGATTTTATACTGACTGTGGCAATGTTTGTGTTCAAGAAACTCATTTTACTTAATGACCTTAAGGTACAAAAGAAGTGATGCTACTGTACTAGAGTCATAACTACTTTATTGTAACTGTTGTTGATCTCGTTAGGCCTACTGCATAAACTTTATCACAGATATGTAGGAAAACACACTGCACAAACAGGGTCCAGGACTATTCAGTTTCCAGTATCTACCAGGGGTCCCAGAACATACCTCCCTCAGAAAAGAGGGGAATACTCTATAGCCAATTAGCAATGTGGTATCTCCACTTGGCTAACCAGGAAATGGCAATTTGAACATGAATTAAACATCTTACCTTCCCTCCAAATATACTTTGCCTACTTCTTTCATATACACAGAAATGGTCTGGATATATATACACACACACATAATATGTATCTCCTTCCAGCCACTCGGGCTCCAAACCTGGAAGTTCTCCTTGACGCCTTTCCTCTGCAGCCACAGCATATTTGTCAGGAATTCCTGCTAGCTCTGCTTATAAAATATAGTCAGAAGCCGATCACTTCTATCCCCACAGTTTAAACACAGCAAACAGCACTTCTCTCTCATCTAGATGAAAGTTCAAGTCTCTTTAAGGGTGTGCTTCCATCTGTACTCTTACCACCTTATAGTCTCACAGGAGCTAGTCATGTATTACTTCAAAGAGTTGGTGAAAATGGAGTTAAAAGGTAAGTTTTGGTACAAAGTTAGAAAATCCATGTGCACTTTTAATAATAGATATTTTGCATGAACTTGTTGAAGAACCCTCTTACACATGGATTTTAAAATGTTTTACACAAAAATAAACATTTTTTAAAAAGATTTTTTGTTAGAAAGGCAGATTTACAGAAAGATCTTCCATCCACTGGTTCACTCCCCAAGCAGCTGCAACGGCTGGGTCTGAGCTGATCCGAAACCAGGAGCTTCTTCCAGGTCTACCACATGGGTGAAGGGTCCCAAGGCTTTGCGCCATCCTTTACTGCTTTCCCAGGATACAAGCAGGGAGCTGGATGGGAAGTGGAGCAGCTAGGACATGAACCAGCATCCATATGGGATCCTGGAGGTTGCAAGGCAAGAATCTGATCACTAGGCTACAGTGCCGGGCCCCCAAATAATCATCTTTTAGTTTAATTTTCCCCACAACCTTTATGAAGTCACCTTCATTTATTATTTAAAATGATTTTTTAAACAGTGGTTTCCCACATACTCCAAAGAAATGCCCAAGTCTTTCCAGCCTCCCTCCCTCAATGCCCTGCAGAATCTGCCCCTCCTACAATGGCAGTCTACACCCAGGGCACCAGTCCACCTCTGTTGTTCCTCTACCATGCATGACAGATTCCTGCGTCTGTCCTGGAAGGTTGCTACCCACACTGTTTCAAAGTTTATTTCCTTATCTTTTTCAGGTTTCTGCTCAAATAGCTCTTCCAAAAAGGCCTTCCTTTACTAGCTGCTATCTGACATACTTTTTGACTGGCTTATTCCCTTCCATGATAATGTAAATCTAGAACTGTAATTTTGTCTGACTGCTCATTCTTGTATGCCCAGCATACACAGAGCGAGGTACAATCTTTAATGTGCCAGCTCTCTTCTACCCACTCAGTAGTGACTTCTCCCATGTAGGGGTGGGGAATGTCCAGCAGGGTCTGCCAAGGCAAACACAGCTATGACTCAAACTCCAATACATCCATAGCAAACTACTTTTTTAAGTTGAAAATTTAGTATGGCCAGTGAATGATATAAATACCCAAATGGCTTTTGGCAGAAAAAAGGTTCCCTATGCCTACACAGAAATTTCATAGATACACCAGTAAGAATGCAAGCTTATTCTCTTGAACAATTTGAAATATGAAGATATTTTGAAAGGTAAGTTTATTTTGGTGCAATAAAAAGTACTGTTTGTCATGAGGTAACATATAACTGTTACAGCACAGACCTTTACCTGGGTCACAATCTTTAGTTCCCTCAAAGCCTCCTCTGTAATTAAAGACAACTGCTTTACAATTAAAATCAAGAGGTCTGGCAGGTACCTTTAGACAAGCTACACACATCAGTTTAGAAAGCAGTGACTTTCTCTTTAGAGGCGGTCTGCCTTCAGTCAAGAAGAGGACGAGTTTTACTAGAAAAGAGCCATTTTAAAGCAAAATTTTACCCCTAAGAACATTTCAGTACAACAAACCATTTCCATTCTTGCTTGACTGAGTATCTAACTCTTTTAATCCAAAATTCTCAACCACTGAATACATGTATCTTCAATGATCTCTAATGAACTACAGGAAAACAAAGTAAAAACTATTCTGTGCTGGTGTCAGGTGTCACATTACAAATCGTTAACAAAACAAATCACGACTTTAAAATACAAGCTGCCTAAATGTTCTGACAGAGAACACACCAGCCTTGAGCTGTGCGGTCCGTAATTTAAGTTCCACGTTAATAAATACGCCCTGTAAGAAGCAGAGTCTAACGAGTAACAGCTGAAACTGCCAGCAAATTCGCGAAATGGTAATGTTATTCTATTCACTTCACTTGGGGTAAGGGAGCGCCACGTCTTCTGGCTCCTCGGGAGTTCCTAATTAATTAAGCCCAAGCAGCCCGCGCTGCTGGTATTGAGCACGAGGGGCTGCACGACTGAGAAGGCCAGCATCTCTGGGGGCCAACACCTAACGGACCCCCCACTCTCGAGTCCTGCAGGACTGCGGGAGGGCTGCCTCGGGTCCAGAACCAGGCGTGTGGGGCACGGAGCGGAGCTGGCGGCAGGTGGCAGGTCCCCGCCTTTGTTGACGGCCGCTCCCCCGGCCCCTTCCCGGCTTCGGGACCCGGGCAGCGGAGGCGACAGGCGCTCGGGACCCCGGGCCGGGCCGGTGGCCGAGGAAGACGCGGGGATATCGGGCCGCTCGGGAGGCTCACTGGGCCGGACAGGACTGGCGGGTCCGGACCGGGTGCAGAGGGAGGAGCGGGAGCGCGCCGGGCCTCACCTTGGACACCATTTTCTTGAGCTGGCTCTCCGACACCGCCATGACTGCCACCCAGTGACTCCCGTCCCCGCAGGCAGAGAGGGTCAGCCGCTCCGGGGCTGCCCCAGGTGGCCGCAGACAATCACGAACCCGGCGGCCAGCCCCCTACCCGCGCCTCTAATAACAGGAAGTCAGCACCACCAAGCACTTCCGCTTCCCACACGTCACTTCCGAGGCCGCTGTCCTGCGGAGAAGGGTGGACGCGATCTTGCGGAGAAGGGTGACCGCCCTGCGGGCTTGCGGCCCCAAGACGGCTGGGTTCTGTCCAACCTAGCCCTAGTATCCCTGAGTCGGACCCCACAGACGAGGCAACCCTGTCCCGAGGGTGGAAACTCTGGGCCGGCGTAAGCGTGGCAGGTATTTCTTGAGTCTTAGGGAAGCAGGTGCAGGGCGGGCAAGCAGCACCACTGGCATGCGAATGAGCCCTAATGAGTGACTCATCCAGTGGGACTGGGCTGCAGAGAACTGTTCCCGCACTGACGCCCTGATGATCATAGTAAACAAGTGCACTACTAGCTGGGACTGAGTTTTCCCGCAGCTCAAAAAGGTTTGCATTAAATGATGCCCAAGGTTTCTTTTAATCATCAAGTGAATCACTTCCTATCTCCACCCTGAGCTTGAAAGTCCTTCATACCACATTCACAAAAGCAAAGCATGGAACCTGCCTTTTTCAGGAAGCCTGACAGCAGTTTCTTCTCCAGGACTTCAGTGTGCCCAGATATAAATGGCAACATCGCAGCTTTCTACCTTGCACTGCGTTTGTGTACAGCCTGTCCACTAAGACCTTGAGGGCAGCATTCTCACATCCTCATTACTTGTCCAGCCCCAGAGTAGGTACTAAGTCTCAACTGGATTTCTGTTTCCCACAGAAGTTCATCATGAGGATTCATGCTAGTTATTATTCCACATCACTGCCAGTTTTTTTTTAAAACCTTGGGTTGGATGATGTGAAGAACGATAATAAGGTTGTGGTATTGACTCACTTGGAAGCTGCTGGCTTCTAAGATAGCACATACGCAAAGATGACCCAATGCAGAGCATGTGGAAACAATATTACGAACCCTGGGTGCATAAACACACACACCCACACACTATGCCAACAGGATGACTGTGTGTGTTAAGCATACAGTTCTAGTCAAACCAAACTACAGGTCAGTCTATCCAACGCATCTGCTCTTGATGTCATTCACATAGACATGACTGCAAACGGCTCTTAAAGCCACAGCTTGCTCAGGAGTACCCCGAGTAATAGCAACTCCATTTATAAGGACTGGAAGAGCACCAAGTAATACACTGTCTCTAAGTTTTCTTGCTAACAGTTTTTAAAAATTTGAAAGCAATGTATGAAATCTCATTTCTTCATTTTATACTTAATGCATGTGTGATGATTAAGCTTCCTGAGTATTGTGTGAAACTATAAAAAATTTTCCTTACTCTGAATAGACTTAATAAATCAGGCATCACTTTGTGATTTAAAAAGTGTTTATTTTATTCATTTTACTTGACAGATAAGGACACATAGCATAAATTGGGAATAAAACATGTATTTTTTGCTACAATATAAAAGAGCCTTTTATTCCAAGCCCCACCAAAAATACCAAGAGGTACTGCATGATTTTAGAGAAATAAGTGAGCACGAGCAGCAGCATTGTGGATGTCACATTGCCACCAGATCACAGTGAGGCGGTGCTGATGGGGTCAGTCCTGCTTCTTGGTTCATGAAACAGCATGACTGCTAATCCTCAACAGTCACGAAATTAATACAGTGAATTCTTAGTGACTTGTTCTAAGATTTTGCAGTTGGATGGATTACTGTTCAAGTTCTATTAGATAAGAGCTGTTGGAAAAAGCAGTTTAAAAAACAAAAGCAATGCTTTTTTGAGTTATATTTTCCTGTTTCAAACTAAAGGATGGTGAGAATACATTATCAGAGTAACACCAACACAATATGTGTATTGAAATGGCCAAGGTTATTGCTTCTCGGCCTTTTGGCTAAGATCAAGTGAAATGGCCAAGGCTTTTCTTCAGTTAACTCTGGTGGATATCTTTCCAAATAGATGAAATATTTTTCTTAAACTTGGGATACTGGGCCCGGCGCGGTGGCGCAAGTGGTTAAAGGTCCTCGCCTTGCACGCACGGGATCCCATATGGGCACCGGTTCTAATCCCGGCAGCCCCGCTTCCCTTCCAGCTCCCTGCCTGTGGCCTGGGAAAGCAGTCGAGGACCGCCCAAAGCTTTGGGAACCTGCACCTGTGTGGGAGACCCGGAAGAGGCTCCTGGCTTCGGATCAGCATAGTATCGGCCCGTTGCGCTCACTTGGAGAGTGAATCATCGGACGGAAGATCTTCCTCTCTGTCTCTCCTCTCTGTATATCCACCTTTCCAATGAAAAAAAATAATAATAAAAATAAATCTTTAAAAAAAAAACTTGGGATACTGAATTTCACTCCTATGTCTGAAGTTCATCACTGTATGTATTCGTTATTGTACTAGGTCAGCATTAGATGGAATATTCTCTCCCTATGACATGTCTACCTTTATAAATCATCTGGTTCCTATTTGGTTGGTGAGCTTTGGACTCACCTGATATATGCTTTCTCAAACACCTTGGAGTCATGTGAACCTGTGGCACAGTGGGTGAAGCCATCTCAGGACATGCGTTAACCCGTATCAGAGTACTGACTGAGTCCAGGCTACTGCGTACCATCAATCCATTACTGCTGATGTGCCAGGGTGGAGTGTTTGAGGGTCAGGAACTTGAGTACCAGACAGAATTCATGGCTACTGGCTTCAGCCTGCCCCAGCCCTGGCATTAAGGGACTGACCTAGAAGAAGGAAGATTTCTTGACTGTCTCTGCATTCTCCCTTTCAAATCAATAAATAAATTGTCTGAAAAATCCAAAACCTTGAACTTTTGCACAGTTCTCACTAATTTGCAATTGTGTATCTATTTGTGAGATTGGATTACTATGCTTCCTATACTTGATTGTAAGGACCATGAGGGCTTGCTCATAGCCCAGGCATGTTTCCCATCAGTGCCTGGTAATAATAGCAGGCTTCTGGAACTAACTGGATGATTAAATAAACACCGACTCAGGAAATACAACCTTCTGCTATTTGCTGAGGACAGGTCTGGGAAGCCAGGAAAATAATGTTTCTAAAATAAAAACAAATTTTAAGGTAAACTACATGAGAATGGAAATACTACTTCTTTAATTTACACAATCCCAGCTTTAGGGTCTTGTGAGAACCATTTTGATGGTTAGGCCTTTCTTTTCCCCTTTTTGGCATCTAGAAAAAGTAGAAGTTGTATGGAAAGTACCCTCAGTTGCCAGGAGATTTTGGGCACTCACCAAGCCTGTTTCTTCTGTAAAATGATAATAACATTCTTCACCTCAGTGGATTATTAAGTATCTGATAAAGTGCTCATCATACTGCATGGCATACAGGAAGTATTGATGTCAGCTGTTAGAGTCAGTTGTAACTAGAGTTGTGTGACACAATAGTAATAACATGCTACCCTTCACATATAAAGATATTGCTACTGACCCATCACCAAAGCTTACATACAATGAATCGTATTTATTGTTTTTAAAGGAGTCTCTCAGAACCATTAGACTACCCAACCACTCTCTTAAACGCAGTGGTTTTTATGGATTATATTCTATATTTAAAGTAGATTGTCTTTCATTCATAATTTATTTTCATTAAAAATCACACATCTCTATTTGGCTCTACCAATACCATAATGAGTTTACGAGATATTGGAGAGCTTATATAGTCCAGGAAGAGGTTAAATGTTATACATATATAACATAAGTTCTATGTTATTCATATATTAAAAGTGTTTGTTTTCCCTTTCACTATTTTAAAGTGCATGTAAAATTCTTTCCCGGTATTTGATAGCTAATACATTCAAAGAAGATGCTTTATCATTACCAGCAGCAGTAAGTTGCAAAGGAAACACTACTACCTTGAGCTGTGTGTCTTTTGAATGTGTAACTTACACATCTATTAATGTTTATTATAAATGCCAAAGAATAATCTTTTTAAAAAAGTATTACTTTCAAAATACTTCCAAAGTAAATTAGATGTGCTTTGAGTTTAGGCTACAATTGAAAACAACACACATTGCAAATGAATGTTCACTTCTGCTGTAGGTTTAAGAGTAGAAGATTATCTCAAGACCCATGACAAAAATTAGAAAATCCCTCCTCATTGACTCCTTAAGGATCCAAATTACAGTTATTCAAGAAACCATCTATCTTAACCAAGCAGTTTGTACCAGTAAGTAGTAAGATACGGATGTTTTCAACCCCATTGTCAACCATGTTGGCAAAATTACATGATCCTTCTTTAGAGATAATTACACTTGAGAGTCAGAATTTTAGCTGTTGTTGGAGATCGTGGATTGAAGACACACTGCTCTTGAGTTTTTCAGTCACTGTGTCTTCTGTCATGGTGCTTTTAATGACTTCACATGCTCCACTGGTTCCAAGGATGCAAGGCAAACTTAAAAACACTTCATTATTTATATTATAATATCCCTATAAAAAAACACAAATACAGCTGAATTACTCCAAAAAATTAATATTATGAAATACCTATTTTTCTAGTCCTAATGCAAAGTGACATCAGTTTAACTTTCAGTGTCCATTTGTTCTCTAAACTCAAATCAGTGTTTCAGAAAATTTCTGAGAGATATGAAGAACTTCATCCAAGACATCTTCTTTATGGGTAGGTAAGCTTGCCCCTTGTAACACAAGTAGAAGGTTGGGGGCTGAAGAAAAAGATGGTCAGAGTGGATTCCCAGGGGAGGGGCATCGGGCTGTGTGTGCAAATACAGAAACCTCTTCTAGGGTTTTCTTCTCATAGTATATTTTCCCCATAGCATTCCTGAATCTTCAGAAAATTGTGAGTAAGCATTTGTGCCACAACTGATCTGTACTGTAGAGAATTTATGCTTTCAGTCAAGAGGAGAGGCAGATTGACGAACAACTGAGGCTGATCTGCACCTCATTGTGGGGTGATTTCACTGTTGGATAAATGACCGCGGGAAGTTTATGGAATGCATAAAAACTTGTTGGGGATTTCCGTAAGTTGCACGAGAGTGAGAGGGCAACTTGGTAAATGTCCAGATTCACATAACTGAGCACTATAGGGCTCAGCTGGAACTGAAACTTCCCACACGTCACCGTAAAAGCTGGTGACACTGAGGACGCCAGGGTTACTGTGTCAAAGGTTTTACTCATTTTGTATTGTTAATATGAAAGCTTAAAATATGAGAAGAGAATGGAAGCACCAGTTACCTTTGCTAGAATTGATACAGAATGCACTTTCTTTTTATCATTTACAATACTGTCAACCAGGTCAGCCACTGACAGTCCCACAGACCAAGATCTTTGACCTTTTGCCCTTAACAGTTCCATGGCTCTAGGTTAAAAACAGAAACAAAAACAATAACAAAACCTTCAGAAAAATGCACAAAATATGCACACTTGATTCTGTTTAAGGTGTTAAATAGATATTTTTGCAATACAAGAAAGAGTTATATGTCATTTGTTACGAAAACCTATAATCTAATGAATTGTTTTTTTTTTCTTAAGATGTTAGGTAGTTCACAGTGAGAAACTGCAAGTGACCTAATAACATAAAAAGATGCTCATAGCCATTAATATATAACTGAATGTGAATTCTTAAACTACTATTGTGAATATAAAATAATCTAGCCTCTAAGGAAACTGGCAGCATCTGATCTAGAAATTCCCCTCCCATGAATTTTATGGTCAAGCGTACAAGCATACGCACAAAATCATGTCTGGTCTATTCAGAAGCAATACAGCACAAGAGGCCTTGGTACATAAACAAATACCAAATGCAGTACTGTATAGCACTTATGAAGAAGACGGTAGATTTACATGTATAACATGGAAAGATTTCCAGCACTACTCATAAGCAAAATGACTCAAACTGCAAGATGTTATGAACAGCATAGACATATTACAAAAATCATTTTTAAAGTGATGGTAGTATGTTTATAGAATCCCTGAAAAAAAAAGAGGGGGGACATGTAGACACTTAACTGTCACCAGTGGTTATCCCTGTAACATTAATTACCCTAGCTCTTTCTTTTCCACTTTATGTTTTCAGTATTTGCAGTTTCATAAGCACATATGCTTTTCGTAAAGAATCAAAAAGACGTAAAATATTTAAATGTATTCCTTTTAAGATGTCTGAGACTGTATCAGCATGAACTACATTATATACCACTCTTCTCGACAAGAGAACATTCTTTCCAGTTCCTATATTCTAAAAGTATAAACTAAAAATGTAAGAAGCTAAAAATCACCACCACTCAGACATCAGGAAAAATCTGTTATTATGACAAAGTGATAAATGGCATGAAAATACATGGTATGCGGAGTCAGCCTCTGGGGCACAAATCCCTGGAAGGTCTCCAAGGAAAGGCAAAGGCACAGGGGCCTGCACTGTCATCCATTCAGACTGATTTCCAAAAGCATTTACCTGTGAATGCACATGCATTTTTAGGCAATATGGGCAAATTCTCTTCCATGTTAAGAAAATTCTTACCATCCTCAGACACCTAGATATAGCACCAGGAAATCACTGTCTACAAATAGGGACCACGTTCTGCTCTTTAAATGTCAAGCGTTATCCAACAGTTTGCAAAGCACTCTTAGATTGGCTTTCAGATAAGGGATAAAAAAATATAAAGTACTACTACTAGTGCTTACGGAAGCCTCCTGAGCACACAGTGCGTCAGCAGCTGTGCTTTTAAGCACATGACTGTCAGATAAATGCAAGCCTATAGTCAGCGTTACCTGTTGCACAGTTGCACCTGAGAGTTAGGACTCACTGCTGCTTGGCCACTCCACATGGGCACTAAAAATAAAAATGAAGAATTTACATTTTTGTTAACAACTCTTAAGAGAGTAAGTAAGGTATTGCAACCATGGGTGCCCATATTAATCTTTTTTTTAAAAGATTTATTTTTTTAAAAGATTTATTTTATTTTTATTGGGAAGGCGGATATACAGAGAGGAGAGACAGAGAGGAAGATCTTCCAGCCGATGATTCACTCCCCAAGTGAGCGCAACAGCCGATGCTATGCCGATCCGAAGCCAGGAGCCTCTTCCGGGTCTCCCACCCGGGTGCAGGGTCCCAAAGCTTTGGGCCGTCCTCGACTGCTTTCCCGGGCCAAAGGCAGGGAGCTGGAAGGGAAGTGGGGCTGCCGGGATTAGAACCGGCGCCCATATGGGATCCCGGTTGTGCAAGGCGAGGACCTTAACCACTGCGCCACCGCACTGGGCCCAAAAGATTTATTTATTTTTATTACAAAGTCAGATATACAGAGAGGAGGAGAAACAGAGAGGAAGATCCTCCGTCCGATGATTCACTCCCCAAGTGAGTGCAACGGTTGGTGCTGTGCTGATCCAAAGCCAGGAGCCAGGAACCTCCTCCAGGCCACCCGTATGGGGGCAGGATCCCAAAGCTTTGGGCCATCCCCGACTGCTTTCCCAGCCACAAGCAGGGAGCTGGATGGGAAGTGGAGCTGCTGGGATCAGAACTGCGACCATATGGGACCTTGCACATTCAAGGCAAGGACTCTGGTCGCTAGGCCACGCTGCTGGACCCCTCATATAAATCTTTATATAGAAATGTCTCTTCCTTCCATCAAATTTTTCTTTAATTTTTTTCTTCCCTAATGGCACTGAACATGGGTTGAAAACTCTTTTAACTACAAAAAACAAAAACAAACAAACAAACCATGATGCCTAAAGTCTATTTGTAGCCTCTTTTCCTGTTCTCTCTCATCAATAACAGTTCTACAAGAGCCACTTTGCAGTGCAAGTAGAAAGCTTGCTTTCCTCAGCAGGCTGCATACAACTGGCTTTCAGATGCTGTAAGCGCCCGGCATCTGTTTAACTCAGAACTGTACTGGGACTCATGTCTTCCAACAGGTGTGGAATAATTTGGTAGTCTTCTATACTGGGCTAGAATTTCCACAGGTGTTAGGGAGACCAAATCCTATTTTCTCAGAACATCTTTTTTTTTAAACTACTCATTTCCTTGATATAACATTTGTAGAAATGATTTAAATATGCAAAGCTGTAAGTGCTCACACATACACACACTGATTGTTTCTATTCACTTCAACATTAAATTGAAATTGTCAGTAATACTTTGAGGACATTTCAGTTTTCACCTGTTTCTCATGAGGCAAGACAATTTTTGGTAGAAATTTGTATTTGGGTAGGCAAAAAACAGAATAATGTATTTGGCAATATAAGATTACCTAAGGGACTGGCACTGCGGTTTGGTAATCTGGGCCTCTGTCTGCAGTGCTGGCTTCCCATATGTACACTGGCTCAAGTCCTAGGTGCTCCACTTCTGATCCAGCTTCCTGCTTATGGCAAGGGAAAGCAGCAGAGGATGGCCCAAAGACTTAGGCCCCTGCTCCCACATGAGAGGCCCAGAGGAAGCTCTTGCCTCCTGGCTTTGTATCACCTCAGCTCCCAGCCATTTAAGGAGGGAACGAGCAAACGGAAGATCTCTCTCTCCCCTCTGGTTTTCTCTCCTTCTCTTTGTCACTGCCTTTCAAATATAAATAAATCTTTTTTAAGGAAAGATTTATTTTAAAAATAAATCTTAAAAAGTCAGATATACAGAGAGGAGGAAAGACAGAGAGGAAGATCCTCCAGAGAGGATGATTCACTCCCCAAGAGAGCACAACGGCCGATGCTATGCTGATCGGAAGCCAGGAGCCAGGAACCTCCTCTAGGTCTCCCACATGGGTGCAGGGTCCCAAGGCTTTGGGCCATCCTCAACTGCCTTCTCAGGCCACAGGCAGAGAGTTGGATGGGAAGTGGAGCTGCCGGGATTAGAACCAGCGCCTGTATGGAATCCCGGCGTGTTTGGTGAGGACTTCAGCCACTAGGCCACCACAGTGGGCCCAAAAATAAATCTTAAATTGCATTTCATATTTGATCATTCAGTCATATGTCAGCAACAAGGAACACCATATATTTCTAGATGCTTCTCTTCCTCATGCTGAAATATAAGCTGCTAGAGTGCAGGGACTTTTTTTTAAATGAGCAAAGCAAGATTTATTAAAGATCTTAAAGAAAGAAGCCTCCTGCTACAGTATCAGGAGGGGGTTTTCAGAAGAGAAAGACCCCAGGGACCTGTATTCGTCTTTTGTGTTCCCCTATGCTTATTCTTTACCATAGTGTTGAGTATTCAGAAAAAAACCAGACACAAACACACACACAATCCATCAAGCTTAGCTGATAGCAAAGAAGAAAATATTCTTAACAGTTAAATGGAAAACCTGGAAGAGTTTAAGATTTGGAGTTTTTTAATAAATAAAAGGCAAAAGTAGTTATATGAAAAAATATAAATACATGTGGACGTATTAAAGAATTTTTAAAAATTTATTCAGAAGGATTTTACATGTATTACTTCCTTAAAAAAAATTTTTTGTGGACCTGGCGCAGTGGCCTAGCAGCTGAAGTCCTCACCTTAAATGCGCCCCAGGATCCCATATGGACGCTAGTTCTAATCCCAGCAGCCCCACTTCCCATCCAGCTCCCTGCCTGTGGCCTGGGAAAGCAGTCAAGGACAGCCCAAAGCCTTGGGAACCTGCACCCACGTGGGAGACCTGGGAGAAGTTCTGGGCTCCTGGCTTCAGATTGGCGCAGCACCAGCCGTTGCATTCACTTGGGGAGTGAATCAATGGACAGAGGATCTTCCTGTCTCTCCTTCTCTCTGTATATCTGACTTTGTAAAAAATAAATAAATCTTTAGAAAAAAATTTTTTATATACTTTGGTATGTTCATAATAAAAATAAAACATCGAGGGAATAATGACTACTAACTGAAATGTACTATTTATAGACCTTGAAAGAGATTTTAAAGTAGCAAGGGAGATATCAGATTCACAAAGGAACAAGAAAATCCAAAAATTCTGATTACTGCTGCCATTATAGACAAAATCTCAAAGTCCTGGTTACATTATGAAACAATGTTCATACAGTTTCACTGTTCAAATATGCTTATAACATAGTCATTAGAATTGTCAAGGAAGTTTAGATGGACTTAATTATTTTTTGTTTATGCCCAGACCTTCAAACTTCCTCCATGTATGCATCCCAGTGTAAGTAGTCATATGAAATATTATGTTTGGTCAGTCTTGATGTTCTATTCCACTCAGGAATTTAGATGAAAAATGTCCACAGGGCAGCTCTTTTCCATTACATACAGCATGCGCTCCTGTGCTCAGAGTGGATGATCTAACCTTGTATTCTGAGGTCCAGTCCTTGGATTCCTGAAACATCACTTGAAAGAGTTATTTGAAGTTTATATCTGACTTAACTACTGCATCTAGAACCATCTAATTTGGCAGAAAACAAATAACCTTTGGTTGTGAAAAGGTGATATCAAGATCAACTATTCATTCCAAAACACATTTACTGAGGCCATTGCAAAGCAAGCTGACACGCTGGTAGGGTGAACAGCCAGGCAACAGAACATAGTTTGATAATCTAACAAATACAATTCTGAGTGTGTGATAATGACTAAAATAGGTGCCTGAGCTTATTAACCTGGAGAATTAAAGAAGGCTTCATGGGACAGCCGAGGCTCACAGGGTGCGCAGAAATCTGCTGAGGGATTGAGTATCCAGGCAAAGGAAGCAGGGGGTGCACATGCAGAGAGGCACGGAAGTACACTGTGTACCATGCAGGCAAGCTGGCCATCTGATGGGCACAGAATGAGAGCAGACTGGCAGAAACTAGGGAGGAAAGTGGGAAACAGATACTAAATGTCTTGTTCCGTGTGGTTCCTTTCCAGGCTGGCACTGTCATTTGTCTTTGAAATCCTGAAGAGAATGAGTTCACTTAGATAGCTGCTATTAGAAATGTTTCCAAATGCCGAGTTGTTTTACTTCAAAGTGTAGTTTTACGTGTCCTTTTGTCAATTTTATACTCATCTCTGTCTTGCCACTCACCGTAATAATAAGTGCCATCTGCCAGTCAATGAACCAAGGGCTTTAGATAAGTTAGATAAGCAAGGGCAGAGCTGTAGAGCCAGACCAGGTTTCTGTGTATACTAGGGATGTATCCATGCACAAATTACTTAACCTCACCGAGTCTAAAGCTTTCTCATCTATTGATTTGAAGAACCAACACCTTCACAGGTTGTTTGTAAAATTCAAATGAGACATATAAGGCAGTTCATACTCAAAGTAGGCACTCAATAAAAATTAAAATTGTTATCTACTACTGTGATGATGGCATGCAAAAATAGAACTAGTCGCTGTCAATACATGAAACCAGCAGAGGGAGCTCCTACTCCATTTCTGACTTTTTGGTCAAGGTAAGGGATCAGATGGTACCTCTAGATGGCAGATGGAGATGAACTGGAGGTACGTATTTGGTTTCAGTGACATTGACAATGGCAAGGGAGATCCATGAGTGTTTCTTCTGTTATGTTTCATGGTTTGCATATGCATTATGGGTCAAATATTTCATAACCTTTTATTTAAGTAATCACAATTTGTGTGCACCTACATCCTATTATCTCTAGTTCCCTTTGGAAGCACAAAACAATGATCACATTCACTTTGTCTTACTTTTATCCTACTGCTCTTAGATCTGTCTCGCAGCAAGTCCCTATGCCTTCTAACCATTTCCTCTATTAGACTCTGCTTCCTAGACACAGAGGCAGGTTCTTACACCACAGTGTAGCTTCAACAGTAATGAGCATAATGCCTCAGGCATAGCAAGTGCTCAATAAATATCTGAAAATAAATTCCTACACTTTGGGGGGCGGGGTGTGATTTAATCAAACAGGGGCTGCATTTTGTTAGGTTTAAAATTGTTCCTGTTTGAGAAAAGCTCATAAATTCTATTTTTTATTATTTTTTTTTTACATTGGTAGATTAGGCTAAGGCAGGAGAGATGTTTATCAAGTCTTACTATCTTTATTTTTTCTTTACAGTGTTCATGAAACCATATCCTGAAATGTTCTTATTTTCTCAATATCATACATAAAACAACTCCTCAGGAACTTTAACTTATTAGGGGGATTGCTTCAATTAAATTACAGGATATTCTATGACTGAAAATAATTTTATCTTAATGTGTTACTAGCCAAATTTTTTTTAAAGATTTATTTTTATTTTTATTGGGAAGGTGGATATACAGAGAGGAGAGACAGAGAGAAAGATCTTCCGTCCAATGATTCACTCCCCAAGTGAGCGCAACTGCCGATACTATGCCGATCCGAAGCCAGGAGCCTCTTCCGGGTCTCCCACGCGGGTGCAGGGTCCCAAGGCTTTGGGCCGTCCTCGACTGCTTTCCCAGGCCACAAGCAGGGAGCTGGATGGGAAGAGGGGCTGCCGGGATAGAACCGGCGCCCATATGGGATCCCGGGCATGCAAGGCGAGGACCTTAACCACTTGCGCCACCGCGCCGGGCCCTAGCCAATTTTTTTAAAAAAAGATTTATTTTTATTTGAAAGGCTGAGTCACAGAGAGGCTGGTTTACTCCCTAAATGGCTACAACTGTCAGAGCTTGGGCCAGCCTCAAGTTAGAAGTTTCCTCAAGGTCTCTCACATGGATGCATGGTCCAAGGAATTGGGCCCTCCTCCACTGCCTTCCCAGGCCATTAGCAGGGAACTAGGCTGGAAGTAGAGCTACAAGGACTGGAACTGGTGCCCATTTGGGATGCTGGTGCCAAAGGTAGAGGCATAGCCTACTATGCCATGGCACTGGCATAGTCAAACATTTCTAAGTCCTATCAACAAATGAAAGGGCAAGGTGGAGAATGATGTCTGTTTTAGAAATGTGCTTATCTATGCATAGAACACTTTGGAAGATGATGTAACTGTGGCTACCCTTAGGTAAACAGACCAAGCATCTGGCATACAAGGTAAATCGGGCTGGTGTTGTGTAGTTGGCTAAGCATCTGCCTGTAATGTCAGCATCCCACGTGGACGGTAGTTGGAGTGCCAACAGCTCCATTTTTGACCCAGTGCCCTTCTACTGTGATTGGAAAGGCAGTAGTACTTGGGCCCATGCATCCATGTGAGACGTGGAAGAAGCCTCTGGCCATTGCAGCCACTGGGGAACAAGCCAGTATAGATCTTTTCTTCTGTCTCTCTCTATAATTCTGGTTTTCAAATAAATACATTTAAAAAAAAATTTACAGTTTAGGGACTGGTGCGGTAGCCTAGTGGCTAAAGTCCTTGCCTTGCATGTGCCAGGATCCAATATAGGCACCAATTCTAATCCCGGAGGTCCTGCTTCCCATCCAGCTCCCTGCTTGTGGTCTGGGAAAGCAGTCAAGGATGGCCCAAAGCCTTGGGATTCTGCACACCTGCATGGGAGACCTGGAAGAGGCTCCTGGTTCCTGGCTTTGGATTGGGTCAGCTCCAGCCTTTGTCGCCATTTGGGAAGTGAACCATTGGACAGAAGATCTTCCTCTCTATCTCTCCTTCTCTATATGTCTGGCTTTCCAAAAAAATAATAAATCTTTTTAAATAAAGTTACAGTTTAGACAACAAGGAAGTACACACACAAAAATCATTGGGTAAGAACAAACAGCAATACAGAAAGAAGAAACCTTGAGACAATATAAAGTTAGCTGTCTCATAGACTGCAATAGCGTTTAGCTGAACGGAATAAAGAAATCACTGCAGAGCAGGGAGAGGGAACCTTTTTGCTGCCAAGGGCCATACAAAATGATCACAAAAATTTAGCTTGCTACAGACTTACTGAATTTCAAGTCTCACCTGTGATTGCCTTGGCAAGACCAGACCCAGGGACTTTGTCAGGTGTAAGTAGCCCCCGCTGGATGTCTCCCACCGCTGCCGTAAAGTGATATGATCAGAAAAACCTTCCCAGTATAAAGGGGACTTGCTCTGGACTTTGCAGGATGATATTTGAAGATGCTGAGACACAGGAGTGGGAGATTACAGGGAGGGAAATGTAGTGCACACAGGTCCCTATGGCAGAAGCAAAGCAGTAGGGTGGGCCCGACAGGCAAAGACCCGTGTCTATGGGCTCCTCGGCAGGTCATTCTCACCATCCCTGTATGCACTCATGGCTATCTACAACAAAACACGATAGCCTTCTAACGAGATGGCTTTCTCATGACTCTAACTGAAGATAAGCACGATACTTTGATTTCTCTTAAGTGCCACCTGAAGGAATTGAATGGTTTGGTCAGAGGAAGTCCCTGAAAGTTTCAAGTTTCCAAAGAGATGAACGATTTAGGAAATGAGATGAGTGATTTAGGACAGTAGAGCAGATAGTAAATACTACATAAACTTAGGATGATAACTTTCATTGCATTTATGAGAAGGGAAGGTGGTAAAGTGAGTGGGAAATATGCAAAACGACCAGGCAGGCAAAAGATCAACACAGACCAGAACTCAAATGACAACAGTGAAGAACACAGAGCCTCTTGGGTTGTCTGCATCCTGAGACATTCCTTCCTTTAACACATCTGTGCCAAGGTCTCGGGGAACACACTTCTGTGGGATCCTGTTGATTACTCTTCAGTGTCACACAGCACTTGGAACTTGAAAAGTATTTCAGCTCAATCATATGTCAGATTTTTTTAAAGGGTTTTTTCCTATTGCCTGACTTGTGTTAGCACTGAATTTTCTAAATACCAGTGCATATTTATGTGGATTTAAAATGTTATTAAATTCTTATTAAAGTTATGTAAATACTACACATCCACATGACAAAATTAGAAAACACATGAAGTATATACTTTTAAAAAGTTACTTCTAATTCAGATATCACCACTGTTACTACTTTGTTTAAATACTATTAAAGTGTATATGAAACTTTAACTCCAAGAAAATAGTGTTTGAGAATGGGATTTGCTTCATGGCACAACAATTTTACATCGATTTGACTTTTTAACATGCATGGTCTTCCTCCAATTCTTCAACTAAGCATTCACCTCTTCACAGGCAGGAGGGTCATTTAATACATCATGTGCCACCTCACAGTGCCTTCATGCCGAACAAAGCAATCACAGTGGGCTTCAAGTGATGGAATAATGGTGAATTTCACCTAAATTATTCTTATATCATTCTCATGATTCCTCTATGTCTGAGAATTTAACTCATCAGTCAGGCATTCAAGGATCCACAAAATGTGATTTTAGCTGGGCTGTCTGCAAGAATTAGCCCCAAATTTTATTCCATTACCATGCTGTGCTGTGCGTAACTAAGTGCCTTTGCCAGTTTGTGATTTCCCTTTCCTGGAATGTCTTTCCTACTCTGACATCTGTTTAAATTCAGTCTTCCAAGGTCTGGTTCCATGAAGGCCTTTACAGAATGTTCTGTAGTCGTTTCAACCTAAGTTAAATGCTCAGTCATATATGGGTAAGCACTGCAAGGACAGCATATTCAGTTTGGTACCTAGTCATACGGTACTACTCAACTTATAAAATTTTTTGGGTCTGGCAGGGCAGCCTAGCGGCTAAGGTCCTTGCCTTGAACATTCCAGGATCCCATATGGGCACCAATTCTGGTCCTGGCATCCTTGCTTCCCATCCAGTTCCCTGTTGGGAAAGCAGTAGAGAACAGCCCAAAGTCTTGGGACCCTGCACCTGTGTGGGAGACCTGGAATAAGCTCCTGGCTCCAAACGTCGGATCAGCTCAGCTCCAGCCTTTGCGTCCGCTTGGGGAGTGAATCAGTGGACGGAAGATCTTCCTCTCTGTCTCTCCTCCTCTCTGTATATCTGACTTTCCAATAAAATAAAATGAAATAAAATAAATAAAATAAGTCTTAAAAAAGTTTCTTATAAATATTCCTTGTCTTTCTCTAAGTCTGACGAAAGAAGAGGCTCTGCTCTATTAGTATGATTCTCCTTCACATGATATTGCCATCTAATACAGTAGAGAGTAAACATTCACACGCCTTTGGAAATGATACAAACGCACAATAAGAGAGTAAACCGCACTTTTATCATGTAACCAGCCTGGCCTCACAGCGTGAGAGAAGCATATAAAGGGGGAAATGGACTGGCTTGGGGATTTGGTCTAACACAAACTAACGGAAGAGTAATAGAGAGCAGAATGACACATACGAGGAGTCTATTCACAGTGCAGGGCCCAAAGGGAGACTCGGATGTGAAACTAAAGCCAACTAAGCATCACAATTTTGGAGTTCCCAGGTATAACAAACCGTGATTTAGATGGTCAACAAGCGCGTGCACACACACACACACACACACACACTTCTTACCTTTGTTTTCTCCCTGCTCACCAATAACCCATACTTCTTTGCCCGAAGTCTGTGCTTGCAAAACATTTGTAATAATATATTGTAATCTCTGTGAATCCAAATTGCATCCAATTCCAATCACCCGGTTTGCAGGAAATGCACTCAGCTTCCATGCCACATAGGCCATGATTTCCACTAAATTTTGCAGAAAAGGTGAAAATGTCATGATCTAAAAAAATTCATATCTACCTTAGGCAACAAACAAATAATTGGTATTTCAGTAGGTGAGGCATATTAGAGCTTTTATATGGTCTCCTTAGCATCTAAATGCACTAAGAATGGCACTTTAACATATATTAAAAACATTAAGATTTCAGTAAGATTTTACAGACCTTTGTTTTAAATATAGATCACTAATATTAGAATATGATTTCCTAGAATAGTTAAGCAAGTATAAAACTGGGCAAAAAAGGCCAGAAAACATTCATCTCTTTTCATGGAACAATTTTTGTTCTATTTCTATATTAAGTAGGATTTAAATACTGATTCATATCCTACCATTATATAGTATGCAATTGTGAACAAAACACAAGTAGTGTTTTCTTATGTGTCAAAAATATGTTTAAAATTAGAAAGGCCAAAGTCTCTTAACTAATTACTATAGAAAAATAGTGAGATATGTAAAAAATTTTTTTGAGTTGAAATATTCAAAAAAATCATTCACCAATCTTTTAGTAACACTTTGAAAATATTTCTGTTCACAGTAAAGCAGTTCCAAGGCCAGCACTGTGATGCAGAGGGTCAGCCTGCCTTCTGTGATGCCAGCATACCATCTGAGCACTGGTTTGAACCCTGGTTGTTACACTTCAATCTAGCTCACTGCTAAGGTACCTAGGAAGGCAATGGAAAATGTCCTAAGTTCTTGGTCTCCTGCCACCCAGGTGGGAGACCTAGATGAAGTTCACAGTGTAATTCAGCCAGGCCCAGCCCCAGTCATCGTGACCACTGGGATAGTGAACCAACAGAAGATCCTTCTCTGTCTTTCCTTCTCTCTCTCTCTGACTTTCAAATAAATAAAAAAATATTTTTTAAATAAAGTAGAACAATTCCAAGCCAGTCTGCATAATGCAAAACATGCTCTTAGAAGGCCCACTAGCCCACTAGCATTTGATGATACTTCAGAGTCAACAAAGCCTCTTTCATTTCAGTCACTGCATTTTAATCTTGAGGGATTAACTGTTTTCTCCCTGAAGATGGTATCATTAGCCCAAAACAAAATACTACATTTCATAAAAATCTGCAAATTGGAACCATGTAGTTAATGCCAGTTGCAAGAAGCAACTGATGCAGAAAACCTGCGATGAATAAAGAAACACTGTATTAATCATTACATACTGCATTTGACTGAACACTACCCAGCGTCTGACGTTTCAGGACTTCTATCATCAGACGCAGGGCTGATGCATTAATTGAAAGCAGAGCCGTTACCTGGCTGAGACGCAACGAGCAGGACGCTGTGCTGACTGTAATGACCAAGAGCTGGCACGAGAGCTCTGAACATGTCCACATTGCTCTGCACCACGTCGAGGTAGGACTGGGCATTACCCAAGGAGTTGACTGTGAGGATCACCACCTTGGAATGAGCAGAGGCAGACAGATCTGATGAATAAAAAGAAACAATCTGAGCTCAAGATATGGGCTTTCATCAAGTTCCAGCTGCTGATAAAAAGACGGTTCTCTTCCTCAAGTAGACAGTTTTTAGGTCTATTTATCCACCGGTCAATCCTACCTTTTCCACAGGGAAGGTATAAAACACCAAGGGTTAGAAAAATGGTAGAGCATGGTACGATGACGTGGGAGCTAGAATCCTCACCTAGCATGTACCGGGATCCCATAGGGGTGTCATTTAGTGTCCCAGCTGCTCCCTTTCCCATCCATCTCCCTGTTTGTGGCCTGGGAAAACAGTGGAGGACGGCCCAAGGCCTCGAAACCCACGTGGGAGACCCGGAAGAAGCTCCTGGCTCCTGGCTTCGGATTGGCTCAGCTCTGGCCATTGTGGCTGCTTGGTGAGTGAACCCACAGATACAAGATCTTCCTCTACATTTCCTTCTCTCTGTGAACTGCCTTTCCAATAAAAATAAATCTTTTTAAAAATTACTCTGGCTATTCTATCACTGTATTAATATTAAAAAAAAAAAAGTAGAGTATCCTAAAGGGGAAGACAGCCACAAAGATTAACAAAATGAGCTACAAGGTGCACAGTATTGAGTTTTTAAAATGTAATTCATAAGGTTAAAAGGGCAAATACATAGCATGCTATAAATAAGATGGACCTACAATTACACCACTGTTTTCTTTCTTTTTTTTTTTTTAAGATTTATTGATTTTTAATGGAAAGGCTGATATGCAGAGAGGAGGAGACCTTTAGGGAAGCAAATGTTAAGACTTAGGTCACAGGATGGGTTTTTTTTTTTTTTTCTGACTAGGACCATTCAGATCTTTATAGCATCATTCATAGGCTGTATAGAATTTCAACTTAAAAATTAGCCTGCTGTAAATTTCAAGTCCCACTTGAGGTTGCCTCGGAAGAGCCAGAGAAAACTGCTTCAAGAGTGTACTGCTTGCAGTCAGACATCTCCCACCCCCGAGTTAGGAAAAGTTGGTCTATGGAGTTCACCACTCTGACTCTCAAGTTTACATGTGCTATTTTACAATTATCTTATTCTCTACTATACAGTGAGTTTTACATGCAACAACAACAACCTGATGTTATTACGATGAGAAACAAGAAAGTGGCCAGCAGTGTGGCACAGTGGATTGGCACTGCCCGTGACCTGGGCATGGCATACGAGCACTGGTTCACATTCCAGATGCCTTATTCTTTTTTTTTTTTTTTCTTTTTAGGATTTCTTTTCTTTTTTTTTTTATTGGAAAGTCAAACACGCAGAGAAGAGGAGAGACAGAGAGGAAGATCTTCCAGCCAATGATTCACTCCTCAAGTGGCCACAACAGCTGGAGCTGAGCCAATCCAAAGCCAGGAGCCCAGAGCCTCTTCCGGGTTTCCCAAGCAGGTGCAGGGTCCCAAGGCTTTGGGCTGTCCTCGACTGCTTTCCTAGGCTACTGGCAGGGAGCTGGATGGGAAGCGGGGCTGCCGGGATTAGAACCAGTGCCCATATGGGATCCCAGGTGTGCAAGGCGAGGACTTTAGCTGCTAGGCTACCACGCCAGGCCCCCGATGCTTTACTTCTGATCCAACTCCCCACTAATGTGCTTAGTAAAGCAGCAGAAGACAGGCCAGTTGTTTGCACCCCTGCAGTTACATGGATGACCCAGGTAAGCTCCAAGTTCCCTCCTTTGGCCTGGTCTATCCTGGGCTATAGTGGCCACTCAGGGAGTGAACCAGTGAATGGAAGATCTGTCTCTATCTCTCTTCCTTTATGACTGTCTATCAAACTAAATGAATAAATTTTTTTTTTCAAGAAACAAGAGAAAAGCCATAAAATACATAGAATTGCATCACTTCAATCAGTATTAATAAATGGATATTGCACTCCAAGGAGATAGGAGCAGATAACAGCATTTTGTTCCTCATGGAGTGTCTAAGGCCATGCCTCTACACAAAACAGTATTATGCACTTTTGGTTGATACTCTGACATAGGTGGTAGACTGAAAAATGGAGTTTTAGACTTAATTATGATTTTTTCATGACTCCTTTGCATATTTCTGTGTTCTACTAGACCAGAGGGGATACCTGACAATGAATCAAAACCTCAAGAACTAGAAGACAACATGGGGCAGGCAGCTGTTTGAGCAGTTAAGAGGCCAACGGGATGTCTGCATCCCAGATGAAAATGCCTACGTTTGAATTCCAGCTCTGCTGCTAATTCCAGAGCACTGCAACTGTATACTTTGTAAAGGCAGTAGGTAAGGGTTCAAGTACCAGAGTCCTACCACCCATGTGCAGCACCTGGCCTGAGTGCCCAGCTCTTGATTTGGCAGAGCACAGCTCTAACCACTGGAGGTATCTGGGGAGAGAACCAGCAAATGGGAGCACTGTCTATTTTCTAATTCTGTCTCTCTGTTTCTCAAATAGATACGGTTCTTAAAAGATTTTATTTATATATTTGAAAGTTAGGGTTACAGAGAGAGAGAGAACGATGTCTTCCATTCTAAATGGCCACTGGCTCACTCCCCAAATGGCTGCAAAGGCTGGAGCTGGGCCTGTTCAAAATCCTGTAACCAGGAGTTTCTTACAGGTCTCCCACATGTGTGCAGGAGCCCAAGGATGTGGGCTACTTTCCACTGCCTTCCCAGATCCATGAACAAGGAGCTAAATGGGAAGTGAACAGCTGAACATATGTTCATGTGGGATACTGGTGCTGCAGGAGGCGGCTTAAGCTACAATGCCACAGAACCAGCACCCATGAAATAAATTTTTAAAAGAGATTTATTTATTTTTTTATGGGAAAGACAGATTTACAGGGAAAAGGAGACACAGAGAGAAAGATCTTTCATCTGTTGATTAATTTCCAAATGGCCATAATGGCTGGAGCTGAGCCAATCCAAAGATGGGAGTTTCCTCTGGGTCTCCCATGTGGATTCAGGGACCCAAGCACTTGGGCCATCTTCCACTACTTTCCCAGGCTACAAGCAGGGAGCTGGTTGGGATGTGGAGCAGTTGGGACATGAATCTGTGTCCATAGGGGATGTTGGCACTTGGAGGCTAAAGATTTAGCCAACTGAGCCATCACACTCAATAAAATAAATTTTTCTTTAATTAAAAAAAAAAAAACTGGAAGACATCAGGGAGGCATGTAGTTAACAGTTTCATATTGCTTACAGTGTTTAAAGCACTGTTCTGAGAGCTTTCCATATTTATTCATGTGACCTGGTCCCCAGAACACAAGTGGGTAGTATCATCCCTTGTCTAACAGATGAGGAATCCGAGGCACTGGAAGGGAAATCTCTTCCTCAGTTGCAGAGTGGGAGCAGCAGAGGAGAACCAGAGGCCTAACACCGGCAACCTGGCTCCAGTGCGCCATGACCACCAGGCTGTACTATACTCTCATCAAGATGAGACGCCTGGCGTCAGGAGAGAGCAGGTACTTATCCACATTAGTAAATACTGGTCAGCAGTTCAATTTACAATTCTATAATTTGGCCCCATCATATCCTGCCATTATTTCCTTTTCTCCTTTAGCTTCCTCTACTTTGAATGACAGACACACTCTCAAGGTTGATTTCGAGTAAAATAATAGTAGCCAGGAGGCCCTCTTTCTCTGTAATACTGCCTTTCACAAAATTAAAATCAATCTTAAAAAAAAAAAACAACCAATGGAGCAATGTGTATCTCTACAGGGACCAGTCCATTGCAATAACCTAGACGCGTCATGATGAGGCATTAACTGATTTCCAAATGAGTTTTAATTCCCCCAAGTCATTAGTGTACTTCTCTGTATCATACAATAAATTTATGAGATGTTAATTAATGTTATATTTAACATTACTTTATGCAGCAATAATTAAATTGTTACCAGAAATATATTATCAAAACTAATAAAGGGAACAAGAAAGCTGCTCTAAGATGCTGTACACTCATTCAACTTTCAACAGATAATCACTGAATTCCCAGTTGGTGGCAAGCATGATGCACTATGCATCTATTCTAAGAATTCCACCTGAAGCAATACTTACTGATGGTTAATGAGACACATAGGCAGAAATAATTTCCTTCAGTCCTAAATGGCCCCACTATCTCTACCATTTATGTACTAAAGAGTCTCCTCAAGTGATTTGCAAGAGTTAAAGGTCCCCCAAGAACCTCAGTACCAGCAAGTGACAGCGTAAGAGACTATTCAGCTCCCCGGGGCTCCTTCACAGGAAACCTAAAGAGCGATCATTAAAGCAACCGCAGCACTCCTTCCCAAGAAGGAAAATGAACTGGCTGGATCCAGCAGGGATTCAAAGGCTTACTGAAACTACTACAACCATTTTTTCCTACCAATAGGTATAAGTTTAACTTTCTGGCTGCTGCTTTTTGGTACAGTATGGATTATGACACTATAAATTATGGTCAAGAAATACAGGGTATCTAAGGAAAGGAAAAGGAAAACTAAGCAATGACAGCATGACCATTTTATCTTACCTACAGAGCAGCAGCAAGGTCTCCATCTTTCTTTTTATGTCACAACCTTACTAGTCAAATGTTTTCAATCCCATGTGTCCAATTACATATCTACACAAATGTTCACACTTCTGTACTAATATACTAATACTAATATATATGCAAAAGGCTTCAATGAATTGGAAAACATATTTTAAATTATATTTATTTATATAAATTTTATTTATTGATGTAAAAAGCTTATGGTCTTATTAAAACCATACTTTTAGTGAAAGAAAAGTGAAATGATTACTTTTTACTTAACGTTGTGCTGGGGTCCGTGCAGTAGGTGTGGATGGCATGAAGGTGTGAAGAGAACAGCTCTCCTGCTCGGCAGGGCCCGGGGAGCTTCCAGCTGTTTGGCAGGGCCTGGCGGATTTCTCTCTGACCACCTTGACGCAGTCTCACTGCCTTTTTGCATGGACACTCAAGCACCTCGCTAAATTCTGTAATCTATTGAGGAGTTGTTTGCCCCTGTGAGATGATTTTGCAAACGATGTGAGCTTGAGAGTTAATGTTGCTGATAATGTCTTGGTGAGTGGGCCTTTCACAATTTACACATGGGAGCACAATTAAGCCCATGCCATTTCTGGACACCTTATTGTGTGCTAACCATTGCCTCAGAATCTGGCCCAGAAATGTAGCACACCTTCTGGGAAAAGGGCTTGATAAATATCCTAAGTATTAATGCAAGTGATGGGAGTGAGAGCTGAAACTGGTATGGCAGTAAATATAGTTACTGCATATTTACTGATCTCAAAGTATATAGTATATAGTATATAGTATATAGTACATAGTATATAGTTACTGATCTCAAAGGCTAGCCTGTCTTTGCAGTTTCTTTGGTACATAGAAAAGATAGCTGTTTTAGCCACTTTCATAATTTTTTAACTAGAGGAAATATAGGGCGATATTATTAATGTCATAGAGATATACTTTTGATTATTGTTTGATTGTTTATGAGGTTGTAGAGCCTGCAGTTGTAGAGGGATTTAATATTTGAAACTTTTTGTCTTAGATCTTTATGTTTTCTCTCTTTTGATGTATTTCTCCCATTAAGTGATAGATAAGTTGTGAAAATAAAATGTAGTAGGAATGTTTTACTGATTAGTAGGTAACCATCTGTGCCTTGGCCTTGGAGTTCTGGCTGTCACCTAATGGCTACTTCTGAAGAATGAATAACGGCTTGCTTTAAAGAAACTGATTATAGTAACTTACAGAATTATCTTTAAGAGCACCTGGTTGAGCATGAAGTAAAAATTAATTGAACATCTGTGCATGCTGGCTTAGTTCTAAAGTTAAAGATAAAAAAATCAAACGTTTGTATAGAGGCTTGTGATGTGTCTAAGTAAACAAAAAGGGCAGCTTCTTCTTGAGCTGTAGCAAGAAGGCACCAAGTGACAGTGTCCGTGTCTTTTCTTATCACCGACTGCACGCACCTTTCTCAAGCTCTGAACTCAGCTGGAGCTGGACTGCAGCAATGTTGGTTTAGTATTTTGCTACATATCAGGAAGTAGGTACTATTGCCAATTCACAGATTAGAAAAATGAACTTTGAGAACTTAGAATATCTAACAAATGTTAGAGCTATAATATAACAAAGCTGGGATGAAAATCCTGTTGTCTAAGTCTATAAACCAAGACTCTTAAACAATGCCTGGGGCTGGCGCTGTGCAAAGCAGCTAAAGCCTCCTGTGGTGCTGGCATCCCATATGGGTGCCAGCTGGAGTTCTGGCTGCTCGACTTCCAATCCAGCTCCCTGCTAGTGTGCCTGGTTAAGCATTGGAAGATGGCCCACATACTTACAATAGCCTAGACATGTCATGATGAGGCATTAACTGATTTCCAAATGAGTTTTAATTCCCACAAGGAAATTAAACATCCACAAGGGAGACCCAGGAAAATCTTCTGGCTACTGACTCTGGCCTGGTCCAGCATCACGCTTTATGACCATTTGGGGAGTGAACAGGTGGATGGAAGAGCTCTCTTTCTCTCTCTCTTGCTGTCTCTCCTCTCTCTGTTGTCACTCTGCCTATCATAAAAATAAGTTAAACTGAAAACACACACACAAAAATAACTTATCTGAATCTTAGTTTCCCAATATGTAAAATGAGACACTTGGATGAGGTGATCTCTTCAAGATGCTTGTCAGTATTAAAATTCTACATAAGGCAAGTATTTTAAATCAGAATAACCAAACCTTTGGTAATCTCCACATTAGGTAGGTTGAAGATGTCAAGGTCCATTGTCCCTCCTTTGGTTCCTTCTGAGGGGTCTAAGAGGACGAGCCTGTCTGCAATGCCCTGTGAAACACACAAACACAAAGAATAGCATTACAGTAGGCACCGCCAGTTACTCATGTTAAATTCATTCAGAATGGTCAGAGCTGTGGCACAGTGGGTAAAGTCATTGCATGTAGCACTGGTATCCCATATGGGTGCCGGTTCCAGTCCTGGCTGCTTCATTTCTGATTCAGCTCCCTGCTAATGCACTAGGGAAAAAATGGCCTACATATGTGAGCCCCTGCACGCATGTGGTGGATATGAAAGAAACTCCTGGTCCCTGGCTTCAGACTGGCCCCAGATGGTTCAGCTCCTGCTGTTGTAGCCATTTGAGGAGCAAACAGACAATGGAAGACTATTTTTCTCTCTGTCTCTCCCTCTGTCTCTCACACACCTTCTCTCCCTCTCTTCCCCCATGGTGCTGTGGGCATTTGGGGGAATGAATCAGTGGATGATGATGTGGATAAGAGCTCCCTGCTCTGTGTCTCTGTTGTTTAAATAGAATAAGTGAAAATTTGAAGAAAAGTAAAGAAGGGCTACGTAAGAGTACATAAGGATTTGTATGCTATCATGGCCCGGCACAGTAGCCTAGCTGCACGCACCAGGATCCCATATGGGCACTGGTTCATATCCTGGCTGCTCCACTTCCCTTTCAGCTTCTTGCTGGTGGCTTGGAAAAGCGGAAGCAGATGGCCCAAGGCCTTGGGACACTGCATCGCACATGGGAGACCCAGAAGAAGCTCGTGGTTCCTGGTTTCGGATCAGCTCAGTTCCACCTGTTGTGGCCACTTGGGGAGTGGACCAGTGGAAGACAGATCTTTCTGTCTGTTTCTCCTTCTCTCTGTAAATCTGATTTTATGATAAAAACAAAATAAATCTTAAAAAAAAAAGAAAAGAACTTGTATGCTATGTTCAAAAGGATGAGAATCCATTACAACTGACTACTGAAAATTGAGATCTAACAGGGCTTAATCCAGAAATCATTAAATTTTGCTAGTGCTAACTCGAATTTATATCTTGATTTTTATCATTTTATGCAACAAATTCCATCCTGAAGAATTCAGATTTTTGGATCTACTTTAAGTGTTTTTGGGATCCATTTCTATCATGAAGGTCAAAACTAATGTCAGGTTTCTTTTTTTTTTTTTTTTAAGAGGATAATAGTCCTAAACCTAAAATCGAGTCCTGACACCCTGAAGTACCCGCCCAAGAGCGCTCATGGGAAATGCTCCCCACACCTGTAAACGGCTTCCTGGCAGGCAAGAGGACTGAGCGTAAATAACAGCACAGAGACTCCCCTACGTGACAGTCCTTCTCCAAAGTGGCAGGAACCCGAGGGGCCCACCAATCTCAGTGGGCAAGGGCATCAGTGCTCAGGGGTCTGTCAGAGTACCAGTCATAACGGAGGCAGTTAAGAAACAACCCGCTCTAGTTCTTTGTTAACTGCATGTTACTGGGAAGGTCATTGAACTTGGCCTTCACGGGATTCTGAGAATAAATCACCTGACACAGGAGTGGCATAGAGCAGACCTCTCTGCGTCACAGTTAGCACTTTCACTGTTGTTAATCACATTAAGGCTAATGCACAGAAAACTGAGAGTTATTTTTTCATTCATTAGACAAATGAAAATCCAAAGGTGTAACAACAGTACTTGTGAGAAGACAGGCATGCTCATACATTATGCATAAATTCTGTATAGCTGATAAAAGGGACAATTTAGCCATTACTATCTTTTTTTAAATTTTGATGATCTTTACATAGTCGATTAGGGCTCAAAGGGTCAAGGGCTACAGGAAAGTGGGTAAGATCATTGTTTCCACATTCTCTTTATTCCTTCCTGTATGTGGGGGAAGGAGGTAGACAAAGGGAGAAGCCACACCCAGCTTCCCAACCTTCCCAGGGTCCCCAATGTGGGGCCTGCTCCAAGAGCACTGCTCAAGTGGTTTTGATAGTTCAACTGTTCTGAATTGCTGCCAATCTAAAATCTCTAAAATGATAAAATCTCTTCAGAATCCACTGGCTGACACAGTCCACCTTAGCATCTCCACTTGCCCAGATTTTCACTGCCAACACTTGGCTAAGGTAGCTAATCAATTTTTCCGTCCTCTGCTCTGGTTACCAGTGTCCTATGCAGGCTCCAATGCACTGCCATATCCTTCATGTGCACCTGGATATGCTGCCATTGCTCTGTCTGAGCCACTGAGGAGGCTCAGCTTTGACACACGCACTCCACTGTCAGACCATGGAACCTGCAACTCTTTCCATGGTTTGGGGTCCTGAGTCCAACAATTCAATTGGGAGATCCCCAAGAAACTTCGTCTGAGGTGATCCCAGACCAGATTCTTGTGTGTGTTTGCCAGTACAGGGTTTGGCACAGACTGTCAACCTAATCACCCTATGCCTATGCTGGTGGTTGCAATTGCTGTGTCAGTTCTGTCTCCAGCCCTGTCTTCTACACAAACCAGTGAGTGTTGTAGCCCAACCTGATCCTGCCTACCACACTCTCGGCCCTCACACAAACCATTGGGGTCTGCAGCCTAGTTGGAGCAACCTGCACTAACCCCTACAAGGACTGCACCCTGCCCTGGTTCCCATGCTTGCCAGTATGTACAGCAGATGGTCCAATCTGTTCCATATCCCATTCAGCTCTCATGCATGCTAATGAGCATTGAGGCCTAGTTCAACCCAAGCAGCTCCACTGTCTAACCCACACACAAGTCACCGGGTGCCACTCTCTATCTAGCCATGCCTGCCCCAGACCTGGTTCTCATGCTCACCAGTCAGAGTGGCAACCCAAGAGAGAGGTGCCCGCTGTTTTCTTATTGGGCCCACTCCCATTCCTGGATGTTGCATTCTGCAGGTGGCTCTGCAGTTTGGCTTGACAGAATTAGCCCCCTGTGCTAGCATCTGCCAGCTGAGCTGCGGCAAAGCCCAACCAACCCTCACTCACTCTGGCTTATGCATGTACCAGCAGGAACAGTCAACCTAGCCTGGCTCTTCTTTGATCCAGTTCACATGAGGCTCACAGGTGTTGTAGCACTGCCCGGTCTGGTCCGTCCCCATCCGAACTCATGCTTTCCAGTGGGGATGGTGGTCCAACAGGGGAGCTTTCCACAGCCCCTCCCTCTGGGTCTTGCATGTTCTGGTTGGGTGCTGCATCACGGTTTGGCATGGTCTGCCTCACCTCGACATTTTCCAGTGGGTGCTGTAGCCTGGCCTGGCCTGGCCTTGCCCATCCCCAATTCCAGCTCAGGTTGGTGGGGGCTACTGCCTAGCCCAGCACAGCTGGCACCCAATTCTGGCCCTCATGTGTACTGGCGTGTTGTGACTGAACCCGACCTGACCCATACTCTATTCTGGTGCTCAGATAAGCCAGCAGGTGATATAAACTGGCCCTGCCTGGTCCACCCCCAACCTGAGCCAAATATATGCCACTGGGTACCTTTCCTTGTCTTGGTCTGGGATGCTTCCTACATGGTTCTTGCGCTCTCCTGCAGGGACTATATCCTGACAGAGGAGTTTTCCAGGCTCCTCCATTAGAACCTCTCCCAATGCCAGATCTCACACACAGGTGGGTTCATGGGCAATTTCACCATTTCTAGCAAAATCTCAGTACATTAAATATAGGGGCTTGCACCTAGGCATATCAGGCTAAGCCTGTGGCACTGGCATACCACATGAGCACCAGTTAAGAGTCCCAGCTTATTCCATTTCTGATCCAGTTCCCTGCAAATGTGGCAGGGAAAACAGCAGGAGATGGCTCACATTCTTGGGCCCCTGTACCCATATGGAAGACACAGAAGAAGCTCCTGGCTGCTGGTTCCTAACTTTAGATTAGCTCAGCTCCAGATATTACGGCTATCTGGGGAGTGAACCAGTGAATGGAAGATCTCTCTCAGTTTCTCCTTGTCTGTCTATGTTTCAAATAAAAATAAATATTTAAAAAATTTAAACACTGCTTTGATCCATCAATCTAATTTATTGAAATTATTCCACAAATTTAATAGGATGTATAATTAATAACAGTTGTGGATATTCATTAACAATGTTCTAAAGACTAAGGCCCGGTGCCATGGCCTAGTGGCTAAAGTCCTCGCCTTGAATGCACCAGGATCCCCACTTCGCATCCAACTCCCTGTTTGTGGCCTGGGAAAGCAGTTAAGGGCAGCCCAAAGCCTTGGGACCCTGCACCGACGTAGGAGACCCGGAAGAGCTCCTGGCTCCTGGCTTTGGATCAGCACAGCTCCAGCCATTGCAGTCACTTGGGGAGTGAATCACTGGATAGAAGAGCCTCTCTGTATATATCTGACTTTATAAAAAATAATTTAAAAAGAATGTTCTAAAAAGCACAAACCACCATGATGTTCATCAACAACAGTGAGGCAGTGTAAAGCAGTGGTTTTGAGCAGAAATTCTCAAGCTGTAAGTGGATCACCACTTAAGGGTTCAGTGAACACTAGGGATTGCTAGGGATTTTATTAAAAGGCAGATTTTGTCTCAGTAGGTTTGGGTTGGGGCCTAGGATTGCTGATTTTTTTTAAAAGATTTATTTATTTTTATTGGAAAGGCAGATATACAGAGGAGGAAGATTTTCCAGCCGATGATTCACTCCTCAAACGGCCTCAAAGGCTGGAGCTGAGCCAATCCAAAGCTGGGAGCCAGGAACTTCTTTCCGGGTCTCCCATGCGGGTGCAGGGTCCCAAGGCTTTGGGCCGTCCTCGAGTGACTGCTTTCCCAGGCCACAAGCAGGGAGCTGGATGGAAAGTGGGGCTGCCAGGATTAGAACTGGCACCCATATGGGATCCCGGGCGTGCAAGGTGAGGACTTTAGCCACTATGCTATTGCGCCGGACCCAGATTGCTGATTTTTAATAAGGTCTTTGATGATGCCAATGCTGTTGGTCTAAGAGCCATTCTTGAATAGTAAGGAGCTGATGAACAGATTATCTATCTTCAAATCTATTATTTATTAACAGTGTGACTTTGTGCACACTGCTAACCTGTCTTTGGCTCGGACTCTTCTCTTGTAAAATGGCAGTATCAACAGTACGTAAGGAACAGGGCTGCCGTAAAAATGATTCAAGTGTTTAGTGGCTCTAGTGAGCATTTAATAAACCCTAGTTACGGGAGCTACTACTACTACTTGAATGCTATTACTGCTGCTGTATTTAAATTGTATACCTTATATCAAAACCCTAAGGTTTATAAAGGAAAATGGAAGAAGATTCCTACTGGAACAATTTAAAGATGAGTAATGACAGTAAGACTCTTTGATAAAGAAACATGACTTTAAATGTCTTCTGTGTATCCAAAAAAGACAAATAATTACAAATAAGATGAATAAAAAGTTGTAGCAATAGGGAAGAAATCAGGTAGACGTGCATGTTACTGTTAGGAGCATAAACGGTCTGTCGTATTGATGAATAATCTATCAAGCTGTAACAAGTGCCATGAAAGCATCCATGCCCTCCAACTCACTAGAGCTATTTTTTGAGATGATGAACACCCCAAAGAATACAGCTCCAACAAGCAAATGAGAAATCTGTAATGTTTATAGGAGCATCGTATTTAGTAACAAAAGAACTGAAAACAAATCAACTTCCAACTAAGAGAACAGTGTACTCAGAGGGCTGTAAAAAGGAAACTAATATGCAAAAGTTATCATAAGGTGTTCTGAGCTGTCAGCTTCTAAAATTTTCTAGCTCCCTGAACTTAAATTATTTGTTGAAGTAGGATCTACATGTATGTAAATGTGAGTATGTAGTTATTTTTTTTAACACAACGAGAGGGATTTAAATGGCAAAATAATAAAATGTTAATGAAAAAGAAAAAGTAATATCAGTAACCAAATAAATATGTATGGGGGCCCGGCGCCATGGCCTAGTGACTTAAGTCCTTGCCTTGAATGCACCAGGATCCCATATGGGGCGCCGGTTCTAATCCTAGCAGCTCCACTTCCCATCCAGCTCCCTGTTTGTGGCCTGGGAAAGCAGTTGAAGATGACCCAAAGCTTTGGGACCCTGCACCTATGTGGGAGATCCAGAAGAGGTTCCAGGTTCCCAGCTTCAGATTGGCTCAGCACTGGCCGTTGCGCTCACTTGGCGAGTGAATCATTGGACAGAACATCTTCTCTCTTTCTCTCCTCTTCTCTGTGTATCTGACTTTGTAATAAAAATAATAAATAAAATCTAAGAAAAAAATGTTTTTTTAAAAAATGTATGTATGGGACAGCTAGTGTTTGTAGGCTACCCCTCTCAACCACCACCAGGCTCTGGAGGAAGCAGGCAGGACTGCTGACCCTCTCTGCAAGCAGACACAGGCCTTTCTATCAAAAACTTATATACAGAATATCCAGAAAAAAAGACTGATGGATAAATAATTGAGTCCTAACCTAGTGTAAAATATCAATTCGAAATCTATGACCTTAAAAGAAAGTAATTATAAAGAAAAAGGCAATCTTTAAAAAAAAACCAATAATTTTAGAAAGAGCTAAAATTAAGCATTACATGCGGTAACATTACAGCTCTTAAAACTTCTTCAAATAAAATTCATTAAATTAAACAGGAGTTTAATTAAAGAAGCATGACTCAGAAAACACAAAAGACTTTGTGACTAAGTCAGACAAACATCAAGCTGGATTGTGACAAGGCCACTGTTAAATCACTTTTTAAAAAAATCTATTCTATGACTAACTAGTAATTAAATGGGGCATCGTTTCCAGCTTTCAGCTACTTCTTAATCTACTTCCTAAATATACTTTAGGGCAAAATAATGTTTTCTTACATGCCAAAATGAAGCTGTTACTTTTCCAATGTTAAGCATAAACTGCCTAAAAATATACATCGGCTATACATCTGTTGTGGCAGATGTATTTATAAGTATATGCTTACCTACCTTGGCTGAAATTGCTAATATGCAGGCAACACCCAGATCTCCACTTCCAACCACAGTGATTTTATTGACTGCTTTATTCTCTTGGTTTGTCCAACTCCTTGAATTAATATCTGAGACACCTAGAAAGAAAAGTTATTATCCTCAGAACTTAAAAATACCATTAATAATCCTTTAGGTGTCTTAAAAAAAATAAAGCAGTCAGTAATTCAGAAAATACAGTACAGATCCATAGAGGAAATTAAAAAAAAAAATGGTGAGCAAATAAACCCAAGTGATACAGGAATCTTTACTAAATATTCTTCTAGATAGAGGATAGAAGAAGGGGTCTTTCAAAATATATTTAAAATATTTGTAAAATCCTGGGCCTAGCACAATAGCTCATTGGCTAAATCCTCACCTTGCACGCACTGGGATCCCACTTGGGCACCAGATTGTGCCCCGCTATTACACGTCCCATTCAGCTCCCTACTTGTGGGCTGGGAAATCAGTGGAGGATGGTACAAAGCCTTGGGACCCTGCACCTGCATGGGAGACTCGGAAGAAGTTCCTGGCTCCTGGCTTCAGGTAGACCCAGCTCTGGCCGTTGTGGCAGAGTGAACTAGCAGTTCGAAGATCTTTTTCTCCTTTTCTTTTTCTCTCTGTATATCTGCCTTTCCAATAAAAATTAATAAATCTTTAAAAAATTATATAAAGTCCTAAAAATTTAGGATTTCCATTATTCTGGAAAAAATTAATTCTGGGACCCAGCACAGTAGCCGAGCGGCTAAAGTCCTCGCCTTGAATGCGCCAGGATCCCATATGGGCGCAGGTTCTAATCCCAGCAGCTCCACTTCCCATCCAGCTCCCTGCTTGTGGCCTGGGAAAGCAGTCGAGGACAGCCCAAGGCCTTGGGCCCCTGCACCTATGTGGGAGATTTGGAGGAAGTTCCTGGCTCCCGGCTTCGGATTAGTGCCTGGATGTTGGGGTCACTTGGGGAGTGAACCATCGGACAGAAGATCTTCCTCTCTGTCTCTCCTCCTCTCTGTATATCTGCCTTTCCAATAAAAATACATAAATCTTAAAAAAAAATTCTGATTCTTAATGCTCTGGTCCACAACACAGAAGAATGCTTAATACCTTACTAAAATTCCAAAACCTGAGTACTTGGTATTTTTACAAAGACTGGTTGATTGTTGTAAAATGCAGAGTGACAAAGAGAGGGAGACAGAGACCTTCCATCTGTTGCTTCATTCTCAGACTAGAAACAACTGGGACTAGTTCAAGCTGAAACCAGATCTCCTCCCTGAATGACATGCATCATCATCTACTCCTCCCATATGCTTTAGCATTGCATCCACGGGGGAGACCTGGAAGCTGCTGTGTCTCTTGGCATCTTACCTGCTCATTTGGGAAGCAAACCAGAAAGACCTCTGTCTGTCTTTCTCAAACTCTGCCTTTCAAATTAAAAAAATCTTTAAAAATATACATACAAACCTTCAGTTATTTTTGTAATATAGGCTAGCAACTCCGCCTGCCGAGCCTCATCAGATGATGGCAGAGAATATAAGGGAAGTTCCTCTTGAAACTTGGCAATCATCTCTTTAATTAGTCCAACGATGACAGATTTAGGCTGTAGAATACATTCAAAGGGAACAGTTACACATAGATTTTGGTAAAGAATGCGTATTTTAAAAAAAGGGTTATTTATATTTAATTGAAAGGCAGATTAACTTGGAGAGAAGAAGGGACAGAGATCTTCTTCCCTAAATGGCTGCAATGGCTGGAGCTGGGCCAGTACAATGTCAGCAGAGTTTCTTTTCGGGGCTCCCATCCATCTTCTGCTGCTTTCCAAGGCACATTAGCTGGGATCTTCATACAAGAATCTGGTCTGGGAACACCTCAGACAAAGTTTCTTTGGGGATCCCCTCAATCGAGCTTTCAGACTCAGAATGCTAACCATCAAAAGACAGAGGACAAAACAAGTCAATCAACTACCTCAGCTATATGTTGGCAATGAAAATACAGGGCAAACGGAGACTATATGATGGACTGTGTCAATCAGTGGATTCTCCAACAACCGCTTCGTGCTTGGAGTGGTGAGAGCGGCAGCAATTCGGAACTGCTGAACTATCAAAACCACTTGAGCAAGACCCTTGGAGCATGCCCCATATCTGGGACCTGGGGTGGGAGACTGAGTGGGGCTTCTCCCTTAAAATCCCCTTTTACATCAGATATATTAAGGAAACAATACGGAACTGATTGTCTTGCCCATCTTCCTGTAGTGCTTGAACCTTTTTACCCTAATTATGTCAAGATTGTCAAAAATAATAAGAAGAAGAAATAAACTAGTTTCCTAAAATTCATCAGTGCAGATAAATTTTAAAACTTATGAAAAGCTAAAACAAAGCATATTACAGAAGATTACATACAGCATATTTTAATTTTCATAAGGATCAGAAATGGACAAAACTGTAAATAAATATATTTATTACATAAGAATATTTAATAGGGAGGAACTGAAAAATAAGGCCCCAGTATCTTGCTGATAGTTTTCCATGTGCTTTTTCGAGCATCAAAGGGCAACGGAAAGGCAGGGAGCAGAGGGTGGGTACTACGGCATGGGACGCTGAACTGCTATTAGTGATGCCTGAATCCTACACTGGAGTGCCAGTTTGAGTCCTGGCTAATCGGCTTGTGATCCACCTGGGAAGGCAGTGGATGACGGCCCAGATACTTGGGTTCCTGCTCCCTATGACAGAGGCTTAGAAGGGAGTTCCTGTTTCCTGGTTTCAGCCTGGGCCCAACCCCAGTTGTTCTAGGCAGTTTGGGAAGTGGATCATGAAAGGTCTCATTCTGTCAGTCTCTCTCTCTCTCTTTCTCTCTCTCTCTCTGTCATTCTACTTTTCAAATAAATCAATATATAAATCCTTGGGAAAAGAGAAAGTCAGGGAGCCAACAACAGTTGGCTCCCAGACGTACAGAGATCAGCTTTGCACAGGCTACAGTCATGAGGGTTCTGGGACTCGGCTGAGCCTGATGAGCTCCAGTCCAAGCCACTTTCAAGAGCACATGAAGAGTGTCATTGAAATGCAGTATTATAATTAGCTGTACCATCAGGATCAAAGATAAAATACAGGGAAATAAAAATCATTTGAGTAAAATCCAATTAATCTTACATGGCTCCAGTTCTGAAGATAGGGCAAATAGATTCGGCCTTGGGCATCCACATGTTTTCCAACTGAGATTCCCATATTTGCAGTTGGCCTCAGGAAACAAATTGGGGGTGCAAAAGGGTGAGAATCCAAAATCCAGAAGCGAACTGGTATGTTATATGTATTACCTATTTGACACAGAAAAAAAACATATCTTTAAACAATAACGAAGAATATATATCATGATATGGCTAAGTGACATTTTAACAACTGTACAGTTTCATCAAGTTTATATATAAAGTATTAATACAAATTAAGGCCAACTTCTGCCATATCACCAATAGAAATATGTTATTATTATATCACAGAAAAATATTTTAGGAAATTTAATTAATACAATGGCCAGTTCACGCAAGTCAATCCAGCAAATACTTATCGGGTCTATTGTGTTCTTTCCCTTACCTAAACACAGGTATTACACTTTTCTTGGAAGGGTGTAGATATCTACATTTTTATACTTATTCTATATTGAAATTAGTTGCACACAGCTCTGCTTTCCTGTTACACTATATACCCAGAGGGGATTAAGTCACATTCATGCTATATCTCTAGCAACATATTTAGTGTCTACTATATTAGCTGCTTAATAGAAATTTCCAATATGAATAAGAACAAACAGATCAAAACAAGTGAATAAACAAAACTGAACTTGATATTTGCTCTCACGGAGCCCAATTACCACACCTACATAATAGTGAAGCTGAGTTAGATACACAGAACTTAGAAATAACCCTAAGAGGGCCCGGCGCGATGGCGCAGTGGTTAAGGTCCTCGCCTTGCACGCCCGGGATCCCATATGGGCGCCAGATCTATCCCGGTGGCCCTGCTTCCCATCCAGCTCCCTGCCTGTGGCCCGGGAAAGCAGTCAAGGATGGCCCAAAGCTTTGGGAACCTGCACCCGCGTGGGAGACCCGGAAGAGGCTCCTGGCTTCGGATCGGCATAGCATCGGCCGTTGTGCTCACTTGGGGAGTGGATCATCAGACAGAAGATCTTCCTTTCTGTCTCTCCTCTCTGTATATCCACCTTTCCAATAAAAAATAAATCTTTAAAAAAAAAAAAAAGAAAGAACCCTAAGAGTTGCCTGTCCAGTGACCTTTTTTTTTTTTTAACATGAATAACCTGAAGATATTCACCACTCTCTTGCATAGATTGAGATTCAGTAAATGTGGGGTGGGGCCCCCAAATCTGCATTTTAAACAATCTTATTACATACAAAAATCTTGATGCAAATGGTCCATCATCTTTTGGGAACACTTAAAGAAACACCATGCTATGACGGGAGGACAGCAGAAGCAGCCTTCCCTGTGAACAGTGACTACGACGTGGTCCGAACATTACTTAAGGCCATGGCTGAGCCTGGGACTTCAGTGTGCTCTTCCAACTTCACCCAGGTAGGTCACACTGTGGATCAGAACCTCTCACTCTGTTGGCTGCCTAAATGCTAAAGCCACACCTAAAAATAAGTGCAAACATGAATCTTAAGATATAACTCTGATAATTTACCTCAGCCAATAAATCTTTGGATAGTTATTCCTTTTATAGTCATATACATTCTTTTTTTTTTTTTCTGGAAAGTCAAATATACAGAGTGGCGGAGAGACAGAGAGAAAGATCTTCTGTCCAATGATTCACTACCCAACGACTGGTACTGCCGACCTGAAGCCAGGAGCCAGGAGCTTTTTCTGGCTCTCCCCAACAGGTGCAGGGTCCCAAGGCTTTGGGCCATCCTTGACTGCTTTCCCAGGCCACAAGCAGGGAGCTGGATGGGAAGTGGAGCTGCTGGGATTAGAACTGGTGCCCATATGGGATCCCGGGCGTGTTCAAATCAAGGACTTTAGCCACTAGGCCACCATGCCGGGCCCAGTCATATACATTCTTAAGAACATGGCTCCATGACAGGTCTTGGGACAGACTAGGCTTAAGTTTCAGTTCCTAGAGTTGAGACATCCCATTCCCCACAGTGGGCTGCCACCCACCCTAGACAGAGTTGACTAATCAGAGGAGACTTGGAAAGTCCCTAGTCATCAGGTGGCCATGGGCAATAGAGGCCGACCACTGGAATGGTCATGGATAAGAGAGACTGACCACATAGGCCACAAACTTACCTATATTTGTTCATGGAATTAACGCCCCATTCCTGGAATTGTAATAAAACTCTATATAAACTGTAAAATGTATGAGCAGGGTACTTGTCAAGATTCCACTGCTTGGATGAGATTTGGACCCTAGCGCACTAGCAATAAAGTTTCTTTGCTTTTGCATTAAAAAAAAAAAAGGCTGCTCAGGAGACAGCATACCCTAGGTTTCCATTTCACAAGCCATGGCTTTAGGCGTGTTGCCTAACTGCCCTGTGCCTGACTTCCGTCTACAAAATGAAGACAAGAATGGTGCCTTTCTTACACAACTGTGACAAAATCAGTTGACATATATAAAATGTCAACAGTGCATGGACCTGTTAGGTAGTATGAAGGGTATTTTTTATATCACACTCATGTTAGAAATAGACTAGTTGATAGAGGCCGGTGCCATGGTATAGCAAATAAAGCCAACACCTGCAATTCCAACGTCTCACAGGTGCAGGTTCATGTCCTGGTTGCTCCTCTTTGGATCCACATTTGTTCTGGTGGCCTGGGAAAAGCAGGGAAGGATAACCCAAGTGTTTGAGCCCCTGCACCCAACTGGGAGACCTGAACGAAGCTCCTGACTCCTAACTTTGGCCTGGCCCACATCTGGTTGTTGTGGTCACCCAGGAAGAGAACCAGCATATGGAAGATCTCTCTTTGTCTCTCCCTCTCTCTTTAACTCTTTCAAATGAATAAATAGATCTTAAAGAAAATAAAAACACAACAAATGGATATGGAAATAAATTAGTGGGTGCAAACAGTATTTTCAAATGGAACTGAACAGAAAATAAATGTATGAAAGGCAGCATGGAATTTTGGTTACATTCCTTCATAGACATGTATCTTGGAGCCAGCTTGTGTCACTCTGCCTTTTTGTTTTTATTATGAATGGATAATGGGGCTGGCCTTGTGGCACAAGTTGAACCACTCCTTGGAGCATGAGCATCCAATATGGCTGCTGATTAGAGTCCTGGCTGCTCCACTTCCAGTCCATCTGCCTGCTAATGTGCTTGGGGAAGTAGTGGAAGATTCTCCAAGTACTCGGACCCTGGAATCTATGTAGGTGACCTGGACAAAGCTGCTTGCTGGCTCCTGGCTTTGGCTTGGCCAGTCTTGCCTGTTGGGACCATTTGACGAGTGAACCAGTAGATGATTATTTCTTTCTCTCTTTAACTCTGTCTATAAATAAATACAACTTTTTAAAAAATACTATAAGATTTTTAATAATGATATTCAATTGGGAATAAGCCAGAAATGGTACATGACATGGAAACCACAGGCATATTCAATGGGCACGGGAGGAGGGAAATTTTTAAAGGTAAAATGAAGAGGATGCCACACATTATGTTGGTCACAGTATTACCTTGCGGGAGTATTTTCACTGGCCCTTTTGCAAGTCTGTGGGACTAGTAGTCTTGGCTTGGCGAGTTCTTAGTAGCCACAGTGCATGGCAATCATCTTTTATAAACTCCTGGTTTCATTTACTATTATTCTAATTTAGCCAGGGCTTGACACAAATTCCACTCCTTTTTTTATAAGTAATTCTTTCACATATAGAAAGGGAACAAATTTTGTTCTCATACTTACCCTGATACATCACAGGAATAGTGCCAGTAAAATTCAGCAGGTCTTTCTGGGAACTATCTTTAAAAACTGAAAGGGAAAAAAAATCCCCCAAATGTGCCATTAGATGTACGAAGAACTTGTATTAAAGTGAACAGGTGAACACAGGTGTATCTGCATGTATGCATAATACCATCCCACACACGTCCCACACAATCTCTAAATACCATCCCTTGACAATCATTAAACATACAAACATGGGAAAATTATTAGATAAAGTTTACTCAGAAAACAATGAGCACAGATCAGAGAACATAGGACTTCTGCACATAAACGGGTCCCAAGTTCTAACACCACTTTCCCACTTAGAGTGACTCTTAGTCACATCAATCTCTTTGTCAGTTTTGTCACTGATAAAACTAATATAGTGTTTCACAAAATGGCCATAAGGATTCAAGGAGATAACGTGAAAACTCTTCCCTAAGAAGTAGAGTATTAGGGGTCAGCATTGTGGTGCTGTAGGTTAAGCCGCAGCCTGTGACACCAGCATCCCATGAGTGTTGGTTCAAGTCCCCGCTGCTCTACTTCTGATACAGCTTCCTGTTAATGCACCCAAGAAAGGCAGTAGAGAATGGCCCAAGTGTTTGGGTCTTGCCACACAGCTGAGATATCGGGATGGAGTTCCCACCTCCTGCTTCCTGGCTTTTGCTCAGCCAAGCCCAGCTATTGCAGTCACTTGGAGGGGGCGAACCAGTGGATAAAGACTTTTTCTTTCTTTCTCTTCCTCTGTAACCTTGCTTTTCAAACAAAGATATATATATATCTGATATATATATCTGAAGAACTTGTATTAAGAAGAACTTATATATATTTTATATATATATATATATATTTTTTTTTTTTTAAGTATTATAGGGGCTGGTGCCATGGCCTAGAAGGTTAAGCCTCTGCCTGTGGCACCAGCATCCCAAGTGGACACTGGTTTCAGTCATAACTGCTTCACTTTCTTTTCTTCTCTATCTTTTTAAGATTTTATTTACTTTTTATTGGAAAGTGAGATTTACAGAGAGAAGGAGATACAGAAAGGAAGATCTTGCATTTGCTGATTCAATCCCCAAGTGGCCACAATGACTAGAGCTAAGCCTATCCGAAGCCAGGAGCTTCTTCTGGGTCTCCCATGCTAGTGCAGGATCCCAAGGCTTTGGCTGTTCTCTACTGCTATCCCAGGCCACAAGCAGGGAGCTGAAAGACAAGTGGAGCAGGCGGAACATGAACCAGTACCCATATGGGATGCGGTGCATACAAGATGAGGACTTTAACCACCAGGCTTTCACACCAGGCTCAGCAGCTCCAGATTTGATTTAGCTCTCTTGGTGGCCTGGGAAAATGACAGGGGATAGTCCAGATGCTTGGGCCCCAGCACCCACGTGGGAGATCCAGAAGAATCTCCTGGCTCCTGCTCCTGGCTTCAGACCAGCCCAACTCCAGCTGTTGCGGCCATCTGAGGAGTGAACCAGAGGATCTGTCTCTCCTCTCTCTACAACTCTGCATTACAAGTAAAACTTGTTAAAAAGTATTATAAAACATAAACATATTACTAAATTATTGTCACTGTTAACAAATCAGTCACAAACCTTTTCTAATCAAAAAAAATTTTTAAAGCTTATTTTCAAAGCAACCTTTTAGAAAAAAAAATTTTTTTTGGTTTCTCTCATTTCATTATTTTCAATCTTTTATCAATATTCACATCCCTAAGATAAAAACAGACTCCCAGTTTTAGTCACAAGAGCTGACTATACAATGGCTAGAGACAATGGTTTTGAATACAGAAACGGAAAAGCAAGTCTCCTTCAGAGCCTCCCAAAAGGAATAAAGACTTGCTGACACCCTGAATTTGTAAGCCATAAAACCTGTGCTGACTTTCAGTTTATGAACTGCACAATAGTAAACTTGTATCCTTTTAAGCTGGCTACGTTTATGACAGTTCCTTACAGCAGCAACAGAAAACTAGCACAATATACACTGTATTAATTCAAATGTCTTCAGAAACTACAGATCACATTAGGGTCACTCAAAATCATAGGATAAAGTGGAGAAATAAGAAAGTATGATTTTGAAACTCTAGGACTGAATAGCTAACATTCTCAATAATGTGGCAAAAACTAGAGCTTATGATTCTTACCATAGGTATCCATGGAATATCTAAAATGTGGGAAAAATGTATTTACATTCTTCAATTCTTCCACAGTTAAATCTCTGAATTTGTACTAAAAAAAGAGAAACATGAACATGAAACAAAAATAAAGCTATGAGCAATGAAGTAATTACAGTTAATATTTGACTGAGCTTTTGCTATGTGCTGGGCCCTAGGTTGTAAGCTTTACAAATACGAACTGATTTCATGTTTTAAACAATGACCTGTGATACAGTCAAGGCTTATAACATCTCTATTTTATAAAAGAATAAAATGAAAGCTACAGAATCAAAATATTTGCTGAGAAAGACAGCAAGTTGAGTTGTAAAGCCAGAATTCAAGCTCTTGGCTCAGCCCCAGTTGAAATATGCATACTATGAACAAAAGCAATGTTTGTGCTGTTTCCTGCTTACCGAAGCCATTTTCCATGTCCTTAACATTCTTTGAAAATGTGATTACTGATATCTGAACAAGGTTATAGCAGAATTTATTTAGCTGCAAAAACTGCTATAAAACTTTGTTAAAAGGCATAAGTAACACTTTTCCTTAGAGCTTGAAAACCCAAATATCATTATCAAATATCTGACTTTTTTGACATCTGAAAAAAAAAAAAAAAAGAACTTGTTTAACCTGTCCTGGAAAATACATCATCCTCACTGCAAATAAAACATTCCTTCTTGGTGTCCATGGCACTCTGAGCGTTCCGTAGGACTCCGCAGAGGGGAGCCTTTAACAGTGCACAGAGTCAAAAGGCACAAGTGCTTCACCAGAGGGAACAGTGTAAGAGATTCAAACACGAAAGCCAACATACTGCTCAATAATGAGAAATTAAATAAAATTTCAACAAATGCACTGTATTTATTCAGGAGTTTGGCATTTATGGTCATCTAGGGTACTCACTCCTGTATGAATGATACTGTTCAAATTGAAGACGCGCCAAGAAGTATTAGGTGGCGTGACATCATAAAATATATACATTTTTTTAGCAGGAGGGAATCTATAGGTGAAGGGCAATCGTCTTTCAGAAGTAGCTAAGTGAGTTTATTTGTCCAGTGTAATTCAGTTAGGAAGCAGAAAACAGAAATTAGGGAACCAAGAAGGGTTTTTTTAAAAGTATAATATTTAACACAAATGGAAATGTGTATATATTTTTATATTTATTTATATCCCTATATTTAAACACATATACATGTCTGTGTATATGCACACACATTTTGAAAAAATAACAAACACTGGAGAAGCAGCTCATGCTTTGAAACAGTGCTGTCCCAAAAAGCTTTCTGATTTGAACATCTGTCAAGGCAGAGAAAACCATTCAAATCAACTAGATAAACAATTTCAATTCTGGTTCAGGCAAGTTCAGGCAAGACACAGGCAAGTTCAACAGAAATGACCTAAATGTATGGTTTCTGCATGGAGAAGTCTTAATTAAGAATCACTGGGGGCCCAGCAGAGTAGCCTAGTGGCTAGTCCTTGCATGTGCCCAAGATCCCATATAGGCGTTGTTTCATGTCCCTTTGGCCCCGCTTCCCATCCAGTTCCCTGCTTGTGGCCTGGGAAAGCAGTCAAGGATGGCCTAACGGTTTGGGCTCCATCATCCACATGAGAGACACAAAAGAAGCTCCTGGCTTGGCTCAGCTCCAGCCATTGTGGTCACTTGGGGAGTGAATCGTTGGATGGAAGATCTTCCTCTCTGTCTCTCTCCCTCTCTGTATATCTGACTTTCCAATAAATATAAATAAATCTTAAAGAAAGAAGAAGAATCATCATCACTGGAGACCCAAGTTGTAGGCAAGTAATTTATGCCTGGGTATCCCATATCAGCATTGGCTCCCTGATCCCAGCCAACACATCCAGTAAAGGAGCACAGATGGTCCTAATACTTGGGTCCCTGTGCCCACATGGCAGACCTGGCAGGAGCTCCTGGCTGCTGGCTTTCATTTGACCCAGCGTTCACAATTGTGGCCATTTGGGGAATGAACTAGGGGATGGAAGATCTCTGTTACCCTGCTTTTTCAGAGAAATAAAAATAAATCTTGGGGGAAAAAAAGAGGTCCAAAGGTGTCTTTTGACCCAGAAACTCACTTTAGTAAGGCATCATAAACTCGGTCAGACTGTGGGACCAGCCTTCCACCCTTCAACCTTCCAAGATTAAGAGGTTCTCTTGCGGTGAGCAAAACAGTGTACTCGTTAAAAAATATAATTGTGCGTAACACCCCTCCTCTTAAAGTGTGAGATGTGTGAAATACTAGTTAATATAATGCAATGTTAACTCGTGTGTAACATTCCCCATCACAGTAAGCAATAGTGGGTGGAGTATTAGGACCAGCCCAGGAGTGTGTATAAAGTCTGCAAGCAGATACCAGACAAGCTAAAGGCCACCCAAACAGCAGCAAGCACTGAGCCAACAAACTGGGTCGAAGAAGCGACCCTGTCAGTCAACTGCTCTCAACTAGCTGGTAGACAGGGACAAAACTCTGTCTCCAGTGCCCTGAGCGCAAGCCAAGAGAGCCTGGCACCGCTCTGATGCCACCCTCGACTCCGAGATACCAGAGACGACCGCCTCATCTCCCACCTTCCTACTCTGTCCAGGAACACAAAGTAAGCAGCAGGGCCTCAGGACGCCTCCTCTGCCCAGAGCGGCTCACGAGCCTTCGGGCGGAAGAGTGACCTAGGCCTGAGTGTGTGTGCGTAAAGAACACTCCTACAGTCTCTTATCTGTGCTCAAAGGCAACAAAACCTCTCGTGACATCTCCTGGCCCTTCCAGTCGGTCTTCATCCCTGCATGTACCCAGGCCTGCCATGGGCAGTAACTTGGTGCCATTGCATGGTCAAGCATGATGCCAGGCAATGGGAAGACACCAAAGGTCTCTGGTTCACACCAAGAACAAGGTTGGTAAGTAAGTACTCCACAATGTGATGACGGCAGGTGGAAGGGAATGATTCAAAGCTCAGAAAACGACTCTGAGTTGCGGCCTCGAAAGGAGGGAAGGAAGCAGGTCATTCTCAGCGAAGAGACGGGCTTGGCTCTAGGGACAGCTTGGCTGGGGCCAGAGAGGAAGGGGGCGTGAGGACCCGCCGGAGAGGCAGCGCCCAGGCCCCCGCAGGGAGGGAGGACAGAGAGGAGGAGAGAGGGAAGCACACCCCGACCCTGCAGCCAACCTGGGGTGCACAAGACAAGCCCGGAAACGCGAAGAACCAGCCCGGCCAGGGGCGGAGACACCCCGGCACCCCGCGCCCAGCACCCCAGGCCCGGCCCAGCGAGCGTCCGCACCTTGCCGAGCAGCCCTCTCAGAGCTTCGCAGTCGAACTCCATCTCCAGCCAGGTCCCCAAGCCCCGTCCCGCGTGCCCAGCCTCTGGGCTTTCTTCCGCTCTCGTCGCTGCTCCAGCACCGAAGCCGCGGAGGATCAAACTTCCCGAGCAGCCCAAGGCCACGCCCCTTCCAGGACTGCACTGCCCGGCTCCGGGTCTCGTCCAGCCGCAATCCGGAGCCTGCAGCCAGCTGCAGCATGGCCAGAGCGCGCGGGCGGCAGCTGGCTGCAAAGGGGCTCGGGGACTGAGAAGGACCCAAGTGGAAGCGGCAAATGAGGTGGAAGTGACAAGTGGAATTTTAAAGCGACGTGTTAAGTTTGGCAGAGAATCAGAAAAGGAGCAAGACCGAAAATATGGGGAAGATGAGTTAGTGGAACTTGAACAGCAAAAACTCGTGGACTGGGAAATGGGAAGCAGTCGGGAGGAACCCTGTCGCAGAAGTGGGCAGGTGCATCCCAGTGGTGCAGTGTTGGGGAGGGGGTGCCATAGCCCTGTCGGTGAGTGCGAATGAAGCAGCTTAGGGGGGAGTAGGATTTGGGGAAAACAGTTTGGAAACTGGAGGGAGGAGGTTTTCTGGAAAGGAAAGGTGAAGAGGAATTGGAGCAGAGTCATTTCCAGCAGGCTGCCCTTGATTTGGGAGTTTACTTACCTGTTCTGTATCTCTGGCTTGAGCCACAGTGGTTAAAAAGTCATGAACTGGATATTGTCATTGTCAACAGGCAGGCAGGACCATGATTGTATTCACAGAAAAACCAAGGCCATTGATTTAATTAGGGAACGCAAGTGACAAATGGAAGGAGCATGCGTTCATTCAATCAGAAAGCTTTTGTTGAGAATTTGCTACTTGCCAGCCATTTAGCTTTCTAGGTCTGAGGCTATAACAAAATAGACAAAAGTATCTGCTGTCCAGTAAGATTGTCATCCTTTCATTAGTTAGAAGGAGAGCAAAACAGTACACTGGGTAAGGAAATTAAAAGGGTGTTAGTGTGGCAGAGAATAAAGATATAAAAGAGTTGAGTGAGGGGTTCAGGGTAGGTCTGAGAGGTGAAGCAGTAACAATCCCAAAGTAGATGATAACCAAAGCATGGTTCTTAGATAGGCATGTGCCAGGGGAGGCTCAAAGCAGCCAGTGTGCCCAGAGGAGAGTGAAATAACAAGTGAAACAGCGCAAGTGGGGGACTGAGTCAGAGAAGTGAGTGATAGGGACAAGGTATTCCGAAATAAAGTGATTCTTCCTGTACGATCCTCAAATCTACAGCCTCAGCCGCACCCAAGCTGGTTAGAAATGACACTCACTTTGCCATTTTTAAAAAAGATTTATACGTATTTTTTATTTGAAAGGCAGAGTTACAGACGGCAGCAGCTACAGAGGAAAAGATCTTCCACCTGCTGGTTTTTTCCCCAAGTGGCTGCAATGGCTGGAGATGAGCCGATCGAAAGCCAGGAGCAGCAGATCTCACATGTGGAGGCCCAAGGCTTTGGGCTGTCCTCGACTGCTTTCCCAGGCTACAAGCAGGTTGCTGGGTGGAAGTGGAGTAGCCAGAACACGAACCAGTACACCTATGGGATGTCAGTGTTACAGGTAATGGTTTAGCAAGCTGTGCCACAGCACCAGCCTGACACATTGGTTGTACAGTAAAAATGAATGAATTTATCACATGAAAATCATACTTCATAAAGGCTATCACTAAAACAAAAATGAAACATGTTGGATCTTTATTATCAGATGGACCAGAGGGATTCTGTGATATATTGTTGCAGGAAAAAAGTAAGTTCAAAAGTAGTATGTGAATTATGATCACCTTGAATTAAACAACACTGAGGGAAAGCCTAAATCCCCATGTAAACTTATATGGGTATTGTCATTTATTTCTTTTTTTTTTTTAAGATTTATTTCATTTTTATTGGAAAGGCAGATATACAGAGAGGAGAGACAGAGAGGAAGATTTCCGTCCGATGATTCACTCCCCAAGTGAGTGCAATGGCCAATGCTATGCCGATCCAAAACCAGGAGCCTCTTCCGGGTCTCCCACACGGGTGCAGGGTCCCAAAGCTTTAGGCCGTCCTCAACTGCTTTCCCCCCCGGGCCACAGGCAGGGAGCTGGATGGGAAGCGGGGCCACTGGGATTAGAACCGGCGCCCATATGGGATCCCGAGTGTGCAAGGGGAAGACCTTAACCACTGTGCCACTGTGCCGGGCCCTATTTCTTAAACATTTTTTTAAATTGAAAAGATGGAGTTGGGTCCGGTGCAATAGTGCAGCAGTTAAAGTCCTCACCTTGAATGCGCCAGGATCCCATATGGGTGCTGGTTCTAATCCCTTTGGCCTCGCTTCCCATCCAACTCCCTGCTTGTGGCCTGGGAAGGCAGTTGAGAACAGCCCAAGGCCTTGGGCCCCTGCACCCACATGGAAGACCCAGAAGAAACTTCTGGCTCCTACCTTTAGATTGGCTCAGCTCCAGCCATTGCAGCCGCTTGGGGAGTAAACCATTGGATGGAAGATCTTTCTCTCTGTCTCTCCTCCTCTCTGTATATCTGCCTTTCCAATAAAAATAAATAACTCTTAAAAGAAAATAAAAGGTGAAATTACATAGAGATAGGGACAGAAAGAAATTTTCCACTCACCATGGCCAGGACTAGCCAGGCCCAAAGCTAGTAGCTTGGAGCTTTATCTGGCTTTCCCACGTGGGAGAAAGGGGCTTGAGCACTTAGGCCATCTTCTGTAGCTTTCTCAGACATGTGAACAGGGAGCTGGATTGGAAGGGGAGCGGCCAGGAATCAAATCAATGCCAGTATGACTGCTTGTGTTCCAGGCAGTGGTTTTATGGGCTACACCTCAGTGCCAGCCCAAGGTACTGCCATTTGTAAGCTCATGGAGAGGACTTTGGCTGAGGATGTATACTAAACTGGTAATACTGTTGGTTACAGAATGGGGTGAGAATTAAAAGCATTACCAAAAGTCTGGTCCTTACCAGTGGTGCTGGGATACTGACAACGTTTTGAGGATAAAGAAAGTAGAATGTTCCATAATCCAGTGGTGGATGAAGAAGGTAGCCCATTAGAGTCTTAAGAACTACCATACTCCTCTATGAGGACAGTCTAGGGGCTTTTAAGAAGTGCAAAAGGGGGCCGGGCTGCTGGAGACAGGAGCAGTTAGGTGCTGAAGCTGGGGTGGGTGTGATAGCAGCACACGTTATTTTTTCAGTCTCAGACATCAACGCTGTTCCTTGAGAAACTTGCTCAAGCTAGACTTTATCCTAAGGAGGGCACAGCAGGCTGCCCAAAGCACAATCAAGCAGCTACACAATGTTACTTTTCTGGGGTCCGAAAGAGCAAATTATGGCATGTAAGGAGAGTTTTAGGAATTGATTACCCACGATGAAACCCACCCAGCCTAAAGGCTAGGCTGTCTGTGACCTTGGTGTTTGTGCTGTTTGCATTCTGTTACTGTAGAGCCAATCCCTGCTCGGGTGACTCAAACTTCCGGTCTTTGTGAATGTGCCAAACCAGAATAATGAGGACAAGATTTGAGGATAAAAGACAAATAATGTTTGATGTAACAGTGCATGAGGATTATAGTGGACTAGGGCAGGGGCATGTCTCAAAAACTACTGTCTTCCTCGGTGAGGGCAGCTTAGGACAAAAGGACCGCTGCTGATGTAGCTGATGCTAAGTCAGGAGTAGGCAGGTGCGGCAGCTGGCTGCTGTCTGGTAACAGAATATTAAATGTCAACGCAGCTCTCTGAGAAGCTTCCTTGATGACTTGACTGTCAGGAGGACGGACTAAGCAGGATGTTCTGTTAAACTAAGCAGCTACAAAACGTGATTTGCCTGGGGTTTGAGAGAGGTGGAGTATTGTGTTAGCAGATTTCAGTGTTTCATTAACCAGGAGGCAGCCTGCTCAGCCTAGTGCCTGTGCTGATTATGTCCATAGTTATTCACAGCCCTGTACATTTGCACCTTCAGATGACTTTCCCAAGGCTGCTTTCTGGAGTTCACAAGCAAGCATTAAAAATCTGTTGCATTTAACAGGGCCTGGCGCGGTGGCGCAGTGGTTAAGGTCCTCGCCTTGCACGCCCAGGATCCCATATGGGCACCGGTTCTAATCCCAGTGGCCCCGCTTCCCATCCAGCTCCCTGCCTGTGGCCCGGGAGGGCAGTCGAGGACGGCCCAAAGCTTTGGGACCCTGCACCCGCGTGGGAGACCTGGATCGGCATAGCATTGGCCGTTGGGCTCACTTGGGGAGTGAATCATAGGACGGAAGATCTTTCTCTCTGTCTCTCCTCTCTGTATATCTGCCTTTCCAATAAAAAAATAATAAAAATAAATCTTTAAAAAAATCTGTTGCATTGAACAGCCACTCTAATAAGTCACAAGCTTAGTAGTTTACCTTTTGCTTATCAGAATATGAAAAAGAAAAGAAAAATGTATTCAGTATGATGACAAGGGGAAGAAAGCAGAAAGTATTAAGGGCTTTTAAAAATATATATGTTTGACTGACCTGGCCAGGCTATAGCACCCACCTGCAAATGCCAAGGTGAGGTGGGCTGCACCCAACCAGCACATGTGAAACCCAGGAGGTGGTGAGGATGGACGGTGGGGAGGTGGGAACTGCAGGAACCTCCCCTGCTGGACCGCTATTCCCATTGGTGAGCATAAGAGCTGGGATGTGGGCAGACCAAGCCAGGCAAGGCCACAACCTCTGATGCTCTACATGTGAGCTGGATCAGGGAAAAGCCAGGTTGGGCTGACTGTACCTTCGGGTATGTGCATAAGCCAGTGTGGGTTTGGATTAGTTGGGCTTTGGCATAGCATGTTGGCATAGTGGCCAAATTCTGTTAGGTGCAGGCATGGCTTATACAGGTGGTGGCACCCACTGGCACCAGTGTGGACTAGCTAGTGAGGCTGGGTGGGATGAACTGGGCTTCAATGCCTATCAACATGTATGAGAGCTGAATAGAATATGGGACAGATGGAACCAGTCTGCTGTACATATTGGCAAGCACAGGAACCAGGGCATGGGGTGGGCCTGGTAGGGGTTTTTGTGGGTTGCTCTGACTAGCCTGCAGCTCCCACTGGTTTACATGAAGGCCGAGTATGTGGTGGACAGGATCGGGCTGGGTTCCAACATCCATTGGGTTGCATAAAACATGGGACTGGAAACAAAACTGACCCAGCAATTGCAACCACCAGTGTGTGCATAGACTGATTTGGGTAACAGACTGTTCTGGACCTTGTATTAGTAAACACATACAAGGATCAGGTCTGGGATGGCCTCAGATGAGGTTTCATTGGTGATTCCTTACCACCTGAACCACTGTACTCAGAACCGCAACCATGGAGAGAATTGCAGTTTCCATGGTCTGACCGTGGAGTGCATGTGTCAGAGCTGGGCTTCCTCAGTTACTCAAATGGAGCAATGGGCAGCATGTCCAAATGTACATAGAGGATATGGCAGTACATTGGAGGTTCCTGAGGACACCTGGTACCATGGCAGAGGACAAAGGTCAGAACAAATTGATCAACTGCCCCAGCCAAGCACTAACAGCAAATATCTGGGCAAATGGAGACTCTAAGGTGGACTATAGCAGCCAGTGGATTCTGAGGAGATTTCGTCGTGATTGGAGTGACAGGATCGCAAGCAATTCTGGACTGTCGAACTATCAAAACCTCTTGAGAAATTCTTGTGGTTGTAAGTTCCTATTTTCCTTCCTGTTGTTGATTTTGTATTGTGGTTTTTCATTTAAGGGGGATGTGTGGTGACTGTTAAATGGAGACTGTCATGTCTAAATGTGAAGATGCAGTGCAGTGTGCATCTCTACTTCCAGATCAAAGATGGATTACTAATGAAACTATTAGCTGTATCATGACAATAGGATGCTGGACTCTGCCATTTTCCATGCTCATGATGCTGCACATGTGACTCTTTATGAAGAGCTATGCTAAAGTATAGGGGAATTCAGTGGGGCAGGGGAGGGCTTGGGGAGGAGTCAGAGGAAATCCCAGGGCGTATGGAACTGTATCATAGAATGTTGATAAAAATAAAATTAAAAAAAGAAATACATCTCTGGGACCTCGTGCAGTAGTGTAGCGGCTGAAGTCCTTTCCTTGCATGCACCCACTGTGATCCCATGTGGGCACCAGTTCATGTCCCTGCGGCCCCTCTTCTTATCCAGCTCCCTGCTTGTGGCCTGGGAAAGCAGTCACTCAAGGACGGCCCAAAGCCTTGGGACCCTGCACCCACGTGGGAGATCTGGAGGAAGTTCCTGGCTCATGGCTTCGGACTGGTGCAGCTCCAGCCCTGGTGTTCACTTGGGGAGTGAATCAGCAGAAGGAAGATTTCTGTCTCTCTTCCTCTCTGTAGATCTGCCTTTCCAATAAAATAAATAAATCTTTAAAAAAATTAGTGAAAACAAAAGGAAATGCATGTTGCAGCAACTCTGGTGAAGGGAGGATCCACTGAAACAGTGCAGGGGAGGGCGAAGGGAAGAAGAAGAGGTCATCACCAACAAAAAGAAGATCTTTGGTGACTTCTGAGGAAGCGTGTAAGAGTTGGGATGGGGCTGGTTTAGGGGGTTGGCTAGAATGTCATGCATGGAAGTGTAATGCACGGAAGGCAAGTATGGATTGAGACAAAGGGGTCTGAGAGTGGACCACAGCCTAAAGGAGGTTGGTTGTAAAATGAAATGACGAAGTATGACAGTGAGGGAGGGAATCGGAATCACAGCATCGGCTGGAGGTTTTGTTTTGTTCTGTTTTGTCTTGTTTTGTTTTGGGGGGTTGTGCGTGTGGGTGAGAGACATGAGCACCTGTGGCCGGTTGATGATGATGAAGGAAAGGGAACCAATGGGAAGGAGCCACTCAAAGGTGTTGAAGAATGTGGGAATAAAACTGGTGAGAGGATCTTCAGGTGGGAGGGGACAAGTTGCAGGAGCAGGAAGGAGTCTCATTTCCCCAGAATTCAGTTGGTTTCATTCACAGCTGGGACTGGCCTAACGACATCGCTTTTCCCAACCCCAGTCTGTGCTCTGAGGAGCCCAGCATCCCAGCAAGCTACCAGGCCCCACATCTTGGCCCTGTGCAGCCAACTTGAGCTCTGTTAGGCCTCAGGGTTTTTTTTTTTTTTTTTCATTAGCAAAAAACAGAAAGGTTAATAATAGTTCTAGAGTGTTGCTACAGAATAATGATACAAAGAGCTTCCTTTGTGCTCAACTGCTGGTCTGGGCAGTCACTGGTGTGTTGGGAGCCCAGACTGGAGGACCAGTGATGTCACAATGCTCTCCTAGATGCCAGCTTCCCCACTAGGGGTTTGCATGCCCCTGGGAGCCACGGACTGGAAATGACATGTGAGACCTCTACCAATTGAGGGTTCATGAGCACGCTCCTTTGCCAAGACCTTGGCGAGTTGTCAGTCTCACCCTGTGCTATTATAGCTTAGAAATTACTTCTGATCATGATTGTGCTTGGCTGGATGCTTTTTGTTGGATTTGCATGTTACAGGGGCACATTTCCAGTGATCACAGTAAGTAGCAGCCCTGCCTGGATGGCCCTGGGTGTAAGCCCCTGCTGAGCCTACCAACTAGGCTTTCTGACCAAATGGGAAAGGTAGTTGAAAAATTGGAAGTCACTAGTTGGAAGTCAGGGGGTGATGCAAAAATGGTGAGTTTCCCAAGCTTCTTCCCATCCTTCTTTCATGTATGTTTATTTTCCCCTTGGATCTTGAGTTGTTTTAAGCCATTATGGAATGCTTACAGTCAGTGGGAGACAGCACCTGACATGTAGAATTTAGACCAGGTGGCTCATTGGCAGACGGTAGGAAGGGGAGCGGTGGGGATCCAGGGGGCCTTTCAGCACCCCACCAGTTACCCCCGGAGCCAGCGCAGGGAGCCACCTCTGCTTTACTTTTTTTTCTGCCTCAGCCTCCAACCCTGAAGTGGAAAGAGAAGCGGCCTGTTCAGCGGAGGAAGACACAGCCGAGGAGTCAGGCTGTGGAGGAAGATCTGCTGCTCTAAGTGGGCAGGCAGTATCCACTAGGCTGGACACTTCTACTTCCAGGGAACTTAGCAGCACCCTGTAATCTCACTGAAGAGCTCTTAGTCCTCTGCAAAATACAATAAACTGTGGAAGGGAAAAGGACTGAGGCATGTGGTGGAAAAGACAACAGCAGGGCAATATCCAAAGACCTGCTGATAACCTAGTCTTGAAGCTATTTCTCAAGAACTCATTCTTCCTACAAACACTAGAATGTATTCTACAACCATTTTTCTTTTTTAAAATTAATTTTATTTTTAGTTGTCAGGCAGGTTTTATAAAAAAGATTTATTTATATTTATTAGAAAGGTAGATTTAGGGCCCAGCGCAGTAGCCTAGCAGCTAAAGTCCTCGCCTTGAATGAGCCAGGATCCCATATGGATGCTGGTTCTAATCCCAGCAGCTCCACTTCCCATCCAGCTCCCTGCTTGTGGCCTGGGAAAGCAGTCAAGGACAGCCCAAAGCTTTGGGACCCTGCACCCTCATGGGAGACATGGAAGAGGTTCATGGCTCTTGGCTTTGGATCGGCACAGCACCAGCAGTTGCACTCACTTGGGGAGTGAATCACTGGATGGAAGATCTTCCTCTCTGTCTCTCCTCCTCTCTGATTATCTGACTTTGTAATAAAAAAAATAAATCTTTAAAATTAAAAACATTATTTTACAAAAAAAAAGGCAGATTTAGAGAGAAGGAGACAGAAAGATACGTACTCTGGTTCACTCCCCAAGTGGCCACAATGGCCAGAACTGAGCCGATCCGAAGCCAGGAACCAGGAACTTCTAAGTCTCCTGTATGGATCAGGGCCCCAACTTTGGGCCCCCTCATAAATTACTTTCTCAGGCCACAGGCAGGGAGCTGGCTGGGAAGTAGAGCAGCCGGAACACAAACTGCGGCTCATACGGGATGCTGTCACTTCAAAGCGTGGATTGAGCCTCCATTCCTACACCATAACTAGTGTTTTCAAAACCCCGATAAGCAGATCCTGAATCAACTTGAACTTGAATTAAAATCTGGTCTTTGCAACTAAGTATTCATGTGACCTTAGAAAATATAATCAGTTTTTATTAAAGACTTATTTATTTTTATTGCAAAGTCAGATATATAGAGAGAGGAGGAGAGACAGAGAGGAAGATCTTCCATCCGATGATTCAACCCCCAAGGGACTATAACAGCAGGATCTGCACCAATCCAAACCCAGGAGCCAGGAGCTCTTACAGGTCTCCCACGTGTGCGCAGGGTCCCAAGGCTTTGAGCTGTCCTCGACTGCCTTCCCTGGCCACAAGCAGGGAGCTGGATGAGAAGCGGGGCTTCTGGGATTACACCGGCGCCCATATGGGATCCCAGGTATGCAAGGCGAGGTCTTTAGCTGCTAGGCCACCCCACCAGGCCTAATATAATCAAATTTTTTATACATCAGTTGTTCTTCTAAACTAATGGTATAAACCTCTTTTCTGCCAACGGCCATTAGAATACTTACAACATCATGCACGGGCCAAAGGTAACAACTTAGAAAATAACCTGCTGTATTTTTTTTTAATTTATTTATTTCTATTGGAAAGGTAGATTTACAGAGGAGGAGAGACAGAGAGAAAGATCTTCCATCTGCTCATTCATTCCTCAAGTAGCTGCAACAGCAGGAGCTGAGCCAACTCAAAGCCAGGAGCCAGGAGCCTCCTCTGGGTCTCCCACATGGGTGCAGGATCCCAAGGCTTTCTTGGGCCATCCTCGTCTGCTTTCCCAGGCAACAGGCAAGGAGCTGGATATGAACTGGCATCCATTTGGGATCCTGGCATGTGCAAGGCGAGGACTTAAGTCACTAGGCTACCATGCCTGGTGTCAGCCTGCTGTATTCTTACTGAATTAACGTACCTGAACAATTAATTCTCCAAGTTAATCAGGGTATTTATTTATTTTGCATAGCAATGATTTTTGCATTCGATTGTATAACACCAACATTCACATATTTTGGCAGGCAATGAATTTAGAAACGTGTGATGAAGGCCAGCTCATTGGCTTAGCTAGTTAATCCTCCACTTCCAAGCACTGGCATCCCATATGGACTCTGGTTTGTGTCCTGGCTGCTCCACTTCCCATCCAGCTCCTTGCTTATGGCCTGGGAAAGCAGTAGAGGATTGCCCTGGGTTCCTGCACTCACATAGGAGACTCAGAGGAAGGTTTAGGCTCCTGGCTTCAGATTGGCTCAGCTCTAGTCATTGTGGCCATTTTGGGAGAAAACCAGTGAATGGAAGATTTTTCTCTCCTCTTCTCTCTGTAAATCTGCCTTTCCAATAAAAAAAAAAATAGTACCTGTCAATTGTAATATTATCTCAACCTCAAACAGCCTATCTCAAATGCAATCAGATATTGTGAAGTAAGCAACGAACGAACAATCAATGTGAGTCAGACTGCTTAGGATCTACATCAAAGAATTGTAAAACCTAATATACTTTTAATACCCTATGTTATTCTGTAATGGGGTAGGAGAGCAGAGAAATCTTCTATCACCCTAGAAGGTATGCGGAAGACGTGAAATATTAGTTACTGCTCACTAGGGTATTGAGGATTTCTCTGCACACCCCTCCTAAAACTGTTCTGCACCTAAACTGTTGACATATGTCTTGTTAGAGTTATAAGCTAGTCTAGACTACCCCCCCCAAAAAGCCAGGTTCAGCAAAATTATACTTCAATGCTATAAAATGCTAAATATTATAATGAAAATAGACACAAGACAGCTGAACAGTAATCTATAGCCATTTTAAGATGTATAGAAGCTGGTTGTATATAAACTAAAATTGAAATGTCAATGAAGTAGTCACAGGATGTGGTTAAGAACTTGCATTTTTTTTTAACATATTGGTTACTCAATACTATGTCAATTAATTCCATAATGTTATAAATTGTTGCTGATGCTATGTTGGGGCTTTTAATTGATCGGGATGATACTCTGCTGGCTCTACCTTCAGACCAGAGAAGGTCTCCCCAACAAGTCGTTGAACTTATCTGGACAATAAGAGGCTGGACTCTATGCTTGGTCTATGCTTGCAATGAAAGACTCTCAACTGAACTTGAACTGTGGTTATGCAACAAGGTGGAGGAATCCACCATGGGGGGAGGATTAGGGGAGGGGTGGGAATTCCAGTACCTATAAAACTGTGTCACATAATACAATGCAATTAATAATTAAAAAAAAAACCCAAAACAAAAAACAAAGCAAAACAAAAGGTTGTAATCCTCACTGAGTGCTAACTACATGGTCAAAGAACAAGGCCCTTCTGAGGAGTTTTTTTTTTTTTTTCATTTTTTCCCTTTATTTTTGACAATCTGTCTATGGTTAATTAGGGCAAAAAAAGGTTAAGACTATTTTTTCCACATTGTTTTTTTTCCTGTTTCTGGGATGAAGGGGGAGATAAAGGGAAAAACCCTACCCAGTCTCCCACGCATCCCAGGTCCCTGATGTGGGGCATGCTCCGAGGGTCTTGCTCAAGTGGTTTTGATAGTTCAACACTTTTGAATTGCTGCTGATAAGGCTTCTTTATCTCAGACCCTCCTAGCACCTGCCCAGCCATGCCATAACTGCCACTCTGATTGGATCCTTTAGGTCATGGACTGATGTCACAATTGGTATTGAGCCCTGTCTCCCAGAATGGTCACTGAGTGCCACTTTAGTTCAATCTAGAGTACAGAGTTCCTCAGGGAGCAGCTGCCATGCTGGGCCACCCACTGTAGGATGTTTAACAACGACAGCTCAGTTACCAGGACCCCAGGGACAGACCACACTTGCTAGAACCATCCATTCATTTCCCTTGCATACAGCACCAGTTGACCAAGAAGCTGAGCCATGATTGTCGTCTTATGGATGCTTCTCATAGCAGGGACAATGTGGAAGGGATATAAGTATCCCCCAGGAGGGGTAAGTGGACCTTCAGCTTTGCCCTGTACTCCCATTATGAAAGATTCCTTTAAATCACCAAACTAAGCATCAAAGTCCAACATTTGTAAATTTGTAAACTTTTACATTTTTTAAAAAGTTATTGTAGCTTGCCTACTTCTATCGGGGGTATTATTTACACTTAGGAGATTTCCTACTTTATGTGTTCTCTTGTAGTTTCTTGTCTTCTTTTTAATAAGCCTTCCTAGTTTGGAAATAGAGGAAAGGTCCAGAGTCAAAGCTTTCTGACTTGGGTGATCTAGTCTGTTAACACTAATATGACCATTTATTATTTTATTTGACAGGCAGAGGTAGAGAGAGGGAAAGCCAGAGATCTTTCATCCCTGGTTGCCTCCCTACATGTTCACAACAGCCAGGGCTGGAGGTCAGAAGAAAGCTAAGAGCCAGAAACTCCATCTGGGTCTCCCATGTGGGTGACAAGGTTCCAAGTACTTGGGCCATCTTACACTGCCTTCTCAGACACAATAGCAGGACTGGATGGGCAGGTACAGTGCTCACGTGGCAGCGTAACCTGCTATGCCAAAATGATGACCCTTTGATAGCACTTTTTATATGCTCAGCCTTTCATTTATCATTTCCTAAATCAGCCCATCTTGGCAACTCCAAGTGGTCACCTATGAAATGAAAGGTTATGGTGGTTGATACCTCTCTCCTCCTCACTACTAAGCCCCTGGCAGCTGGGTTCAGGGACAATAAGTGGAGCAAAGTTGGACCCAGTCATCCCTTGGCCTCAGCCTACCTTCACCTTAATAACCATGGGACCCACCTGACATGCTTTTTTCGCCCCCAGACCCCAGTGGAAATAAGCAAAGATGATCCTGGTGAAGTGATGCAGCTCTGAAGCTCACCCTGACCAAGCTGTACAGCTCCTGTTGTTGGTTTCGCATAAAGTCATTGCACAAGATCCTGTCCTTTCATGTAAAAAGTTACTGCACTTTTTAAGATGAAGACTTATGTCGTGTTAGCTCAAGCAGGGGTGGGGATGGAGGTGAAGAGATAGGGTGGGCATGAGATGGCTCTGTCCTTGGTGTTGCATTGTCTCTAAGACTGGCATTAAGGTGGCCCCAATTATGTGTCCTTTCGTATAGAAATGTTTCAGAGCTCTCCAGGCATAGGTCCCAGGATTCAGAGGTAAAACATGTTACATAAGGGCTAGAGGTAGGGCCTTTTGAGCTTGTTCTTTCAGGGTATTTGTGGCTTTTTCATGGCTACTACTAAGAGCTCAAAGCTTCTGTGCTATGAGGCAAGGGATTTCATTTTAATATTGGGGCTGGATACTAATAGTATTTAGTCCTTACAGTAACCTTCAGAATCTGGATATTAGCCTCTTTTGACGAAATGACAAAAATGCAGTTTTGAGGCTCTGCAGCTGCAGTCAAGATCAGATCCAGGCCTTCTCCTCTGTGCACATTGATGAGCTAGATTCAAATGAGGAAGACGGCTATAGCCAAGACCTTGGTGCCTAAATATCTCCTTCACCAGAAAAGCCAGGAAGTTGCCTAATCATTATTTTGAAGGCAGCCTATGTAGAAACAAAAGCTAGTTAAATAATCTCAATATGATGTAGAGGTCAGGCGGGGGAGAAAGTGCCCAAAGATAACTGAAACTCTAGCTAAGCACATCTTTGGCTATATTGAAAACATTTTGTTGACTGTTATATGGCAAATTAGTATAATATAAGTGGCCCTTTGAATTGAATACAGTACCCTTTTTATTTTATTTATTTATTTATTCATGTTGTCAAAATTAAGTTTTCATATTGAAATGATGTGTTGGAATATTATTCCTAATAATTTAGTATGATAGGCTGTTATCTTAATAATATTTCTAGTGTAGAGTCATTTTATTTTTTCCTTTTAAAAATGTTTAATTAAAAATAAAAATATTTTTCATGATTTTTACATAATTAATTAGGGTGATGAGGGTCAAGGGCTACAGGAAGGTGGGTGAGATCACCATTTCCACATTCTCTTTTTTCCTTCCTGTATCTGGTGGAAAGGGGTGGAAACAAGCAGAGAAGCCACATCCAGCCTCCCAAATGCCTCTGTATCCTTGGATGGAGGGCAGCCACCCAACACCACCTCAGGATCCCTGATGTGGGCCATGCTGAGGGTCCTGCTCAAGAGGTTTCAATAGTTCAGCAGTTCTGAATGACTGCCAATCTCACCACTACAATCACGATGAAATCTCTCTAGAATCCACTGGCTGACATAGTCCACTTTAGAGTCTCTATTTGCCCAGATATTTGCTGTCAGTGCTGGGGCAGTTGATCAATTTGTTCTGTCCTTTGTGCTCTATTATGGTATCAGGTGCCCTCCACAGACTCCAATGTACAGCTATATCTTCCATGTGCACCTGCATATGCTGTCCACTGCTTCTTCTGAGTCACTGAGGAGGCCCAGCTCTGACACATGCTCTACATGGTCAGACCATGGAACCTGCAATTCTCTCCATATTTGGGATTCTGAGTCCTGCAGTTCAGTTGTGGGGATCCCCATGGAAACTTCTTAGGTGACCCCAGATCTGATTCTTGTGTGTGCATACTAATACAGAATCTAGTACAGTTTGTCTCCCCAATCAACCTAGCCAGAGTGTTCCCCAGCCAGGCTTGTTCCCAGACAGCGATCTCGTGTGTGCCAGTGATTGCTCTGACCCAGCTTGGCATAGTCCCTCACCTGTCTTGACCTCTGCCTTTGGATGCTGTAGCCTGGTCTGATCTTGCCTGCCCTCAATCCCAACTTACGCTGGTGGGTCTGCAACCTGGCCCTGCTCAAGTCTGCTCCCATCCATGGCTCATGCAAACCAGTAGGTATGACAGCCTAGCCTAGCACGACCTGTGTGCTCCAGCACTTGCTGGTGTACTAAGGTTGGCTCAGCTTTTCCTGGTCTACCCCCTTCCAAAAACAACCCACCCATTAGCCAACAGTTGGAGCTACCTTGCCCAGCCTGCCTCCCAGGACTGGACCACGTGCTCACCAGTGGGAACTATGACCCACCAAGGGAGTTTCCCAAGTTCCCCCACTTGGCCTGCTCCCAGACTCAGATCTCTTGCATGCCAGCGGGTACTAGGCCCTAGTCCAGTGTAGTCTGCTCCTGTATCTTGGCCTAGTAGACCTGGTGAATGTTGTGGTCCAGCCTGCTTGACACCCTGTTTTAGGATGCACATGTGGGTGTTGCAGCCTAGACCTGCCCAGACTATTCTTGGTGCTTGTAACTGTGCATGTTAGCAGGTTGCATGGTCACCTCTAGCTCAGCTCATCACCACTCCAACTTGAGCTAACCAGTGGGACTTGTACTTCCACAGGATTGGGCCCACAAATCCCCCACAAAATCTACCCCCAGACCTGGTTCTTTCACGTGCTGGTTAGTGTCATGGCCCTGCCTAATGTGACCAGCCCGTTTTGACAGTCAGGTACTAGGATCCAGTCCTGCTAGATAGGCTCCCAGCCCCAGGTTTCATGTGGACTGGTGTGTCGTGGCAACAATGTTCCATGCTAACAAGTCCAACTCCAGATTCCCACATGGGCTGTTGCATCAGTCTGACTCACAATCTTCGTCTCTCCCCTCCAAACTATCAGGTCTCAGTCCCCTTGCTTACCTGCAAGTACAGTGGTCACTGGGTGTCCCTCAGGATTCATTCCTCACCTACACCTACTGTGGCCTTATCCATGGATGTCCCCAGGTAGTAATTCTAGGCCCCCAAGAGCTCAGAGCTCACCACCAGGCAGCCAACGGGTAAAGCCCAGCTTCATTGTCACTTTGGCCACCCACAAGCCCAGGTTTTGCCCACCACTTGGCAGCGGTGGACAGGGAGCTAGGATTCCCAGTGGGAAGCAGGCCTGGCATGGGTTCTCCCAGCCACAGCCACATGACTAAGAGATCCAGATACCCACACCTCTGAGCAGACTTATCTGGATTCCCCATTTTTAATGGAATGAAAAAATGAATTCAAAATTCAAAACCAAAGCTTTGTTGCTAATCTCTGAATATAAGGTACTAGTAGCATCTTACATGAGCTGGACAGTAGTACATGCCAGCAAGTTTACATTCTCTGGCCTCAAGGCCCTGCTCATGCCTTCCAGATATTCCTAAGAACTCATTTTTTGCATCCATTATAAATTCTTTTAAGGAATCAGAGCCTGCTCATCTTGTCGGGTGAGACCATATAGCCAGTTCTGGCTCTTCTAATTTGAGCATATCTCCAAATACTCAAACCATGAAATAGATATCATTGCTCTAATCCCCTTGCAGTCTTTCAACTTGCATGTCAGAGAACAGTTTACGCTGGAAGGGGAAGAAAGGTATTAATAGTATGAGGGCTGAGCAGATGTGAATGTGTAAAGAATGAGCAAGAATGCATGCAGGAGAGACAATCTTTAGTCTGACAATGCTACTGAGACTTCTAGCTGGAAGAGTGTTCCATGTATTGAGATAAGGAATAGCTAAAAGTTATGACCAATAAATCAAACCGGTAAAAATTTAATCAATAAAATATCTTTAATGCCTACATTGTCATGTATACATAAATTGAAAAACTTTCACCTGTATATATGCAAAAGTATTTTCTCTTGCAGATCAACAGCACCAGAAAACAGGCTAAGCTATGTAAAAGTTGTTTTTTTTTGTCCATTATGTAAAAGACATGATGGATTAAGTAACTCCAAAGAAATCTATATCGCACTCTTGGCATACACTAAACACCTGAATATTTATTTCATCACATTCATTCACAAAATAAATAGTCTAATATATTCAGCACATTGAAAATAAAACAACCAGTCTCTCTCTTCATATATTTATTCTCTTCCCAAAAATGTTTTGGTCTCCTGCTATATCTCAGAAATGTACTAATAGCTGCTTTTAAGTTACAAAATACAAAACAATTCTTTTTTTTGGAGAAAATCTTGGGGGAAATTACCATTAGAAAATGAAATTTTGAGTTCCCTTAGACTTTACTCTTAACAGTCTTTGAACCTTCTCATGGCACACACGTAAGGCTCCCTGTGACATGTGGTACCCTGGCCTCCAAATGGACATTAATTGCATTTATAGTTTAGAGAAAATACAAAGACAAGTTCTGAAAGTAGCCTTAAAGTGCCCTTTGCTTTGACATAGCAACATCAAAGGCAAGTGGGACAGTGCAATAAGAGCCGTAGCAGTTTTATGAAAACTACTTTCTGTTTACATCATTTATGTTGAGAATGCCACACCTATGATCATGTAACATTATTACAATCTTGAGATAACATTACTACATTCATGAATTAACATTACCCAATAAAAGGCACATCTTCAAATATTAAGAAAATCTCAAAGTCAAAACATGAATACATGAAAAATTAAGCACTTAATTTGTAAACCTTGATCCAATAACTGCCAATACCAGAAAGTACAGAACAAAATGGAAGACAGGATTTGAAAACAAGGCCAAGACCCTTAAAAACTTAAAAAAAAAAGAATCAACTCATCGTTTTATTATGTGTATACAATAGATACACAAGGTTTATAACCTGATTCTTCCTACTAAGTTCTAGAACTTTAACCTAGTATGATGGTGCCTTTCTCTAGAAATAACTGCACCATTACCACAAAGTTGATGCCACTGGAAAGCTTTCAGCTCTGACAAGAATTTGGTTTTAATTAGATTGCAGAGTCTGAAGAGTGAAGGGAAACAAAACTTTTAGAAGCATGTAATGGCAAAAGAAATAATGTTCTAAACCTATTTTATTACATGGAATATTTACACTGCCCTTAATTTCATTGAAGATAATTCATATGAGTAAGAGAAAACCAACGGGATCTTCAGCTACTAGTGTGACAGTTCCATGTGGAGAGCAGAAAAAGGGTATTGCTCCCAATAATGAAGACAGTTTTCATGGAATTTAACTGTAAAATCCCGAGTTCCAAAGTTTGAAACTCAACTCATTCTAAGTCAGCATTAAAGTTTTGGATGACATGGTCCCATTAAAGGAGACTGACAAAGTCTGTAACACCCATACTTGAAAAATAAATATCTCATAGACAAAAAGGAACACACAAAGCACATTTGGACCTGTTGAAGAGTAAGGATTCTTTGTAGAACAACCCTTACTATTATTCCTGTCCCTATTGCCCAGTGGCTTCAGATAGCCAGAACATTTACTATAGAACTGCCCTATCATTTTAATTCCAACTGCTTCCACCCTCCACAGTTAAGGATAAAAGCTCTTTAGCATCAGCATGTCTCATCTTCTGTTGCTGATCCTGGAGACTTTTGCCTCCTTCCAGCCAGATCCTAGGTCAACCCGATGGGAATTGCTTGGACTTAGAGGCTTAAGTGGTATCAAGTCAAAAAATATGACTTTTAAAAGGGTGAAAATGAAGAGTTCCACAGCCCAGTAAAACAATAGGAACACGGAACGTCCTCTTTTCTACCCACAGGGGAAAAATCTCTTCACAGTGCATAGTTTGAATTAAAAGTGCAATATGGGCAAAAAGAGAAGTTGGTGCTTTTGATACACATGAATTGCAATTTTGGTTTCTGCCATTAATATTTGCTAAGGATTTTAAACTAAAGATGTAAAGTCATTACCATCAAGAGGTAGGGGGCACCTCAGGATTCCAAAATATGTATGTAAGTTAGGGAGGTGGGGAGCCTCACATGTCACTTCCTGTTTGAATCTATTACTCTTCCTAATTTAATGTCTGAATACAATAACTTTTCAATGCAAAAATGAAAAATTCTTAGGTAAAAATCAGTCAGCACAGTGATCTTGTTTATTCCATGAAATCAAACAAAACAGTAAATCTGAAAGGAAAACTGGGAGAATATTCTTGTATTTTAACTTGGAAATTTTTCTGTTAGCTGCTCAATTACCTAAATTAATAAGAATGCTCAGCATCCAATTCATTGAGTAGTGCAGATAATATAATTTATTCTTCTTTGTACTTTAGAGTAACAAGGATTTCATCAATATGATAATTAAAAAGCCTACCCTACATTTTCAAGTTCTTAATCTAAACACATAGATTAGGACAGGCCATTTTATTGCTGGCAACATTCATGGAAAGGCCAGTAAGTCTGGGAGCTGGGCAGTGTCCCACTCTCATATGAGCAGAACTAGAGAAGAGGCAAACCCATTTTCTTCCTCCTTTCTTTTTCCTTTTAAAGTAGCAAAGGAACATAAATGACTGGAGGACTGCAGAGTGACCCCACAGAGTGCATAGCTTATCAGGACCAAGGCTGGCATCTGCAAACAGTCAGCTTCCGAAGAGCACATAGCGGGCAGTGTCATCTGCATTACAGATTTAACCCTGGAAAGTCTTTAAAAGTACTTTCTGCTCCAAGGATTATAAGCATTCCTTCTCCTTGAGTACCCAAATATAAATCTAAAATGGTAAGGGGGCAGGAAATTCTTGCAGCAGTGTCCCCAGAATCTCATAAAAGCAGCAGTCAGCGCCTCTTCAGTTTCTTGGCCTTTCGACGTTTCATTTCTTCCTCTTCACGTCTCATTTCTTCCAAGTCTTCTTGCATACCCAGTCGTAAGCTGTCAAAAAAGATTTTAGGGGTATTATTTCAGTACCATGAAAAGCTCACTTTTTGTAAAAGGCAGAATCGAAATTTCCACTGGAGCTCATGAACCATGCTGATCCACTGTGAACACCTCCAAGCTTTTCAGGCTGCAGCATGCATGAGCCAAGGAACTTTACAGATTATTCACATGAAATAAAGCACTTATCTCAAAGACTTAAAAATATAATGAAATGTTCACTTAATAACATTCTATTCTTGTTCTTTCCCAACACTTAAATTTGACATTGTATTTAGTTAGAGGGGAGAACAAAGCATTAATTTACTATCAATTAGCTAAACCTGAATCAGAAAAAGGAAATCTAATATACCTCTCTATGTGGCACCTAGGCCAGCATTGTTACAAGTTAGCAAAAATGAGATGTATCTGATGGGGAAAGAAAACACAACAGGATCCTGGGAAGTGTCTAACACCGTAAGAGGTGTATTGCACTAGGTACCTTGTATACATGGTCTTAATCCTCAGAATACATCAATGAGTAAACAGGGTATTCTCAATTTAACAAGTGAAACAGCCGATTTAGAAAGGCTCAAGAGTCTATCAAAGCCCTATGCAAGTATGTAGCAAAGGATGTGCTTGACCCAAGGTCCCCCCTTAGAGTGGTACAGCTGTAGCAAGTAGAAAAGAAATTTTAGTTCATTTCTTGCACAGATGTGTTCCTTACCTTTTTGCTTCTTCCTTCTGTTGCTCTTTCCAACTGCTTTCCATGTAACGTAAGGCATAATCACTTTCATCTTTGTATCTGATAGGAAGAAAAATTACAAAAAGTTTTACAAGGAAACAACATTTGCTTTCATTCAAACACTTTTAATTTATTTGAAAGGCAGAGAGAAAGGTTCACTCTCCAAACACCTGTAATACTTGGGGCTGGATAAGGATGAAGCTAGGAAGCCTGGAACTCAATCTGGGTCTCTCACATGGACTGTAGGGACTCAATTACTTGGGCTATCACTTGCTACTACCTCCCATCGTGTGCATTAGCAAGAAACTACATCAGAAGCAGGGCTGGACCCAGAATCCAGGCACTGTTTCTCCTAGAGCTAATGTTGAGGAAGGCACCAATTCAACAGTGTGTTTCGTGCCTCCTCAACTCACCTACACTTAATTGATAAAACCATGAAAATATAATGCACATGAAAATTATTATTAATCCATTAATCTCATTTAAGCTTCAGGACTATCATGAGATCTTTATGGCTTCACAAAAAAGGGCTTTAATATCAGGTGGCCATTCCCCATCTCTGGGTGCTGAGGTGGCTGGGGGGCTGGGTGTGATTTCTCCCCTTATTTCCCTCCTTCTCCCAGATACACGAGGAAGAAAATTTGGAAACAATACTCTCACCCATTTTCTCCTTGGTCCTTCCCACCCTGATCAACTATGAACATATCATTTAAAAAAAAAGACTTTGCAGTAAAATGAAACAGATCAATTAATGGCTTGATCAAGAACACATATCTATGGGCAAGCACTTGGCAGTTAGGACACCTAACTGCTGCCTGACTCCAGCCTCATGTTAATGTATGCCTGAAGGCTCAATACTTAGGCTCCCAGCTCCTGCCTTCTGCCCCTGGCTGCTGAGGGTCTTTAGGGAGTATGCCACATGTGAGCTCACTGCCTCTGTGTATGTGTGTGTCTCGAATAGATCTTAAAACATTAAAAAAAAAAAATCCTACAGTTTACTTTAATGTAGCTGTATCAATGAATCACCCGAGGACCTTATAAAGTGGATTTGGATTTAGTAATCCTGATATGAGGCCTGAGAGTCTGTATTAAAAAAAAAAAAATTCTCAGGCACGTCAGTGTTGCTAGTTCTATCCTACAGTACAGGAATCATATTTTCAAGTAGCAAAATTTTACACCAAAGGAAAGCATCAAAATGAGTTTAGGTAGCTTTGTGACTTCGTAATTTCTACTGTACTAAATTACTTCATCTGCCAAAGCAGTAAATTGAATAACCTCCACCCAAAAGTTCCTTATTTAGTACCTCTACCATTAGTTTATTTCTGCCATACTATGTGAATTACTCAAAGTATTTAATATTTATCCAAATCATTTTTTTAGGCATAAAGGTGGTTTATTCAGGTTAGCCCTGCTGGGTGGGGGAGGGGCAGCTGCAGCAGAAGCTGCTGCAGGAACAGCAGGGAGGGCAAAAGAGGGAGTGATCCCCCAGGTTGAACAGCGCAGGGTTCTTATACATTTCAGGCTGTTAATTATATGGTCATGATTTAGCAGGCTTCTATTGGTGGGTTTGAAGCAAGCAACTTTCAAAAGGTACAAATTGATGGGCTATAAGGTGGTGGATCTTATCAAACACCAGGGTCCTCCTTCCTGAGGAGTGGTTTGCCTACGTGACCTGCCAGGTATCCTCACCTAGACTATCAGGCCTGGAGTTCACACAGCCCCCAGCCAAGCAATTAAGGCAGAATCACAAAAGCAGAAAACATCTAGGCTCTTCATTCACCCTCTCTTTTTAGTAACTAATCAAATCTTTGATTCAGTAACATTATCTAAATCATTTTTAGCCTTACTTTTTTCGGTCATAGCCAAAGATTTCTCGAATGTGCTTCGATATATCTTCCTGAGGTTCTCCTTCATCTTCAATAAAATCTTCCATTTCAGAGTCATATTCATCATCATCATCATCTTCCTCCTCATATTCTCGCTGCCGCTTATAACCAGCAGGAAAAGGAAATCTCTGAGGACCTAACAAGATAAAACCATCATTTTTTAAGAACATGAAATACAGTTCTAATAGAATTCTAGGAAAATTGAGATTTTCTTTTATACAGTATGCTTAAAAATGAATGGGAGGCTGGTCCCTAGCCTGAAGTCATTATTATATTATCCCTGGTGTGCCATGATGCACAGGAGTTAAACTTCTGTTTATCCAGGACTTGCTTACTGTAGGTAATGTCTTGTTACATTTTTCAGCTTAGTAGAACCCATACTTCTGGATTTAAAATTTCTGTTATTTTTTAAAGATTAATTTATTTTACTCGAAAGTCAGAGTTATAGACAAAAAAGGCATGACAGACATCTTCCAAATGGCCACAAAAGCTTGGGCTGCACCAGCCCAAAGCTCAGAATCAGGAATTTCTTGCATGTCTTCCATGTGGGTAAAGAGGGTCCATGGCCTTAGGGCCGTCCTCCACTGTTTTCCCAGCCCATTAGCAGGGAGCTGGATTGGAAGTGGAACAGCTGGGACTAGAACCAGTGCCCATATATATTTTAATTAATTAATTTTTTTTCAATGCCCATATTATATGCCAGGACCACTGGCCGAAGATTAGCACGAGATGCCACCAGGTCAGCCCCTAAAATGTCTAAAAGTAGCACCCACTATGTACTATTATTATAATTTCAACTTAAAGTTTTTAAGTCCAGCAAAGTATGAGTTTCTCAAAATCAATGATAACTGTTCAGACTGAGTTTTACCAAAGCAAAAATTCACTGTTATCCTTACTTCCTCCATTTTGCAAGACTGAATAAAACCAGCAAAAGACAGGCACAACAGATGCTGCTCAACAGACCAGCATCTGGGAACAACTACTTTCCAAGCCTTTGATTGATAGACACTCCTTTTATTCTTCTAAGTTTTAAATATGGAAAGCTTGTCTCCTTAGTTAAGTCTTTTCCAATCTCAGCACTATGACATTCTGGGCCAGATAATTCTTCCTTGTGGCAGCCAACTCCACACACTGTTGGCAGCATCTTCTACGCACCAGATGCCAGCGGCATTCCCTGTCGCCAGTTGGCAAATGATCCCTTGGTGGCAAAATTTTCCTTAGTTGAGGATCAACTAGGAAATTAGGAAATCTTAAGCAAGGAGTTCATCCCTGGTTTCTTATGTTCTCCATTGTGCTAGAAAATAGCTTTAACAGATGTCTTTTTTCATGAGGCAGCCAGCAGGTGTAACCAAGAGAATTTCTGCATCTTGGGACAATAGATTCCTACAGAGGGCAAGACTTTGATAACATCCATTTTAAGGAACAGAAACACAAAAAGTTTAAAATAACTCCTGACACAAATAGGTACTTTATCAGACTCTGGAGGACCTGGCATGGGGTGAAGGCTGGCCAATCCTCCACCTCAAAGTACTGGGATCCCATATGGGCACTGGTTTGTGTTTCACCTGTTCCACTTCAAATCCAGTTCCCTGCTTGTGGCTGGGGAAATCAGTAGAGGATGGTTCCAAGGCCTTGGGACCCTGAACCTGCATGGGAGACCTGGAAGAAGCTCCTGGTTCTTGTTAAGCTCGCCTCTGGCTGTTGCAGCCATTTGGACAGAGAACCAGTGTAAATCTGCCTAACAAAAATTAATAAATCTTTTTTAAAAATTATACTCTGATTTTTTTGTCTTCACAATAAAGTATAGATTAGGGTCCAGTGTGGTGGCTTAGTGGTTAAAGTCCTTGCCTTGCATGTGCTGGAGTCCCATAATGGGTGCCGGTTCTAATCCTGGCAGCTCCACTTCCCATCCAGCTCCCTGCCTGTGGCCTGGGAAAGCAGCAGAGGACAGCCCAAAGCCTTGGGGCCCTGCATGGGAGACCCGGAAGAGGCTCCTGGCTCTGAATCAGTGCAGGTCCGGCTGTTATGGCTGCTTGGGGAGTGAATCAATGGATATCTTCCTCTCTGTCTCTCCTCTCTGTATATCTGACTTTACAATAAAAATAAAGATCTTTTAAGAAAATGAAAGGTACAGATTAATTCACTCAGTGAACCAGGAAAGCCATGTACATTTGCCCTGTCTCACAATCACAAAGCTGTGTCTAATGTTCTTGGGGATATTGCAGAGGTGAAGAACTCCAGGGCACAGGGTGGACAAGGTATCAGAATCTTATCAACACTCGATAAATAATATGGTCAGGGGCACATGAAAATGTTCAGGGGTCCTTGATTATATAAAACAGTATTCTTGATTTCCTAGTGTCAGAAACATACTTTAATGGTAAAACGCAGTATTACCTTGAGCAGCTCTGTAGCCAGACAAGGGTGGCTTCATTCCACTCATCTGTCCATTGATGGGACGGCTAATGATATTCTTCGAAGAAATTGTTTCCGAGACAACAGTGCACTTAGGTTTTCCAGGGGGACCTGAACCACCGACTGTCCGTCCAGGTGCCAGGCTGCTTGCTGGTCTTCCAGGACCTGAACCACCGACTGTCCGTCCAGGTGCCGGGCTGCTTGCAGGTCTCCCAGGGCCTGAACTACTGACAGGCCGTCCAGTTGGAACTGAGCTATTTATGGACCTTCGAGGGCCACCAGCTGCTCGCCCAGGAGTGCCTGAGCCACTGACTGGCCGCCCAGGGCCTCCAGAATTGACGATAGGTCTACCAGCATTGCTGGAGCCACTGAGGGGTCGCCCAGGGCCATTTGTGGTGTTTGTAGGCCGTCTGGGGCCACCTGTGCTACTGGCAGGCAGCCCAGAGGGCTTTGAGTCACTGGTTGGCTTTTTGGTCCCACTGACTGGTTGTTCAGGTCCTGAGCTGGAGCTGCCATTCTGGCGCCTGGGCACAGGGCCGGGACTGACTGTGGGCCGAGGAGTCCCTGTACTGGGTCGCCCAGGGACTGAACTAGAGCTGCTTCCTGACTGCTTGACACCTGGACTCTTGACCTTACTGGATGGGGAGGCCATGGATCCAGGTTTGGAATGGCTAGGAAGGGAAGGAGGTTTTTTGGTTTTGTGCTCAATAGCAGGCTTCTGAGTCCCACTGGCAGAAGTCTTTGGGACACTTGGTGAGTATGTGCTGGAGTGGGACTTTCCAGCCCCATTGAAAACAGGTCTGTTGTGGCCTTCGCGAGCTGAGGGCTGGGAGATATTGCCAGATCCTGTCTTGGTCCTCTCTGCTGGCTCGGATTTGGATGAAGACATAGCTAAGTGTTTCTCACTGGCCATGCTGGGTCTGGATTTCTTCTCAGTATGAGGAAGGGGAAAGCCTTTAGAAGGAGTATGCCTGTCCGCAGAACTTTTGCTAAGTTTTGTGCTCACACTTTCTTTCTGTAAAGGTGCCTTTCTGGACACAGTTGGAGGTAGTTTTGCATCTGTTTCAGGTTTCTTTTTCATACGCTTTCGTTCTAGAAATTCTCGTTCCCTAAGTTCTTCTGCAGTCATAGGTCGCTCTTCCACTTTCTTGATGATCTTGATCTCTACTGGTTCAAACTGCTTTTTCTCAGCGAGCCTGAGTAGATCAGTGAAGTTCATGGGTGGTGGTGGGGCACTTTTAAGGGTGGCCTTTGGCTTGCTTTCAACTCTGGGAGGCTCTTGATCTTCCTCAAACTCCTGATCTGGCTCTGTTTGATTGTATTCTAAGAATTCGTCCTCTTCTTCCATCTCATAGTCTTGCTCTGTTGCCTGGGTGGTGTGGTTTTCCACTGCCTGTCTCTTCTTTGACTTTTCCTCAACAGGAATCCCATTGTAACCATGGAAATTATCCTTTGTCCTCTTAGCCATTGCTCTGGCTTTTTTATCATGCTTGAGCTCAATTCGTTTTTTCAATAGCTCTTCTTTTCTCCTTTTCTCTTCTAAGGCTAAAAGAGGCAAAAACAAAAACATGCCATTATTTTAACATCTCAAGAGAGCAGTGTGTTCCTCTGAAATCAGTAGGTGGCAAAACACAATGTTCAGGTTACACTTTGAAGATATATAGGAATCCAGTGAAAAGTATCCGAGCAACTATTAAGTCATTCATTCTTATACAACGAATGGACATGGGTTTTTATTTGGGATGAAACAAGTGAGAGATTTTACACCTCTAAATACAAAAAATAACTCATATCTAATGTACAAAGTTAAGGAAACACCTACTAATGAAATCACTAACAGTTTTATGAACCAATGAAAAATCAAGCTAAGCTTAATCAAGTTCTTTGCAAAAGTTAAATTGTTGCTTTTTTTTTTTCATTTTTTTTTTATTATTAACATTGTATTATGTGATACAGTTTTATAGGCACTGGGGTAAATTGTTTCTTGATCTTACTGCCTTGTTTTGTTTTGTTTAAGATTTGTTCTTATTGAAAGACAGATTTATAGAGAGAAGGAGAGATGGAAAAAAAGTTTCCACCCACTGGTTCACTCCACAACTGGCTGCGACCACTGGAGCTGAGCAGATCCAAAGCCAGGAGCCTCTTCCAGGACTCCCATGCAGGTGCAGGGTCCCAAGGCTTTGGGTTGTCCTCTTCTGCTTTCCCAGGATACAAGCAGGGAGCTAGATGGGAAGTGGAACAGCTGGGATACCAACTGTCCATATGGGTTCACTATCCAGCTGCTGCACTGCTGATCCAGTTCCCTGCTAATAAGCCTGGAAAAGCATAAAATGGTCAAATCCTTGGGACCCTACACCCATGTTGGTGACAAAGAACTCCTGACTCCAGGCTTCTACTCGGTTGAGCCCAGGCAGTTGTGGCCCTTTGTGGAATGAACCAAAAGAAAGATTCCTCTATGTTGCTACTTCTAGCTCTGCTTTTACACTAATCAGCAAATTTTTAATGGTTTAGATATCAATCTTTTATTGAGGGGGAAAAAAAAATACAAGCAAGATAAATAATGCAGTTCTTATCATAGCCTATTAGAAGACATGATCACCAGCCTCAAAAAGGGCTGAGTTAAAAGGGAGTAAGAAAAAAATCTCCATATAAAACGCCACGACAAGAACATACGTAGGGGTTGGCATGATGGCTCAAATCACTAATCCTCCAATTTGCAGCGTCGGCATTCCTTAATGGATGCTGATTCACATCCTGGCTGTTTCACTTCTGATTCAGTTCCTTGCTTATGGCCTGGTAAAGCAGTGGAGGATGGCTCAAAGCCTTGGGACCCTGTATCCTACAAGGGAGACCTGAAGGAAGCTCCTGGCTTCTGATGGCATCATCTCTGGCCATTGTAACCACTTGGGAAATGAGCTCTGCCTCTCCTTTCTCTGTAAATCTTTCTAAAATATGTGGGCCTGGAGTGATGGCCTAGTGGCTAAATCCTCATCTTGCATGTTCCAGGATTCCAACTGGGTGCCAGTTTGTGTCCCAACTGCTCTACTTCCCTTCCAAACCTCTGCTTGTGGCCTGGGAAAGCAGTAGAGGATGGGCCAAAGCCTTGGGACCCCACACCTGCATGGGAGACCTGGAAGAGGCTCTTGGTTTCTAACTTCGGATCAGTTCAGCTCTGGCCATTGCAGCCACTTAGGGAGTAAACCAGAGGACCGAAGATCTTTCTGTTTTTCCTCTGTAAATCTGACTTTCCAAGAAAAATAGAATCTTAAAATATGTATTCCCTAACCCTCACATGCATTCAAAATTCATTGGCCTATTAGATCAGAAAGTAGGAGACCTGAAAGTTGAAAATAAGTTTACAGGTACATACCTTTTCGTCTGAGTTCTTCTTCTTTCCTCCGAAGAAAAGCTTGTACAGCTTCTGATTGAACTCCTTTAACCTTCGGATCTTTCTTGGGAGGTCCCACTGCCAAACTGTACCTTTTCTAAAAATAAACAGAATAAATATGATAAGCAATTCAACTTAAGAATAAATCGTCAGGGCAGGTGTTAGCCTAGCACCTAAATGCCTGCATCCCACATTTAAGTGCCTGGGTTTAGTGTTTGCTTCCAGCTCCTGAGTTTAGCTTCCTGCTAAAGCAAATTCAGAAGGCAGAGGAAATGGTTCAAGTCACTGTGTTCCTGCCACCCCTGTAAGGGATATGGACAGAGTCCTATTCCTGATTTTGGCCCCGCCCTGGGCTGCCAGCTGGCCACTATGGACATTTAGAGTGTACCAGCTGATGGGAACTTTTTTCAAATAAATATATAACATACAGAAAGGTGGACTTATTTATTCTACTGCATATTAAGGACTGTGCCAAGTAACTGATGGGCTTAAATACTGACTGAAGAACCCATTTTGAAAAGCTGAGACTAAAGGATCATATTAGAGCTTAAGCTATGGAAGTTCAGCTATGAAATTTCTCAAATGATGAATTAAGGAACAATTTTTAAAACAGTTCATCTTTAGGCAATTTTTCAAATATGTGTTTGGATTGGGTAACCAAAACAAACAAAAACTCATCCACTTAGGATACAGTGGATTATTTCAGTGTGTTTTAAGATTCTGATTAAATAGTGGCCTGCTATGGAGCTAAGAATTTCAAAGTCCAATTTTTTCAAGCAAGGGAAAACAAGTAGGCATGTGACATACTGATGAAGATGCCAGTATTCCATGTCCAAGTACTGAACTCATGTTGATTCCCCTTCCAGTTTTGGTTGCCTACTAATGTATACACTAGAGGCAGCCAAGCTGGCTCAATAGTTGTGTCCCTGCCACACATATGGGAGACCTGTACTGAGATCCTGGCTCCTTGTTTTGGTCTGGCCAATCCTCCGCTGGAGAGGGCATCTGAAGAGTGAGCCAGGTAGCTGATAAGAGTCCCTCTCTCTCTCTCTCTGACAAAGAAAAAAAATGTAAAGAAAAACTTCTATGACCATTTTCTATTATAAACTCATAACCGTATTTTTTGTTTGTTTATTTGTTTTGCTCAGATCCAGAACAATGAGATATTAACTTGACCATAGGCAAAGGCTAGGGGCCAACCACAAATAGAAAATACTACTTGGAAATTTAAGCACCACGGGCCAATTCACTCTAATCTCTAAACTTTAACTGTAGCTCTTAAGTTCCCCCAAATTAATGTGCCACACAAATTTTCTTTTAGATAGGAGCTTGAGTTTTTAGGCAGTGTTACTCATCTCCTGAATTTACTGCTATGTTAGTAGAAAAAGAAACACTAACCTCTGGGAATAAAGTGAGCAAAACAGGAACCAAAAATCCCAAATGTGTATGAAATTCTGGGAGGAAAGCCGAAGAATCTGTCTTACTCTAAAGCTGACAAATATAAAGTATCTTGAAACTGGCTGCAAGTTCCAATTCAATTACTGTACCAATAAGGCAGCTGGCCAAAGGCGCAGGCACTAATCCAACCTGAAAATCCTGCACGATTGCAGTGCTCAGAACTGACGCAGCCCCGACAGAAATCCCAAGACAGCACTCACAGTTCTCTGCCTGTCACCTTAGCTAGGACACAGCGAGATTCTCCGAGAGAATCCTTAACATCTTTAACTGTAGATTGTCTCCACAGTGGATAGGAAGAAAAAAAGGAGGAGTAAAGGAAGACCGAGATTACTAGTACTCTAGGTACAGATAAAAACTGCCCTAGTTTACCAGAAAAGTACCTCAAACCCAGTCCTCATCCACAATAAGCTCACAATCTTACTGCAGAAAGGCCATCATGAATATGATTATTTTCTATTTTTTTTAAATAGGTAAGCCTAACAGCCTGACCTAGTATTGCAGCTTTATCCTAAGCTTAACCCATAAAACGACTCTAGTTTGAAAACCTGGTTACATTTTTCCAATTTATATAAAAATTAAAAACTATCGAACTAAAAAGTATTTGTGGATCGTCTAAAATCACAGTATAGTTAAGCCTACATTTACTGTCCTTTAAGAAACCCTGATAGGGAGTAGTGTGATGGTTCATCTGACTAATATTCCACCTGTAAACTCCACATTCCATACGGGCAGTGGCTCATGTGCCTGCTGTTCCACTTCCAATCTAGCTCCTTGCTTGTGGCCTGAAAAAGTAGTGGGGGATTGCACAAAGCCTTGGGACTCTGCACCTGTGTATGAGCTTCCAGCCTCAGATCAGCTCAGCTCTGGCCCTTGTGGCCACTTGGAGAGTGAACTAGTGGATGATTCTTTCTCCATGTATCTCTCCTTCTCTCTATAAATTTGCCTTTCCAATTAAAAAAAAAAAAACTGAAAGAAAAAAAAAGATACTGATTTATAGAATAAAAACACAGGAAAGAGCAGAAAGGTAAGAAAAAGGCTATCTAAAACTCAAAATTGCTCTGAAAAGTATAGGTTATATTTTAGCTTTTTTCCAAGTACATATACTTATTTTCATCAATTCACATGCCAATTTCAAATTTTGTCATTAAAAAAAAAAAGACACCCTCTAATCTTCAGTGGCCTCACATTTAACCCTACACTGCACAGTATTTGTCCTGAGCCTGTGACGCACAGGGAATTCAATCACTCTATAACATGCCTTGTAAATTTGCTAGGAGACAATTCAATAAATGAGCAGTAGGGCAGGCTCAACACTGCTTTGATGAGGCTTAATCTTGTTTACTGATTTAATCTTATACAAGCTGAATCATAATAGGTATTTCTGTGTTTTTTTAAACTTCAAAATGTACTCAGTGGCGCAAACAAAAAAATATTTAAAAATTATCTTAGGTAAATCTTATGTCATAACCTAGAGATCCAGGTTAAAAAAAGAAAAGCTTGGGACTCGGAACAGTAACCTAGTAGCTAAAGTCCTCGCCTTGCATACGTGTCATGATCCCAATATGGGCGCTGGTTTGTACCCCAGCTGCTCCACTTCCTATCCTGCTCCCTGCTTCTGGCCTGGGAAAGCAATCGAGGACAACCCAAAGTCTTGGGACCCTACGCCTGGGTGGGAGACACAGAACAAGTTCCTGGCTCCTGGCTTTGGATCAGCTCAGCTCCTGACATTGCAGCCACTTGGGGAGTGAACCACCAGACGGAAGATCTTTCTCTCTGTATCTCCTTCTTTCTGTATATCTGCCTTTCCAATAAAAATAAATCTTAAAAAGAAGAAAAGCTGGGACACTCTTTTTAGAGTTGTACAATCATCAGTATTTTGACTCAAATATTTATCAACACCACCTTGACCAATCCCATACAAGAATTCCTTTATCTTGAGGGGCCTGGGCAATTCCTCTGGCAGGACATAGTCCCTGCAGGTGAGTGCAAGAAGCATGAAAGGAAACAGCTAAGAACAGGCCATGGGAAGTTTTCCACTGGCATACATTTGGCATGGGTCGGGAATCGGCCAGGCTGAACCAGTTCACATCACCCACTGGCGAATCCAAGCACCAGAACAGAGTGTGGGTCGAACCAGGTTCGGTCGCGACAAAAAACCAATGCATATTACGGAATGCCAGGGTGAGGTGACCCGTACCAGATGTGATCGCAGTGCCCAACCAGCACACATGAGAACCAGGGAGGGAGAGGGCGGAGCCGGCAGGGGAAATGTGGGGGGGTTCCCCTGCTGGACAGCTACTCCCACTGGAGAGCATGAGCTGGGATGGGGGCAGACCAGACTAGGCAGGGCTATAACACCTGTGGGCCTCATGTGGACCAGATCAGGGAAAAGCCAGGCTGGGCTGATTGTTCCTCCTGATGCAACAAAAATTTGAGTGAGGGAGAGTTGGGCTTAGCCGCAGCATCAGCTGGCAGAAGCTGGCACTGGGGGCTAATTCTGTCAAGTTAAACTGCAGATCCACCTGGAGAGTGCATGATCTGGGAGTGGGAGTGGCCTAGAAGGGAAACAGTGGGCTCCTCCCTCTTGGGTTATCACCCCCACTGGAGGGCATGAAAACCAGGTCAGGGGCTGGGGTGGCTAGACAGAAAGGCACCCAACAGCATGTATGTGGGCTTGACAGTGGAGCCAGTTGGGTTGAACTAGGCTTCAGTGCCCATTGACATGTAGAAGAGCTGAATGGGATGTGACACAGACTGGACTAGTCTGCTGCACATACTGGCAAGCACAGGAACCAGGGTAGTAGGGTGCAGGCTTGGTGGGGGTTACTGTGGGTGGCTCTGACTAGGCTGCAGCTCCCACTGGTTTATGTGAGGGCTGAGTGTGTGCTGGGCAGAATCAGGCTTGACTGCAACACACATTGGTTCCAGTGGAAGATGGAGCTGGAAGCAGATGCAACCCAGCAATTGGGACCACCAGCTGATTGGGGGTGACTGACTGTGCCGGGCCCTGTACTTGCAAGTACACACAAGAATCTGGTCTGGGAACACCTCAGACAAAGTTTCTTTGGGGATCTCCCCAATCGAACTACCGGACCCAGAACCCTAACCTTGAAAAGACAACAGGACAGAACAAGTCAATCAACCATCTCAGCTATATGTTGGCAGCAAAATACTGGGCAAACAGAGACTCTATGATGGACTATGTCAATCAGTGGATTCTTCAGCGACCTCATCGTGCTTGGAATGGCGAGACTGGCAGCAATTCATAACTGTTGAACTATCAAAACCACTTGAGCAAGACCCTTGGAGCATGCCCTACATTAGGGACCTGGGATGGGTGGGATACTGGGTGGGGCTTCTCTCTTTATCTCCCCCTTTACCCCAGATACATGACAAAAACAATGTGGAAAAAAAATAGTCTTACCCACTTTTCTGTAGCCCTTGAGCCCTTTTTGCCCTAGTTAACTATGTAAAGATTGTCAAAAAAAAAAAAAAAATTTTTTTTTTTAAGTTAAAAAAACATTCCTTTCTCTCCTGGTAGTCACCAGCCTCACCCCTCTTCCTGTAACTTCTGGCAACCACTAATCTACTTCCAGCCTCTGATGATTTGCCCATTCTGGATATCTGCAGTATGTGGCT